GAGAGATCTGAGAAGAAAAGTTTAGCTGAAATTAATTCAGTGCAGTACGCTCTGAGCTGGTGACTAAACGATGATTATCAATCCTGTTTTTGCAAAACAGTCAAAGGTTATCTGATACATCTGTGTGTGATGATTTCCACGAGAAAGAGATTGTGGATTTTTTTTTGTAATTACCTTTCTATTCAGATTCAGGTTCTGATTAACCAAAACCACACAGAATGCTTCAGAAACTGAATTAAAGCCATAAAATGCAATAATAACATTTTAAATAATTCAGATCTAAAATTAATTCCTTACCACAGTCCAGGGAGAATGTTTTTTATTGGGATAATGTTTTTTATAAATCATAGAATCTTACTAGAATCTTACAACATAGAAGGAGGCCATTAGACCCATTGTGACTGTGCTAGCTCTTTGAAAGAGTTACCTAATCAGTCCCGCTCCTCTGCTCTTACCCCACTAACAATAATAATCCTTCCATTTGACATAGCCTTATCACACCTTCGAGACTTTTCAAAACACTTTGCTGTATATTTTGTGGATGAGACGCGGCAGCCAATTGTGCACAGCAGTGTTCCACAACCAGTCGTGGATTGAGTGAACAAAATATTACTTTATTATTATTATTATTTTTAAAGGGATTATTACCCACGGAAAGTGATTTGCTAATCGACTAACAACCAGGTTCCTAGTTACTGCTAGGGAAACAGAGGCGTGTGGAGTAAAGAAACTTGCTAAAAGTTTCCCCCAGATCCTCTCGCTTGCAAGGCGAGTGCTCTAACCATTAAGATACAGCACTCTATACCCAGGGTTAATTGAATATTCCAGGATCTTGTCCCTGGAGCAATTGTGTACAAAAGTACGTACAGCTCCCGCTTTTTTCTTCATTATGTTTATATCTTTCTGACATTTTAACGTGAATGAAGCACTTAATGTGCTTTACGCCAGGGTACAATTTTCTGTTATGTTGGCAGTTTGACACTTAACCACATTTCTGAAGTTTGAAGCTGCACATTATCTATGATCAGCTAGGTGTCTGACACCCATCACCACGCTTGAAAATAAACCACATGAAGAGTTCCTTGCATGACACTACAAACAGACTCCGCCATTGCCTCACTGCCTACCACTCTTCAGGAGCCAAGACTTGGGGACCCTAGAGTGTGTGTTGGCGTCTAACCAGCTAAAACCGCATAGCTTGCCATTGGGAGCATTATCTGGCAAGCTTCCTGTGCTCTGACCATCTTACGAGTTGGGACTTTTTCTTGCAGGATTAGCAGGAGTAGAGTGGGAAGAATCCCTGGCTCCAATGTCCGCCTCTCCAAGTTTGCCGATGAGCCAGGCTAAGCTGGTCTGTTAAAAGCCGTGCCCTGGACCGACCTGCGCAATATGATGTTAATAACGGGGATGGTCCTCAGTGTTAGAGGAATGAGCTAGGAGCAACAATCAGACAAGACTCAGTTTTCCAGACTCCTGCTCACCTCTCTTTTTGTGAAGAGGCCTTACATGAAATTGGCTTCCATAACCATGATACCCTTACGTTAGCTGCAGCAGCACCACCTCTACCTGCACCCACCACCTGACCTCCCTCCCCACTCCCCACCACCATCGCCCCATCTCCATTCTTTGGCTTTTTTCCCCTCCACAAAATGTCATCAAAACTATAACAGTTGATTTTTTTCCGGTCAGCCATCACCATGCTTAAGAGTATCCAAACCACGCTGAGAACAACAACAACAACAAACTTACACTTGTAGAGCGCCTTTCACGTCGGAAGGACGTCCCAAAGCTCTCAACAGTCAGGTGTCAGGGCCCGAGCATGAGAGAGGGGTGGTGTAGGGGTGAGGAAAGGCAGAGAGGTGGGAGGGAGACCAAAGGCACAATCAAAGAGAAGGGTCTTGAGACCGGTCTTGAAGGAGGTAAGGGAGGCGATGCAGAGTGTGGGGGCAGAGAGGCTGAAAGCCCGGCCACCGATGGTAGGACAGGTCAGGCGGGAGACATGGAGCAGGCCAGAGCCTGATGAATGGAGGTATAACGGTTTCAGCAGCCTGAGGGCTGAGGCACTGGTGGAGTCTGGCAATGTTGCGGAGGTGGTGGTAGGCAGTGCGCGGATGTGGGGGAGAAAGAACAGTTCGGGGTCAAACAAGACACCCAGGTTCCTGACTGGCTTAGTGAGGTTGAGTGTGCAGCTGTGGAGGCTGATGCTGCCGGCGCCCGAGGTGCGGAGGCGCTGGCGCGAGCCAATCAGGAGGGCCGCGGTCTTGCTTACATTGAGTTGGAGAAAGTTGTCCCTCGTCCAGGACTTGATGTCGGACAGGCAGTCGGTCAGGAAACCAGTAGTCCTGGAGTTGAGGGTAGACGCAGAGAGATAGAGTTGGGTGTCATCCGCATACATGTGGAAATTTACCCCATGTCTGCGGATGACGTCACCAAGGGGGAGCATGTAGAGGGTAAAGAGAGGACCTGGGTTTGATTCCTGGCAGAGCGAAAGGTTGAGCAAGTTTTCTTACTCCACACGCAGCTGTTTACCTAGCAGTAAGTCAGAACCCAGTTGTAGGTCGATTGGTGAATCGCTTTTCCAGGGGTAATAATTCCCTCAAAAAAATTGTCACTCAATCCACGACTGTTTGTGGGATGGCACTGTGCAGAATTGACTGCCGTGTTTCGCCCACAAAATATCCAGTCACTTTACAGTATATTCTGTGAAGCACTTTGGGATGTCTCGAAGACATGATAAGGCGCTATATCAATTGCAAGGATTATTATTATTTATCAGTGAGATAAATTGTCAAGATGCCTTTTACAGAAGACTCTGTAAGTTTCACAGGACTCATAAAGCTCTCTGGTTCTGTCACTGATAAACCTGGTTAGGATTATTTGGGGTGTTTAAGTGCCAGCCAGGCAGATTAACAAAATGTCTTTTGCTGGAGGGAAGCAAAGATAATTGAACAAAATCATCTGCTTCCACTTGTGGGCAGGTCTTTCAGTACTGCTCTGGATATTTAGTACTTTGATCTCACAGCAAAAGCTGCTGCTGAGTTGGGGAGGTTATAATAGACAGATTCATAGACCTGACCCCATCTCCTGTTCAACCTCTGTGCACAGACCACAGCGCTGAACACATAAAATCAAACAAGGTAACAGACCGAAACTGCTAATCCAGAATCGGTGCAGAAATTATTTCAATAACTAGAGGTAAGTACAGGATTTCTCTCTGGTAACTGTGAGGTATGAGATAAAGTAACTAGTTGATAGAAAGGCAACTAAGTCATGGAGTGCAGAGGCGGAATTTAGAGGTGTTCTGAGATCAAATTGATGTAACCCTATAATGTGCACAAGACTGTTGCTTTTTACAAAATACATCAAGGACTTGGAGCTGGGTATTGAAGGAGTTGGTGGACAATTGCTAAATTGTGGGAAAGGTGGGAATGTATGAAGGTATCTATGGGGAATGTGTTGGAGTTTCTAACTCCCATGTGTGAGTGTAGCTAACAGTGAAGTAATTGAACGCAGAAAGGTGAGGCTATAGTCTTGTAGCTCAGTGGTTAGTTTAATTTTTGCTGAGTTGTTCAGCGTTGGAATGTCCGGTTGTGGTCAAGGCAGGAAAGTGAAGTGCATTCACTTTGAAGAAGGAACAAGATTAATATCTAAAAAGACATAACTTGCAGGAGAATGGGATGGGTGGGGGGATGGGACTGAATTTCCCAGCGCCCTGGGACATCTTTCCGATGTGAAGGGGGCTATACAAGTGTAATTTGTTGTTGAATGGATCGTTCTGTCAAAAAAGCAGCGGGAAACAATAGGCTAAATGTTCTTTTGTGCTGTAGAGTCCTACGGTTTCTATGTGACATATAGAGCTATGTTATCTGTTATATCCAGGCCAGGAAGCTAACATTTTCTGCACTGTTGCAGATGATAACATTTACCTTCACTCAACCAAAGAGAGAGACAGTCAAAGTTTATCACCGAAGTGTTTTTTGTGTGCAGCTCTGGGATGCAAGTGAGGGGACGGGTGTCTAGGAGATGTAAGGGGAATTTCTACGATTTCCTCTCCAGAGGGTTAAACTTATTGGACGTTTGCACCACTTGGAGAAGTTATTTGCTTGATGATCTCTGTACTGATGCTTGTGAAGTCACTGTTCAATCCACTGATTGTCACGTTTCCCCCCTAACCACAACCCACTGTTAAATGAAAATAGTTGGCATAGCACTGTTTATGTTGGTAAAACATTGCAAACCGTTTCATGGGATTTACTGTGAGGTATAGTTACTGTGTAGCTGTAGAGGTTTAGCTGCCAATTTTGCACACGTTGATATCCCACAAAAAGCCAAGCAGTGAGTGAATGATCGACTTCATCTTGGGGATTTGCCCACAAAGTATACAGTCACTCCACTTTACAGTATATATTGTGAAGCGCTTTGAGACGTCGCAACGATGTGATAGGGGGCTATATCATAGAATCATAGAATCCTACAGCACAGAGTACAACAACAACTTGCATTTATATAGCGCCATTCATGTGGGATTGCGTCCCAGAGCACATCAAGTAGAATGGATAAAAACCTGCCCACAGAGAGGGTTGAAGGAGGTCGCAGAGGCAGGTTGGTAGGTTGGGGTGAGACAGATGAAGAACAAGGACCTTGGAGTCCTGTAACTCAGTGGTTAGAGCACTCGCTTTGCGAGCGAGAGACCTGAGTTCAATTCCAGGCAGAGGGCGAAACCTTGGGCAAGTTTCCTTACTCCACACAGAGCCTAATAAATAATCCCTCCAAAACCAAAAACAATAATAAATTGGTCATTTTCAATCTACGACTGTTTGTGGGACATTGCTGTGCGCAATTGGCCGCCGCGTTCGCCCGCAAATATACAGTCAATTCACTTTACAGTGTGTTCTGTGAAGCGCTTTGGGACATCCTCCCGACGTGAAAAGCGCTATATCAAATGCAAGGATTATTATTATTATTATTTGAACGTGATGTAACCAGAGGGAGTGGATCCAATGGAGCTGAGCGAAGAGCTCATGGAGCGTAGAGAGATGACGCAGGCTGTATTGTTCTGGGATATCTGCAGCCTATATAGAGAGGAGCGGCGAAGCTCGGCGAGTGTTGGCATAATCAAGCCTGGATACGATGAAAGCATGAATGAGGGTGTCGGCAGTGTGTAGTGGTGGACGTGGGCAATGTTACAGAGACCGGTATATGTTTACGAATTGATCACTGCATACTCACCCCATGCTCATGGTGTGGCTGTCCATTCCATGCACATTTGTGTGGCTTTCAAAGGCACATTTGCGCCCACCACGTGCACATTATGTATCTATTGCAATATCCGTTTGGCCCACAAAATATACAGCCCATTAACTTTACAGAATATTCTGCAAAGTGGTTTGCGACGCCTCAAAGACGTGATAAGGCGCTATAGCAAATGCAAGGATTATTTATATTTATTATTATTATTTATCACACGTACATTGTGTGTCCACTGCCTTCCCATTGTGTATCCATCTCATCATTCCTTGGCATGCACGCTATCTGGCCTTCACTGGCCTATTGCGTGTCCAACCATCACAGTGCGTGGCGAGGTGGGAAAGGCCTGAAGATATCTCTGTCTAATTTTGCCTTTTTTTTTCAGTTTTCGCTGATGATGGCAACTTATGAGGTAAGCACTGATTACCCCGAAGAAACAAACAACGTAGATTACTCGAGGTTTCCAGCTCCCTGTGAGAATGTCTACGTGATAGACTTAATCCGGGTGCTGCAACCCTGCGTCTATTCCGTGGTCTTCATCCTGGGCCTGGTCGGGAATGGCCTCGTCCTGACCATCTACATCTGTTACAGGAAACTGAAGAGCATGACTGATATGTATCTGCTGAACCTGGCCATTGCTGACCTCTTGTTCATTTTCACTCTCCCCTACATGGCTGCCAGCTCTGTGCACGGCTGGATCTTCGGAAACGCCATGTGCAAAATCGTGCAGAGCCTCTACAGCATGACCTTCTACAGCGGCTTCCTGTTCCTGACCTGCATCAGCGTGGACAGGTACATTGTGATTGTCAGGGCCACCCTAGCTCACCGTCTCCGAGGCAAGACCATTTACTACAGCAAGGTCACTTGCTTGATCGTCTGGTTCGTGTCCATCCTGATAAGCCTGCCGCAGTTCATCTACAGCCATGTGGAGTTGGAGGAGCAGGTGTGTTGGATGACCTACCCAGATGTGGCCAATGGTTGGATGAAGGTGGGGACCCTAATCACACAGCTGGTGATTGGCTTTCTCATCCCTCTGCTGGTCATGTTGTTCTGTTATTCCATCATCATCCGGACCCTGCTGCAGGCACGGAACTCGGAGAAGCACAAAGCCTTCAAGGTCATAATGGCCATCGTGGTGACGTTCGTGGTCTTCCAGACGCCGTACAATATAATCAGCATCCTCGAGACCGCTGATACTTTGAACCACAGCTCATCGGTTTGTCAGCAGAGAAGTCAGCGAGATATCACCATCCAGGTCACCAGCTGCCTGGCCTATTCCCGCTGCTGCCTGAACCCCCTCCTCTACGCCTTTGTGGGTGTCAGATTCAGAAGTGATATCTTGCATCTGCTCCAGGCCAGCGGTTGCATCAGTCGCACACGCTGTCTCAAGCACTTCAGATCGAGAAGGTACACCAAGCGAGGCTCAGCTTCTAACATAGAAACAAGCAGCTCTTTCGCTCTTTAAAGAAACATGTAAATAATCCTTGCATTTCGATACAGCGCCTTATCACGTCTTTGAGTCGTCCCAAAGCGCTTCACAGAATACGCCGTAAAGTGAATTAACTGTATATTTTGTGGGCGAAACGCGACAGCCAATTGCGCACAACAGTGATAGTCCAAATCCCGGACTGTCTATCGCTTTGGGACATCCTCCCGACGTGAAAGGCACTGGATAGATTTAATTTTCTGCTGTATTGTATCGTGTGGCAATCAGCAGCTGCACAACTGAATAAAGCTTTAGACCTGATTCATTTAAGCTGTGTCTTTTTCAATTTTTCTGGTGACTAACACTTTCTCGCCTGCTGCGTAGCTCCACAGTTACACCGCAGTGTGGGGCGAGAGGGCGCTTGTATCATGCAGCAATGTTTTTCCTCACCCTGGGATAATTGGTGACTGCACTTCCTATATGAATGGATCTGTGTATAGTGAGAACCTCACATTCTGTGACTGATCTCAGCTCTATTTCCAGCTCTTTCTTCATGTTTTTTTTGACTTCTCAGAAGCTTATCCAGTTTCCTTCTGATTGATTGCTTGATTTACCGTCAAAAATCACCTGTCACAATACACTCCAAACCCTGACCACAGAAATGGAGATAACAATCAGCCTCCACATCATTATTCTTAGTCAACTATCACAGAGAGAATGTGCATAGCTTAGCCTTGGACTGTGTGATTCCAAGTGCCAACGTGGGGGCTTGAACCCACAACCTTCCGACTCGGAGGCGAGAGCTCCACCACTGCGCCCGGTTGACGTGCAATCAGTCACAAACCGTGGCCTGGACAACCACCTCGTGGCCATTCAATGTACTGCAGCAGTTTGAGCGTGAAGGTCAGAATGTCAAGTGCACCCCAACATGAAAAATGAATGGTTTATAATACCACAATTTTTACCCGGTAGAAATTTTCAGCTCCGAGGAAGGTCTTTCAGCCCAGCTTGTCGGCCACTGCGACTTCCGTAGTTTTAAATCGTCCCTTTCCTTAATTCTATTTCCAGCTCTTTCTTTAGGTCTTTATTTTATTTACTTCTCAGAAGCTTATCCAGTTTCCTTTAGAGCGATTGCTTGATGTAGCGTCAAAGAATCACCTGTCACGATATACTCCAAAACCCTGACCACCCACCGAGAGTGGAAATTTCTTATTTCTTCTAGCCTCTCCCCTGATTATTTTGCTAACAATCCCACGTCTAGCAAAGTTCCCACCAAGTGAAATAGTATTCCTCAAATCAACTTCAGAGTGTTAAACAGTTCTATCAAATCAATCTCCCAATTTCTTCTGTTACAGAGGATAAAGCCTCAATTTAGTCAACCTTCCTTCATACAGGAAGCCAGTGTCCAGGCTGACAATCCTCAGATGAATTAGTCATTCATCTCATGGCCGCAAATACACAGTCACTACACTTTACAGTAAAATCTTTACACAAGGAAGTGCTTTGTGATATCTTGATGATCCGATGAGGCGTTATTACCAAATGCAAGGTTATCACGAATGTTTGTGGACCTTGCTGTGTGTAAATAGACTTCCTTCAGAAGCAATGTTAAACCGAGGCTTTGAGTGTCTGTTCTATGGCACGATTCAAAAAGAGAAATTAGTTTGTCTACTGGTGTGAAAGTCCCTATACCAAGTGTAGGAACTATTGTTACAAAAATCATTAACTTGGGCAGAAATTACTGTAAAACTAATTTTGATGTGAGATGCTATAAATATGCGATTCTTTCCAAATTTATTCAACCAACAACAGACAACAACTCAGAATTATATAGTGCCCTTCATATAAAATCATGCCTTAGAGTGCTTTACAGTGGCGAGATGGAAGATGGCAAAAGTGAGGTTATCACAGATGTCGTTAAAGAGGTAGGTTTTAAGCGAGAATTGAAGACAGATGGGGGAGTGTGGGGGCAAGATTACAGGAGAGTGCTCCAGAGGTCAGAGGTACAGAATGGAAAGCTCGACCACCAATGATAATAATAATAATTAATAATAATAATCCTGTGATTTCTTGTATAAACTTAACATAATTTTGTGTCATTTACATTCAATGCTCTTGCATAAAGTCCAGTTAACTTCACCCACCATTTATTTAAAATGTGGGATAATAAGAGACACAGGCGGCCGTGCAAACGGTACAAAAATAGCAACTGTGTCTTGAAAAACTGATGTCTCACAGTAGCAATTTTTCTGTGACTATTTTTATGTTTTATGACAGGCTCCGTGAGCCTATCAACCCCAATGCTCCACAGACAGCCATGAAGTCAATGAACAATTTTATATGCATTGCGTGAATCAGGATCAGTAAGGCAGTCATTACTGCAAACTGACTGAGAGCTGTGCCCAGACAGACAGACACACCTAGACTGCGTTTCAAGATGCTTGTGTCATTGCTGCACATGCTCCGGCTTTAGGAAGAGATGATGGTTGGCAGGGTGTGTCTGATGATTCACATTTGCACATTGAACCTGAAGCTTCCAGCAGTGTGCGGACAGATCAGCAAGAATCTCTGCACCGCACAGCGACGTGCCCATTTAAAGCAGCATCCCTTTCTCCAAGATGTTTGCAAACAGGAGAACACAACAATAATAATAGTCCTCTCATTTGATACAGCGTCTTATCACGTCTTCGAGACGTCTCATAGTCCTTCAAAGAATACACTGTCAAGTGAATTGACTGTATATTTTTGTGGGCGAAAATATACAATTCTTAAGATGATATACATTATAGAATGTCTCTGTCTATCTCACACCCAATGTGTGTCCGTGTCTATCTCTTTGTTTGTGTGCGTCTCTCTGATTGCCTTGGACGGTGCATGTGTGTCTATGTGTGTCACCCAAGCTCTGTTTCTGTGCACGTGTGCCTGTTTCTCTCTCTCTTTCTCCCACGCGAAAAAAATAATAATAATTAATAATTTGGTCACTCAATCCACGACCGTTGGTGGAACACGGCTATGCGCAATTACCTTTTCTCCCTTTCATTTCCTTATTGTACTGCACTGTTTGTGTCAGTTGGGGTGCTATGTCAAGCGTTTTTACACCATTGGAAGAAGCAACTCGTATTTCTGTAGCAATGCGTTAACGTTAATGTTTCAAGTGTTTCACAAAAAATAAAGTCAATTGGAGTGACCTTCTTTTATATATAGGCCGATGCCAGTCTAGACTTTGTGTTCGGGTCCTGATGGGAAGCTTAAATCAACAAACGTTCTGAGTCACAGGCTTAGAACTGAGCCAAGTTGACCCTTGGCTTGGCTGCTATGGAAATATCAGGTCAAATGATATGTTGGAAGCGCGAGGGCAGGACCAATAGTAATAGTAATAATCCTTGCATTTGATATAGTGTCTCATCACGTTGTTGAGACGTCTCAAAGTGCTTCACAGGATATACTGTAAAGTGTAGTGACTGTGTGTTTTGTGGGCAAAAGGCGGCAGCCAATTGTGCACAGCATGTGGGAAGGAAGAGCTAAACTTTCTTTGGGAAAGGTTGTCTGTGACCAGGCTCCTTGTCTGGCAAGTGGCTCACAGCCGCGGGTTGGCACAACCACCCACGGTCCTTTGAGCCATGGGGAGGCGGAAGGGGGGGCGGTGGCAGAAAGGGGCTCCCAATCAAGGGAGGACCTCGTGCAGGGGTTGGAATCAACCTTGGAGACCGTGTCATCTGCTCCTTGTGTGGAATAGCCCTCCCGACAAGGGCTTCCCACACGTCTCCTTGTTCATTGCGCAATTGGCTGCCGCGTTTCGTCTGCAGAATACACCGTCACTCCACTTTACAGTATATCCTGCGAAGCACTGTGGGACGTCTCGAAGCCGCGATAAGGCGCTATATCAAATGCAAGCATCATCATTATTATTGTTATTATTATTGTTCAGTGTAAGCGGGCGCCCTGCAGCTGTGTGCGGGTGAGCAGTGGTGGCACGTTCCCCGTCGATGACACACCTGACACCTTCCAGGCTGGAGTTTGGTTGATTAATAAAAACGTCGTTAGAATTTAAGCAACTTTGGACGCGGCATTGCCAATTACCTGGCAACCCAACACGCTTCCTTGGTGGGTTGGTCGGTCGGTCGGTCGGTTGGTTGGTTGGTGGCACTGCAAGAAATTCCTGCGAAAAAAAAACATCTGCAAGCATTTAAAATTCCAGCAGCAACAGGAAACGTTAGGAAGAAAGGGTTAAAGTTAGCTGGGACCACTCCAGGCTCCTCCTCTTGGCATCTGGCTCCCAGCCACAGGCCACATGATGCAACAAGAGCTCCAACTCCCAAGCCCAAACCTTAGCCCAGCCCAACACTGTGCTATGCTGTGTGTGTGTGTGTGTGTGCATCTGGTTGATGCCTGTACATATGTGTGTGTCTGTGTGTAGTGAGTGACTGAGCAAAACTGCTTGGAGGTCAATGATCTCTGTCCAGATGAGTGGAAGAGTTGGAAGGAGTGGGTCTTAAAGGTCTGTTCTCTCTATCCATCCATCTATCTCTATCTGTCTATCTCTCTCTCTTTCTCTGCTTTTCCACTCCCTCCCTCCCTCCCTTCCCTCCCTCCCTCTCTCTCTTTTACTTACTCTTCCTAACTGAGAGCAGTGAACAGGAGAGATTGTGTTACAGCACAAAGTGGGCTGGTGTCCCAGGGACAGAGAGGTCTGACTGAAAGAGAGAGAGAGAGTGTCACACACACACTCACTGGGTTAGAATCCACTCTAATTAAGGGCCAGGTGAAAGGGAAATTGATTGACTCTCAAGAGAAGGAGGCTTGATGTGAAGGAGGTGGACAAGGCAAGGACGCAGTGTGTGTGTCTATATATATATATATATATATATATACTTGCCTTGTGAATGCCTCTGTGGGGTGGTTGCTTGTTCTGGTGCTGCAGGCAGGGCTTCACTGTGCTGGGGCGAGACTATGGCGAGGTGGAGAGAGAGGAAGAAGAACTACAGGAGCTACGTGTTGGAAAACTTCAAGCGGTAAGTGTGTGAGACTGAGCTCAGCTGAGCTCTTTGTCCTGTCTTTTATGTGCGGTGGAATTTGCCCCTTCCTTAGGCTGTCTGGTTACAGGGGCTCCTGTGATAGTTATTATAATAATACTAATCCTCAATAATAACCATAATCCTCGCGTTTGATATAGCGCCTTATCCATGTCTTTGAGACGTCTGAAAGCGCTTCACGGGATATGCTGTATAGTGATTTATTTGACCGTAAGCTTTGTGGGTGATACGCGGCAGCCAATTGCGCACAGCGGCGTCCCCACAAACAGCCGTGGATCGAGTGACCAGATTATTATTACTTTTATTAGGTGATAAGGGGCTGCATTGAACACAATCCTTGCATTTGATACAGCGCCTTATCACCTTGTTGATCCTTCTTGAAGTGGTTCACATAAAGTGGAGTGACGGTGTATTTTGTGGGTGAAACGGGGAGGCCAGTTTGCACTCAGCAACCTCCGGCGAACTCCGATGGAGTGAGCGATCGATTTTATTTGGGGGGGGATTTGTAGGCCAGTTTGTCGTCTCATCTGAAGGACGGCACCTCCGACAATGCAATGCATCCCCAGCGCCGTATTGGAGTGTCAGTGGGTACTGGTGCAGGATGAGCGAGGGTCTCCTATCTCCAGCTCAGTGCTCGGACTCTCACCTCCGAATCAGAAAATTGTGGGTTTAAGCTCCAGGTTAGGACTTTCTGCTCACGGTTGAGATTGATGTTCCTATAAGTGTATGGGGGAGCGATAGCTTTGTTGGTGGTGTCATTCTTTCCGTGAGACATTCAACTGATGTCCCATCAGGTGGACATTAAAGACTCCGTGGACCCATGATTGGATTCGAAAAGAGAAGGGAGTTTCTCCCAGTGTCCTCGCAAACATCCTCCAGATAAAGTTGGTTTGTCACTTCATGGATGTTTAGGACATTGCTGTCTGCAAATCGGCTTCTGTATTCATCAACAAATATACACTTTACGGTAGAAACATAGAAATTTACAGCACAGAAGAAGGCCATTTGGTCCATGGTGTCTGGGCCAGCTTCCTTTCAGTCGCATTTCCCCAAACCCCTGTAGCTGACTTTTTAAAAAAAAGGTATTTGTCTGTCTGTAAAGATTCTTCCAATAGCTTTCAGATGTTACGATAAGGCACCGTATCAAATGTAAGGAATTTTTTAAATTAAATTAACTTATTGGAAAACCATACAAGAAAAATGCCAAAAGTTCTAACTCCAACTTTGAAGATCTGTGCACAGTGAAGCCATATCTGAGCTACTCAGTGTGTGAGGCTCTCATTTGTCCCACTGAAATCCAGTCGAAGCAAATTACAGCCCGAAAAGAGTGAGGACGTCGGAAGCGGCACAGCTTACACCAGCACTACGATCCACTGATTATCTTTTGGGACAATCCAGTTCCCTGGTACTATGGAGACGCTTCTGTGAAATGCCAGAAAGGGTGTGGGTTACAGCAGGCTGCATTTGTGTTCTCCCTGGGGCTGTGTTGGGGGCACCCAGGAAACAGCAAACGCAAAACACCCAACGATTCTTAAAATCATAGAATCTTACAGCACAGAAGGAGGCCATTCGGGCCACCGGCCCACCACTCCCCCGCTCCTACCCCAATGGCCCTGCAAATCTTTTCCCTTTTCAAATACCTATCCAATTCTCTTTTGAAAGCTTCTATCGAATCTGCTGCCACTGAACTTAGAGGCAGTTCCAGATTGAAACAATTCTCTCGGTTTTTTAAAAAAAAACTGGATTACAAAAAATTCTCCTGGTCTCCCCTCAATTAGATTTGGGCTCTGATTTTGTGGAGCCGCAAAGAGGCAATATTACAGAAGTCTTGCAGCCCTGCATTACCATCCTGGTTCCGTCATGATATGCCTTTAGACTTTGGTCTCCACACTGCAAATAATTGACCGCATTTTTCTTTCCCCTGATTAACATAAAAAAAGCCGTGCAGTGTGCAAGGACCTGTCAGGTTCCAGCCAGATGTGGACGCAGATTAAACTTGCGGGGTTTAACGGCAGGAAGAGGCCAGATCTGTTGGGTGTAAGCAACACGCCAAATCGTAGCGGTTATACGATGCGTGTGCTGAGGGTGTTGAGCGAGGACTTGTTCAAGAGCGGCGATGTCTGTGTGGTCAAATCCCCTGCCGACACTCACTGCCCGAGTTCACACACGAATTAAGTGCCAGCCATCTGTAGAATCACCACTGGCTAAAAGGAAAAAGAGCCCACAGCCTTCTGGACGGGAGGAAAAATTGGATAATAAGAATTTCCCATCTTAACAGGCATGGCTCCCGCCCCAGCTGCTTGCTGGGTACATGGCAAGAGTTTTAAATTCTTTCTTTCCTGCTACTTACATACACAGTCAATTCACTTTACAGTCTATTCTGTGAAGCGCTTTGAGACGTCTCGAAGACGTGATAAGGCGCTCTGTCAAATGCAAGCATCATTATTATGTTCTAGGGTGTGTTTCGGATGTCCACTGCATTCCTAGCTGAGTAGTAGACATTTTTTGCTTACTGCCATTAAGTTAAATCTGGAGGGTTGGCTGGACATCCAAAGATGCTCCCCTTCTCCATGGAATCTTGACATCCACCTGAACCAGCCGACAGGACCTCGGTTTAACGGTTTATCTAATGGACAAAGCAGTATAACTTCCCGGGGGTGTCAGCCGAGACAATGAGCTGAGGTCCCAATGTGGGGTTTAACCTTAATCATAACCTTCAGACCCAGAGGCAAGAGTACAACCAACGAAGAAAGAATTTGGGAAGTTAGGATAGCGTATAAGTTAGATAAAGTTTTAAAAACATCAAAATAGGAGGACAGCTGCGTCCAGTGTTGTATGAATCTTGCTGGATTGGGAGTTCCTGGAATGGTTGAAGCACACTCGCAACAAGTGTCTCGAGCTCCATCCACTTGATCTGAATACTACTGAGATTCAGGAAGAGGAAGTGCTGTGGCACATGGGGAACTAGAGGGGTTACTGCACACACACATAATGCAAATGTGGGTCATTCCAGCCATCCAGTGTGTGGATAGAATGAGGAGCAAGAGTGGTACAAAGGCAAGTCAGGGGTCTCCTGAGGCAGTTGCGTTGACAAATAAGTACTTCATACGTGTTCCAAGGGCAGTGACGAGAGGCAGGGCCAACGTGAGCCCTACATTACCATGAAAAAAGTGGTAGCACGAGGGAGGCAGGGCTGAAGGGAAAGAGGAAGGAAGGAATAGATTTATGCAGGCATTTGCGGGAACCCTTCACAGTTCTTCAGAGTATCCAAATCTGACCGAAAGTTCAACATATACATTCCATCTACCCACAGAAATGTCCCTTTGTCTATAACGGAGTATGTGCTCCAATAATAATAATAATAATAATAATAATCCTTGCATCTGATATGGTACCTTTCTAATGAGTTGTGTGGACAAGCAGTGGGAAGCCTGACAGACGGTGTTTTCAATGGCTTTGGTTGGTTAAACTCCAGCAGTTACCCCAGTCCTTCTCAAGTCTCCAAGCCTTGGTTCTCACCAACCTCACCTAATACTTTGCGAGATTAGATAAGGGGCAAATGCCCCTCTGGGTGAAGAGTACTTGTTCATTTGAGATGCAGGTAAATTTCTGTGCGTGATGCATAAAGTAGAACTCTGTATGATTCGGGATACTCTTAAGCACGGTGATGGCTTTTTGCATGTAGCAGGTACCCGGCTGACCAAAGTAAAATGTATGTGGCGTAACAATGACATGTATGACATGTTGTATCCCGGGTGTTAGAGTAAGGTGTGTTAACAGAGCAGGTGCAGAAGCTCTTGGGAGAGTCTGGGGTTGGGGGGAGAGTTGAACCCTGCAAAACATTTGGGCAAGTCTGCTGCTTGCTGCACTTAATGAATTGATCCCATTTTTATGAACAGGATTCCTTTAGCATTAGCTAAACAGACTAGAAGTGATGTGACATGCCAGTGCCAAACTGGGCCATTTGTACGCACCCTCTTCTAAGTCACCCCATCATATCGACAGGCTGTGGTTCAGTAAGTCACGGGGTATTTGGGTACCGCACTCTGTTAGAGACAGAACAAGACATTTACCAGCAGCAAGTGTAGGGTCTCCATGTGTTTGTGCTGAGTAAACTTACCACTCAGACACAGGAAATACTAAATACTATCCCAGGTTACGAGCAGCAGGGGAGACCTTGTGATCTTGTAAAGCTGGTGCTCTGTACTTAGAGAATCCCCCAGCTCAACTGCGCTGCCCCCATTCCCTCTCCATCCCCACCCCCTACCCCCCTGCCGGGGTTTAACCAGCTAAAGCCATTGAAAGTACCGTCTACTTAGCTCCCTGCTGCTTGTCCAGCTGAGACTACATTCCTCCCCAGCCTCTCCCGGCAGCACTATTGGCAGTGAGGTTGGGGTCGTTTTATAATAATAAACCTTGCATTTGATATGGAGCGTTATTGCGTCGCCGAGACATCTAAAAGCGCTTCGCAGAATCTACTGTAAAGTGAATTAACTGTGTATTTTGTGGGCGAAACAAAACAAAAGGTCTGCTTTGGATGCAGGTAGGAGGAATTGACTGAAATTGATAGTCCGTGGTTTCGCTATAAACGCAGCAGGCTTTTCGAACAACTTTCTAAATGTTTGGAAGCTGCCCTTTTCTTTGTTAAAAAACATCGATTGACGTTTTGTGTCACGTTGGGGGTAGTTTTTGTGCTGTTCTCCAATTCGCCTTCTTTAACCTGTTCGGTGCGAGTGGAAAAACTGGAATGTTTCACTTCCCCATTCGGCAGATCTCAGTTCGGATAAAAGACTTGTGTACTGATCTGATCTTTGCTTGTTATATACCACAGGCCTCATCAGATCTGAGCCTGACTCACTCGGTCACCTCCCAAACCCCAGACAGGTAAGACTTTCATTCAACCCACCCCTCTGCTAATGTTCTCACAGACTAGTTTTTAATTCTTTCACACACAACCCACCCGCCCGCCCACCCACCCACTCACTCCTTCCCCCTTGCTGGGGAGGTTTAATTTTGTTTTCACATGCATGATGGGGAGGAGGAAGGAGGTCATAGCAGGTCATTTTTCCTATCCTCCCATCCCTGCCCCCCCACCTGATGCAAACATTGGCTCTCACAATAGAGAGCAGAACCGAGCAGCACAGCCTGACAGTCACTCTGCTCAAATGGCAAGTACTCAAAGCTCAGTTTGTTGCTTCCCATTGAGACCAGCTGCCAGCCACAGTCTTGGGACTTTCTGTCCCTGTCTCTGCCCGGGTCCCATGCCTTGGCTTGCTCTCGTGCATGTTCTCTTATGCACGCGCGCTCTCTGCCTTTCTCTTTCTCTGTCTGTCCCCCGCCCTCTGGATATCTTGACCCCACCCCTCCCCCCCGCACTCCTTCTCCATTTTTATCCAACTTCCAAGTTTCGTTTTCAGATCAGAAAATCTTCCCGAGGAAATGAGACAGTTGATCATCGAGAGGTCGACACCAAAGCTTTCCCTCGTGGAGGACAAGCCTGTGATCATTCAGGGTGAGAGCGTCAATCAATCAATCAATCAATCAATCAATCAATCAATCAATCAATCAATCAAGGACTGAGACCTTGTGGGAGAAGATTGTGGTGGCTGCTGGTAACAAATTAAATGGCCATAAATAATAATAATAATCCTTGCATTTGATATAGCCCCTTATCACGTCTTTGAGACGTTTCAAAGCGTTTCACAGAATATACTATAAAGTGAATTGACTATTTTTTGTGGGCGAAACGCAGCAACCAATTGTGCACAGCAGCGTCCCCACAAACAGTTGTGGATTAAGTGACCATTTTATTATTTGTTTTGAAGGAATTATTACCCCCAGAAAAGTGATCCACCAATTAACTAAAAACTAGGGTTCCTACTTACTGCTAGGTAAACAGAGGCGTGAGGAGTAAAGAAACTTGTCCAACGTTTCGCCCTGCCAGGAATCAAACCCAGTTAAGGCGAGTGCTTAACCACTGAACTACAGGGCTCCACAAGTAACAACTTACATTTGTATAGGGCCACAATTCATTACAGACCCTCACAATAATCTGGTGCATCACACAGTTTGCAGTTGCTCAATTTCAATTATCTGAATATGGAACGATCCAAATGTTACTCCCTTAGACACTGAAACAAAAGTTTTGCGCTTGTAATAATAATCCTTCCATTTGATGCAGTGCCTCATCACATCTTCGAGACGTCTCAAAGCACTTCACAGTATCACTGTGAAGTGTAGTGACTGTACATTTTGTGTGCGAAATGCGGCAGCCAATTGCGCACAGCAGTGTCCTACAAACAGTCGCGGATGAAGTGACCAAAGTATTATTTATATTTTATTATTTTTTGAAGGGATTATTACTTAGCTGTGTGTATGTACCGATATTACCATCAGCATCAGCAGGGAAAGAAGCAGAGGTCTGTTTGGCTCTGCGTTCAGTATATGAGAGAGTTTTTTTTTACTTTAAATAGACTTCGAAGTATCTTTTATCTGTGGCAAAGCATATGTTATTCAGAGGAAACTGCTGCTCCCAAAAGCTCAGATGCTTGTTAATCTGAAGGTCTGGGTTGGGTGTAGATTGCTTGCTGCGCTATTCAGGAAGCATCAAAACCACATACAGGTTGCTCAAAAATATGTAATAATAATGCTTACATTTGATACAGTGCCTTCCACATCGAGAGGATGTCGCAAACGCTTCACGGGATTTACTGTACAGTGTAGTGACTATTTTGTGGGTGAATATGCGCACAGAGGCAAAATTAATGGCTCCCCCTTTTTTTTTTATTTGGGGATTGTTGGCCAGGGAATTTTTACCCCTTCTGCTACCTCTTTGCCCGTCTTCAGATAGCACCTGAAGGCTTTACTTTTTGACCTTACCTACGGTCACCTTTCCTCTCTCTCTCTCCTCAGCTCGGGGTCAACCTCTGCCATTGTTCAGCGCTTCAAGATGCTACCCTGTGTGTAGATTGCTGTATAAATGCAAGTTGTTGTAATAGTGTCCAGGTTAGATTATTCCAACAGGTGCAAACCAACCAGAACTCTGCAGCTCATGTCCTCTCCCTCACGGGCAGCAGACTTGTGGCTGACAGCGGGCAGTTTGGCAGGCAGCAAGGCTGGGCATCGAGGGTAGGTGTAGGTGTAGGGCTGGGCATCATGTGCATTATTTCCTACATCTGAGAAGTGGGGATGAGGAACGAGGCTCTTGTAACAGTAATTTTGAATGACTGCCCTAAGGCCAAGTACGGAAGCACTTTCTGTTCTGTTTCAGCAGCTATTCTGGGACAAATAGCACAAAGTGAGTCATTTTATTTGTCTGAGGTGTGGCCAGTGCTGGTCCAGTGTCCACTGTTCTCAGAGGGAAGTTTGCACAGCTGATGTCTCTGCTCCAAGATTCTATCCTATGTGAAGGTCGCTGTATAATATGTCAATGTAATTCTCTCTCCCTCTCTCTCTCTCAGGTTGGCTGCACCGTGGGACCACGCCATGGCTCAGGCTCCGCAGGCACTGGTTTGTCCTGACACAGGACTCTCTAGATTATTATACAAACGGTGAGCTGAACGCACAGAGGCTGGGGATGCTGGTGTTGACCAGTCTGTGCTCTGTCATATGGCCGGATAAGAACAGCTACAAGGAGACAGGTAAAGGGATCTGACTCTGAACAGGGCACCCGCGAGCGATCAATTGTTGCCTGGCTCCACGCGTGATGCATCTCAAATCTCGTCCCCCGCATTCAATCTAATCACTCCCGTCACTCCGTGCATCTTTTTCCATTAGCATCATCTCATTCCCAGACAACTCTTGCTGAATGCAGAGCAACTCTTTTGCCCGGTTGCTCTCCATCCACAATTTGGTCGCTCAATCCATGACTGTTTGTGGGGACACTGCTGTGCGCTACTGGTTGCCGCGTTTCGCCCACAAAATGTACGGTCAATTCGCTTTGCGGTAACACTGTCTCGCTTTGAGTTGGAGCGTGTCCGAGTCTCGTGCTGTGGATGTTGTTCTCAGGCTATTGGCGAGTGACTGTGCACGGCCGACGGCTCCAATACCGACTGTACAGCAAACACCTGAATGAGGCCATGCAATGGGCCAGTGCCATCCAAAGCGTCATTGACAGCAAAGCCCCAGTGGACACCCCCACACAGCTGCTGTTACATGACATCCAGGTACTAAGTCTCTTTGAATCGCATTCTTGTTACTTCTGGTTCTCGTGTGGCATTAAGATGTGTGGACAGCGGCTATTTCGCGGTCAGTTGGTAGCCTCCTTCCTTCCTATGTTCAGAGCTCCACACCGCTCGCTCATGCAAACCCTCAACTGTCCAGCGCCTCGGAACGTCCTCCTGACGTGAAAGGCGCTAGATCAACGTTAAATTTGTCGTCGTATTGGGTGACCAAAGAGTTGTGATACCATTACAGTGCCAAATAAGTCTTAAAGAAATTTTTTTTGTTTTAGATAATCGGATAATTGAAAAATGCGACTTTTTAGTCACCTTGTACTTATTAAATATTTTTCTCTTAAAGTGATAGGTTTTCAGCTGCTGTAACTCTTAACCCTTTAGAAAATGTGAACGTTGAGGCCATGGAGGAGCTGGCTGCGTGGAGTTAATTCCGGTTCTGTTTGTTTTTTATTGTGTTCAGGAGTGCCGCTGCAATCCAGAACTACTTGAACATATCTACAATTCCAACCCCATCCTCCAGTACACGCAGAAACCACTCTATGCGCCTCTGCTACCGTTCCCTTACGGACCTGTGACACACAACTGTAAGTACGGCATTGACCTCTCCATCTCCTAGCAATGTGCAGGAGATGTGTGGAGATAAGAGACAATAGGAGAAAAATGTGAGATCTGATTGTGATGATTAACACTGGTATTTCAAGTCTGCACTAGTGTTTTTCTCCACCTGATCCATTTAATGTAATCCTGTTTGTTCCTTTGATATTTCACTTTTCATGCATCTCGAAACATAGGATAGAATAAATATGCAATGCCCTTGTTTCTTATTTACTATTTACTCCCCCTCCGCCCTTTTGTAACTTCCTTACGCAAGCTTCAGGCTTGTCGACATACAGTTGGAGGAGTTTTAACGTTCATCCAGGACTTGCAATCTGAACGTGGGCTTCTGCGGTGTGGAGCTCTGAACATAGGAAGGAAGGAGGGTTTAAAAGTGCTGGATCTCATTTTTTTTTCATATTTTATTTCCAGTTCAAAACACGAGTGGTTCAACGACTCTGCAGGATGAAGCTGTCAAGATCTTCAATTCGTTGCAACAGTTGGAGGTGCAACGAGAGCCTGTGCCCCTGATCCAGGGAGTCCTGCAAACCGGGCTGGAGCTGCGGCAACTCCGAGACGAGATGTACTGTCAGCTGGTCAAACAGACCACCAGCCCCCTGGAACCCGGGGGTACCAGGGACCTGCGGTACTGGCAGCTTCTCACCTGTATGGCCGTTACATTCCATCCAAGCTCCGCTATCCTCAGACACCTCCACTTCCATCTCGCACGGTAAGCCCCAGTGAGCATCCACTAAGTAAGGTGCCAATTGACCTGCAGTAACATCAGTGGTTAGAGCACTCACCTTGTAAGCACGAGGACTGGGTTCGATTCCTGGGCATGGCAAAACTTTGGGCACGTTTCGTTACCACACATGCCTCTGTTTACCTAGCAATAAGTAGGAACACAACATACAGCCTATTCACTTTATGGTATATTCCGTGAAGCGCCTTGAGACGTCTTGAAGATGTGATAAGGTGCTATATCAAATGCAAGGATTATTATTATCTCCACTGGATACCTTGATGCAAACCGCCCCAAATAACCTGTTTGATGAGAATTCGGGATCCCAGCACTGAGATCCTTCACTTCCAGCGTTGGCTGATCATCTCTCCATGTGTGACTGTCTGACTCATAGCAGTTCAACAGCTATTGGCCTGACACAATCACGTGAGGGAGAAGGGAATAAAGAAATATAGTTGGAATAGGAGGAGGACGAGGAGGCGTGAGAGTCTTGTGTGAAATCTAAACACTGGAATGGACCATTGTGCCAAAAGGCATATTTCTGTGCCTTATCACACTTTAACAATACAGTCCCTCAGTGTTGCCATATTAGTCCATGGCCTCTTGCTACAGCTCCAGAAATAGCAATACAATAGTGTCTGAAGTCTGCTGTGTGTGTGCGCGCTACCCTGCTTGAAGGGCGCGATATACATGCAAGTTGCTGTTGTTGTTATCATTGGAGGCAAGCATCGTGTCTGATGCTTCTCTGCTTTTCTTTCTCAGACAACGGGCTCTGTTTCCGGGAAGCGAAATGGACAAGTATGCGGAATTCATCACCGACTTGCTGAGGAGGAGCAGGGCGCGGGAATGTGTGCCGTCCTGGGCCGAGATCCGGGCTCTGACGCGGAGGCAGCAAGTGAGCTGCACCGTTCACTGCGCGGGTGCTGGCACCTGCAGCATCGCTATCGGCTCACATACAACAGCGGGGGAGGTAAGAGACTGAACATAATCGTACTGACCTCCATCTTCAGTAATAATCCTTGCCTTTAGCAGAGCGCTTTTCACGTCACTGCCAAAGCAGTTCACAGGATTTACTGTAAAATGTGGTGACCGGATTTACTGTAAAATGCAGGGACTGGGTTAAAAGCTCTATTAATTGGTTTTTGTGGGCGATGGTATCAGCCAAGTTGCCCAATCTTGTCTGGATCTGAATTCGCTGAAGTGTGTGGAATGGCCAGTGCTTTGATGCCCACAGCTGGAGCTCTGTGATAATGAATATATATATATAAAATCATCAACGTCGACTGTTGGCTTTCCGAATGGCGTGTGAATCATTCATGTCACTCCGGGCAACTGCCGGTGAATAATCATCAATCAATCGTAACAATCGTTTATTTTTTAAAAACTATATTTTCTTCTAATTTTCTCACTCTGCCACAGTTCCTGATATTCCTGCGCCTTTACTGTAGAATCATTGTCAGGAAGTGAGCAGGCCGACTGTAAATTTAAACTATGTTTTAATCAAACTTGTGCTGTAAAGACAGCTGCACTGTTTAACTTAATCCTCACATTTGATAGAGCCTTTAACAAAGAGAGCTCAAAACCCATCACAGGTAATCGTTGTCAAGTATAGAAACCGTAATATTTTAAAGCAAGCATGGCAGCCGCTTTATAATAATACCAATCCTTGCATTTGATACAGCGCTTTTTCACATCTTCTGGACGTCTCAAAGCGCTTGACAGAATATACTGTAAAGTGAATCGAAACGCGGCAGCCAATTGCGCACAGCAGTGTCCCCACAAACAGTCGTGGATTGAGCGATCAAATTATTATTATTTTGAGGGGATTATTATCCACCGGAAAAGCGATCCGCCAATCGACTGATGACCGGTTCCTACTTACTGCTAGGTAAACAGAGGTGTGAGTGGAGTAAGGAAACTTGCTCAACGTCTCGCCCTTTTGCAATATCAAGACAGCCATGACTCATCAATGAATTGCCTGTGTTAATTTGTAGGTGGTGAAGCAGTTGATTGGGAGATTCGGGCTTGGGGATAGCCGCAACATCTTTGCTCTATTTCAGCAGTGTGGTGGTGAGGAGCATCTCATAGCGAGCAGCGCTGTTGTGGCCGATATCCTCAGCAGGTTTGAAAAGTAAATGTGCTTCAAATACTCTCAAAGTCGTGACTCCGAGAAAAGTGTTAGTGAGGAATATTCTACTCTCTTACTCGTATGCAGTATTGCCACTCAGCTTGGGCTCAGTCCACATTAATAATAATCCTTGCACTTGATATAGCGCTTCACCTCATCACATCTTCGAGACATCTCAAAGCGCTTCCAGGAATATGTACTGTAGAGTGAATCGACTGTATGTTTTGTGGGCGAAACATTAGTTCATAAATAAGTGTGTTTTCTCACTTTACTTTCCTAGTCTTAATTCCAATGAAGAGGAGCCGGAAAAGCAAGGGAAGCTTCACTTCAAACTCTACTGTGTGCTGGATCAGGATATCGTTCCAAAGGAGAGCGTGGAGTTCAGCTTCCTGTTGGAGCAGGTATTGATCAATGGCTTTAGAGCATATTATTATTATGTTTCCGGCTCCAACATTGCCAATAACGGCAATATACATACTGCCAGGTATGTGTACAAAGAGACATGTAGGGCCATCATGTTTTCCTCTTAGTCTAATTCCATTTGTCTGCTTGCTCCCACATCATATCCTGTAATATTCTACTTTTTTAAGCTTCTGTGGCAACACTTGCATTTATGTTCTTAACATTTATGTTCTTGTTAGGTAAACAACAAGAAAAGTACGACTCTCTCAAAACCCATCGCTGTCTACCCTACTTTTCACTCATTCTCCCACTGGTCTGACCGTGCCTATTAATCCTCTGCTTTGTCTTTGTGTGTGCATTTGGCTGCCGCCCTGACCTGCGAGCTCACTATCCCTTGCCCCAAACCTCTCTTTCCCCCCCTCTTGCCCTCCATCTCCTGTTTTCCCAGTCACTATGCGCCCCTCATTTCTGAGTCTGCTACAGAAGATCGACTTGATTCTGATCTTCCATTCGCACTGCCTCTTTGCATACCAATCAAGGTAGGTACCAAGTCTTAGATGTATGAGGTTAGTCAAGTGGTTAGGAACCAGGGCTCCGTGTAATGACTTCCAGTGGTGTGTCAGAAATGTATTTTGTTTATATCTAGGCCCACGAGATGGTGACAAAAGGCTACTACGCTGCATCACAGGACACCTTGCAGTCCCTTGCTGCCTTGAGGTTGCAATTTACAATTCAGGATTTCAGCACCCACGTGCCATTGCCCAGACTGCAGGATCTCTTCCCTGTCCACATCCTCCAGTCCCAGGTCCTGCAGTCGGTAAAAACCATGCTCTCCACAAATGGCACAAACACTAAAAGAGGGAGCGGCTTCCTGGCGGGAGGTTTCCCGAGCAGCCTGTGGGGGAGCTCGGCTGGTAAGCACAAGCTGGAGGAGGAGCAGCTTTTAAAGGTTCGACTCAATGAGGAAATGGCATCAACGATGGCAGCCATAGTGGAACACTGGAAACTGCTGCAGGGGATGAACCGAGAAGAGAGCATGACTACTTACCTTGCCATCGTGCGAGAGTGCTCCGCATATGGAGCCACTGTGTATCCAGTAGGTCTACGTGTGGTGAGTGCATCTAATTATAGGAGTGGGGGGATTAGGAGGGCGTAGGGGATAAGGAAGGAGGGGGCAATGGGACGAGGGACGAGGAGGGAAGGGAGCCAACAGGATTAAGAGTGAAGGCGACTCAGAAAAGTCTGAAGTGAATACAGAATACATTGTTTCCTGATATTACTTTGTTGAATGAAAACTGATGTAAAAGTATATGATGATTGTACTTGTTCTCTGCTGTTAGAGCTCTGCGGAGCAGTCTGTCCAGAGACTGTGGCTGGCACTGGATACAAAGGCTGTGTCACTTTACAAGGAAGGAGATGCTGACCCGCTTGAGAGCTTTGGCTACCATCAGATCTCGTCATTTCATCCAATGGACAAGAACATCTTTAAAATTGCTCTGGACAAAAAAGACTTTTTGTTCGAGTCAAACCAGGTAATCTTAAGATTATATACCGTCTCACGACTGTGCATGATGTAGTTTTGAGTAGCGGCTCTAATGGATCTGATTTAGCAATATAGACCAGCATCCTTGAGGCAACTCACTGAACATCTTCCCCCATTTCAACTTAGCTTCCCCCATGTCTACTTTAGCCAGATTATCAAGTGAGGTCACTTTGTTGAGGAGTCTCTTTCTGAAGTTTACGTAGACTTTGTCACATTGCTTCTCACAATCATATTGCCACGTTTGTGTTTTGGCGGAAACTGCCAATGTTTTTTTCCTCATAAGAACAACCCTGGCTTTAATTATCTTTTTTCTTCTTCAGGTGGAACAGATTTCTCAGCTCATGAAGATCTACAAGGCCAATAACGTCCGAAAACGACCACATCCTCGGTTTGAAGGCTGTAGAATTAGACCAAACCCAGAAGACAGTCTATCTACCAGCCATCATCATATCCTGTACAGAGGTTCCATCACTGAAGAAACACTGCGTCGGTGAGGACTGACATAGACAGCTTTCTTTACCGGGATCTTACCTGTCCTATTACTACTGCATCAGTAGGTCTCTGGGTCTCTGCACAGCTTTTGTATGCAGCTCAGCAATGCCTGTTGCCGTATTTATTCTATCCGATGTGCTCTGATCGAATGGGGCTGCAGGCCGATAGTCCTGTTGGACATAATATAGTGCCTTATCACATCTTTGAGACGTCTCAAAGCGCTTGTGAACCACACTCTGATGGAAGAAAGTTTCTTTTTCCTGAGACAGAAGGGACGCTCTAATGTAATTCTAAAGGTAACGTTTTTGTATAACGTAAGATTCTCTAAACAATAATGACAGCTGAGATCCCAAGAGCATTGAAGAAGAAGAAAATTTCCCATGTTCATAAACGGAGTACAGAGCTTCCAAAATATCATATTCCAGTGACCTTTGCTGGTAATTGTGGACAGGATCCAGCTTGGCTATGATCCCCTTGCACACTTTCTGTTCGTACGTGAAACTTTGTGCTGGAGTTTATCTGGTATCTACGGAAACATCACATCTGGCATATGTGCAGGAAGCATTACTGACTTCACTTCACAGAGGAAATACGATCAGCAGATGACACAGAAGTTGGCCTTTTGACTCCTGAGGTATTGGACCCAACTGACTAATGCGGTTTCCCTGTACTTCCTCGGACAATAATAATATTGCATACCTTGTCAGTGACAATTAGTTTTATTGATAATTACTGTTGGGTATTAATTAACAATTTGCCAGAAGACCGTCACTTTGAAGGAACAGAAACCATGTCACATGCAGCAGCCTCATGAAACACTGAGCCGAAGAGCAGACTGAAGCTGCCGGCAGCTTTGCTTTCACATAGGGCCTACACTTGCGTACTGTCTTAAACTGTTTGTAATGGAAAAGCTCTTTATTTAACTGAATACACAGTTTCCTTTTGCTTTTAATGTACATACATTGCACTATTTTGTACAGGTCAACTCGTGCAATATGTAAAAAGTCAGAATTAAAGGTATTTTGTACCAGAATTTGCAGCCTGTTCCAATCGCGTTTAACTGCAATTTAGATCAGGTTAACGAAGTTGGAGCCGCAGGTGAGAAGACATTGAGAGAAACTAATGAGGCTAGCTTCTCTTTTATCCATATTCAGCTGTAGAAAGTTTATGCTCATCCATACTGTCTGACAAGCAAGTGGACTGCACATCATTGGGATTGCAACCAGAGTTTGGCAATTTGGGAATCATCCCCATACATATCAGTTGACCCCATGTCTCCAACTGTTATTGTGTAGAAGGAGCAGGTAAATGAGAAAAGGTTTGCTATAATCACACTGAACATAGCTAGTCCTTTTGAAATATAATTTTTTTTTGGTCAGCCAGGTGTCTTAACCCATGCAGAATCCCATGCTTCAGGGGTATCAAAACCTACAATAACTTGTATTTATGTAGCACCCTTCATTCAGGTTAGCGTCTCAGATCACTTAATGGTGTAGTTTGACACCAAGTCAGGGAGAAAGGGGAGATAGCCATAGGCACAATCAAAGAGGAACGTGAAGATGTGCATTGTACCAATGTGTGCTGAATGCCTATTCTGCAAATATCCCAAACTTTGATAGTTCTTTTGATTGAGCACTAGCATAGGCCAGGAGCAGGGCCTGACTATCTATTCCCCTACATTTTTCTCCATATTTACTAAATAATGTTTGTGAGACAAATCCAAAAAGCTTCCATGAACAAGAGACATCTAGCTACAAAAGACCCACACACTAGAAACGTAGCAGAAATTAGCACAACTTTTAAGTTTAATTTGCAGAAGGGCTGAAATAGTGCAAATTAGGACTGACTGACTTAATCTGTTAATTTTACATCCTTTTCAAAAGTTCCCCTCCCCTTTAAAATTCATATTATACAACTAAAAGAGCAACCTCTGCAACATTTACTCTCTCATTCTGGAAAAGGGGCATTTTCCTAACTGATAGCTTCGGGAATTCTTTATTTACTATAAACTGTTTACAAAAGTCGACGGATATATTAACTGGTGACCATGGTCACCCTATAAAGAAATACAAAAACAGCACGATATGGGTCCAAGCAAAGCAAACACTAGAGCATTGAGTTAATAAAGCACACTTTATACACACTAAACCTTTCTTCCCACCTTCAATTTCAACCATATGATGTGCCTAACATCTCAAACACAGCATTGCCCAGAGCATTTATCTAGAGATAGATTGGGGGCAGCAGTATATGGTGTGGGATTGGTAAATACAAGTTACACAGCAGACATTACAGATATTCCATCTCTAGTACAAAGGCCATATTCTGACATACCAATCAGTAATTAATGGACCAAACTACCACTCGTTTTTATCAAAAGGAAGTTTAAACATAAACCACAAGCTAAGTATAGAGGCCACATATCAGCTCAGGAACTTGTGTATTTGGTGGAATTGTCCCAATTCACACATTTGCTTGAACTCTGACAATAGCTCATATGTTCACTGATCTTGGTTGCCCCAGGAGATGTAGTCGGCTCTTGTGGCAGCATGGTACTCGTCAATCAGCTGCTGCACAATCTCCCGCGAGTTGTCCAGTTCATCAAAGTTGTCCTTAAATATATCCTCTTTACGGAACTGTTCCAGAAAAGCTTCCCTCTTCCGCAGCTTGTCGTACTGCCTGCTGGTTCTTTCAAAAAGCTGGGGAGAAGCAAGCCATCAACATTTACCACACGCCACTGTTTCATTATCACTTTGCAACACTTGGATGTAACCTACTTCAGTGTTGGATATCTTCACTCAAATCCTTCAGTCTAGACTATAATCTCACGTGGGGCTTGAACCCACCTTCTGATCCAAAGGCAAAAGTGCTCCCAAGTAAGCCAGGCTGATTAGATGGCAGGTTTTGGCTTCTGGTCTGCACACAACTAGTGCACCTTGTATTGTCCACAAAATATACAGTCAATTCACTTTACAATATATTATGTGAAGGGCTTTGAGATGTCTTGAAGACATAATAAGGCACTGTATCAAATGCAAGGATTATTTATATAAAGCTAATCAAACTCAGTTCAATTACAAAATTATATTTGTATAGTGCCTTTCACGTTGGAAGGACGTCCCAGGACACTGGAATTAGACACAACATTACACATCTGCCCAAAGTGGTGAATGAAAAAAGCCTTGTCTACAGTTGGTACTTACTGAGGAGATGCTGGTGTGATTAGCCATCATGAGTCCACTAACCCGATGAGCAGATGGCAAGTAAGGAGACTTTCTTGACAGAGCCACTTGTATACTAGCTGGACCCCATGGAATAAAGTTTGCCAACTTTCGCTCTCTTATTCTTTGCAGACTCTTATGAACCTATTGAACCAAATGCAAGGATTATTGTAATTTATTATTAACAATTATACAGTACAAAATTACATTTGTATAGCGCCTTTCAAGGCTCAAGGTGCTGATTATTGATAATAATAGTTACAGAATTAGAGCAAGTTCATCCTGAAAGGATATGCTTTCTAGCAGTCTCTAAAGGGGATGCTAGAAATAATTGACTTTACAGAGCTCCTTAAAGAAACAGAACAAGAAAAACTGACATTTAAATAGTGCTTTTCATGTAGGATAATCTCTCAAGAGTACTGTACAGTGGTGGGGTTTGTTGCTGGGTAAGGAGGAAGGTGATCATAGGCATGGTTGAAGTGGTAGATTTTCAGATGAGATTTAAAGATGGATAGAGGAGGCGAGACAAAGGATTGAGCCTCTGATCGTGATGCAGAGGGGCTGGCAGATGCGCAGTCAGCCTGTTTTAGCTGAGCAAAGGGGGACTTGGCAGAGGACTGGGGTTACAAACTGTATGTGCAGTATGCCAAATGGGGAAGGATGGAAAGTCTCCAGGTTGGCAGTGCCCCAATACACAATGGACAGGCTGACTGTTTGAGGCAGGCCCTGTAAAGCAAATGCAGCAAGATACCACTGTGATCATTAAGCTTTTTTGTCATTTATCTGCTTCTCTTGCATATAAGTCTAAGTCAAAGAATGCAGACTATATTCTTTTTAAGATAATTGGCAACAGAATTAGAAGGGAGTTTTTTTTTTACACAGAGTTATTACAGTCCGGAATGCACTGCCTGAAAGGGTGGTGGAAACAGATTCAATAACAACTTTCAAAAGGGAATTGGATAGGCACTTCTAAAGGAAAAAACTGCAAGGATATGGGGAAAGACTGGGGGAGTGGGACTGATTGGGTAGCTTCCAAAGAGCCGACACAGACACGATGAGCCGAATGGCCTCCTTCTGTGATGTAATATTCTATGATGTAATATTCTATATTAACACCCTAAATGAATCCCTTACACAGGAAATCAGCTTTATTCCTACCTGAGTAGGGTCCACCTCCCCCTGAATAATATTGAGGATGGCAATGTAGCAATGGATGGTTTGTCGATCTCTGCTGGTGGACACCATCACATTCTTTGGTTGTAACAGTCTCCGCATGACATCCAGAACAGTTGTTTTGCGTATACTTGCAACCTACAAACAGAACATGCAATTCTTTTTAAAAAAAAACAGCATTCTCCACTCTGTCCCTAAGTTTTCAAATGCACCTCCCTGCAGCTTGTGCCAAGACAATGAGAAATGTAGAACCATCGTTCTGGGCTTCAGAACATTACATGACAAAGTAAGCTACATGGGGTGACAAGTCAATAAATACAGCCAAATATTCTCTCAAAAGTATCAAAAACGCTACTGGTTTTGAGTTGTAGACTCTTCCTCCTCCACATGGCCTTTTGATGATCAAAGTTCACATATGCAACAAGGACAAGAGGGAAAGAATCGGACGTTTTTACAGCGAAGCTTTAATTGTGGCTCAGACTTCAAGTGGTGCAGTACGTTGAACACTGCCACACACTACCCTGGACTAAGTGCGTTCCAAAAGCATTTTGGATGATTTGTAGCTTGGGGAAAGTTGAGCTGGGTAGATCAGCGAGGAATGCATTGGAGAAGTCAAGTCCAGAGGTAACCCTTCAAGTACCACAGTGTCTCAGAGCACTGCATAGTGTCAGGGCTTCAGCGTAATCATTTACAGCATTGACACTTACCGATTGATCGGTGGTAAGTGGGGTGTAGCCAGTCATGAGGAAATGAAGTCGTGGAGTTGGAATGAGGGAAGCAATTAGGCCAATCAGATCATTGTTCATATATCCAGGGTACCTCAGTGTGGTGGTACTTGCAGACATGATGGTAGACACCTGGCAAACAGATCAAATAGCAATGTCCTATGAATTTATCCTTAGAAACATATGACAAGAGAGGTTAAGATGAAGAAGGCCCTTCAGCTCATTTGATCATTTCCTTCCAGAATACCCGCCCTCAGGTCTTCAAGATGTCTCAAAACACTTCACAGAATATTCTGTAAAATGGTGTGACTGTGTGCATTTTATAGGCAAAGTACAGAAGCTATAACTATTGCTGGATTTTGGGTGATACTTTTAACTGTTTTCGCTGATAAAAAGCCTCCAGAAAGTAGTAGTTTAATACGGACAACTTCATCACACCATACTTCTCACTGCACTCTTAACATATCCAGATTTTCCTCCCCCTTCCCTCCTCCTGCATCTCCAACTCTGCTCCCAGTAGTGCTTTGCATCTCCACTCATTCACAGATATCCAACAGTAATGTCTCCTGCCCATTCAGATAATATTTACCAGCTGGTTGATCTGAGAGAAGGAGGGGTTCGGAATATGCAGCCGGTCTGTTGCGATCCGATTCAATGCTGTGTTATCAAGGACCACCTGAGCAAAGGATACAATAAGGAAATGTTAACCTGTTCCAATACTACTAAATATTTCACTGCCTTCTCTCTGTGTTAAATCTGACTCTCCCGAGTACTGTCTTCCACCAGCTCAAGTCTGAGCTTGCAGCCACTCACCACACAGTCAGCATTCTGAATCAGTCGCTTCAAGGTGAGTAATGAGTTGTAAGGTTGCACCACAACATCACTCATTTCATCCTGGTTAGGAAACACAGAGTACGTCTGCACCAACTTCTTTGGATATCTAGAGATTGAACACAATATACTGTGAGAACAATTTTCTGAAACCTTCTGGGATTCAAGTTTTTGCTCGTTTTACAAATACTAAAATCAGACCTAGAAGATTTACACCAAAGATTTACACTAAGTTTTAATGTAGGTCTTTTTCCTACTTCCAGAAACAAATAAAATAAAAGGTTTAACAGGATCCACAAGCTTTGGCTCCACCGATCACATTTCTCTAGGCAGATCAGTAAAGGTCCAGAACTGCAGAAATGTTTCATGTCACAAAATTGCACCACTCCCCCTCACCCATCCTATTATTATTTATTTCCATTGATGTCATTTTCAGTAACCACATGAAATCTGCTTTCTAAGTTAACTTGCATCCTGGAGAGGCACTGAATAACACGATCATCCTGTTCATACAGCTTTCAGATAGTGATGGATTGTCACAATAATTGAGTATTTATAGAATACTTGCCTGTCATTTAACTTCTCCAGAAGATAGGAACCCAAGCCGGAGCCGGTCCCACCAGCAATAGAGTGACATAGAACAAAGCCCTGCAATAAAAATACAAAGTTTTATAACAGCCAAGTCTTGTGCAGTGAGCACTGCTGCAGCCAGATATGAATGATACTGAAACATACTGCAAAACCACAAGAACCAAGGTAGTGAAGTATCAGAAGCCAGCCCTGTGGGGTAAGCCCTTTATAACTAAATAATTAGCTTTAGGATCTCTTACCACCTCAGTCAACTGCTATCTGCGCTCACATAGCAGTCCTCTACCCGCCCCCTTTCCTCAGCCAGTTAGGACCTTCTGCACGTCCCTCGAACACTTTGCTCCATTAGCGATTGTTTCAGCCACTGTTTCCCAACTTTCTGGAGCTCCCGAACTCAACCCTCTGTGAGGAAATTCTGGGCCCTCCCACAACAATAAACAATATTAAACCTATGTGAATATTAACACTTCACACCAATAAAAGGCACAGTAGTTGACAGCCAGTTCAATAAGGAAATGAGTGAGTCACTCTTGCGGAAAGTAACTCACCTCTAAACTGTCGCTGCCATCAGCCTCACGGTCGATAATATCAAAAATATCTTCATGGATTTTTTCACCCTGTTTAAGACAAAAAGGATTTCAGTAGAAGCAACAAATGCATTTACCAAAACTATATAAAATGTTCCAACGTTGCCTCATGTCAAAATACCTCAAAGACCATTATGGAATGATATGGGGGGGGGGGAAAGAGGGGAAATAACAATAAATATTTATCAATGCCAACATAATAAATTCTCCGGTTACTACGCCATCTTGGGGCACATAAACCACAGCAGGAGTCAATGCAAACTGTAATTCATTTCCCGCCCCAAAAATACAGACTTATTAAGACAGCTCTCATTTACTCTTAAGACAGAGTACTCTTAAGACAGAGTATACCTGTGAATAGCCACTGGCCCAATTGTTGCCCGCACCACCACCATGTTCTGACAGGTAGATGTTCTCTGGATTGTAAAGGTTGGCATAGGGTGAGTTCAGGATACCATGAATGACCCGAGGCTCCAAATCCAACAGCACAGCTCGTGGGATATAATGCTCATCGTCTGCCTAAACATAAAATTAAATAATAATAATAATCGTTGCATTTGACATAGCACCTTATCACGTCTTCGAGACATCTCAAAGTGCTTCACAACATTCTCAAAGCGCTTCACAATATAAGTAAGTGACAGGATAGCTCAACTGGAATAAACCGTTGAACATAAGTTAACTTTCAAAGGCATGCAAAATAAATTAAAATCTTACTTGCTTTTCCACTGAAATATTTTACTTAAAACGCTTTCCAATTCCCCGAAAATAAATTGAGCAGAATTTTTTCCCAAAATGTACACAATTTAAAGAGTTTTTATAATAACGTCCGATTGCAAAACATGGCCACTGTTTGCCACTGCATCTGCTGCCTCCTCCCCATCTCCTCCTCCCACCCCGGCCCGTACCCATCCCTCCTCCCTCCACAACTTTGAACCTGTCTCCCCCTCCTCTCTCATCACCACCATAACCCGTATGAAACCTACCACGTGCTCCCCCGACCTCATCTCTACCCCTCTCCTTATCTCCCAGCTCCATCTCCTTGCCCCTCTACTCATTGACATTGTAAACTTCTCCCTGTCCTCTGGTACTGTTCCCGCCCCATTAAAAACTGCTGTCATCACTCCAATCCTTAAAAAAACCTTCTCTGGACTTCTCTAACTACGGCCCCATCTCTAACCTCCCCTTCCTCTCCAAGGTCCTGGAACGAGTTATTGCTTCTCAGCTTCACTCCTTCCACTCCCTTCTCGAACCCCTCCAATCGGGTTTCCGTGCCGCCCACAGCACAGAAAACTCCCTGGTCAAAGTGACAAATGACATTCTGTCCATCTGCGACCAGGGCTCCATTTGCCTCCTCATCCTCCTTGACCTCTCTGCTGCTTTCGACACCGTTGACCACCCTATCCTCATCCACTGCTTCTCCTCTCACCACAACCTCTACAGCGTTGTCCTTAACCGGTTCAGATCATGCCTCTCACACCGCCTGCACTTCATCTCCTCAAACGGCTTCTCCTCCAGCCCCCGGACTGTCTCGTGCGGCATTCCTCAGGGCTCTGTCCTTGGTCCCCTCCTTTTCAATATCTATACGCTCCCTCTTGGTGACATCATCCGCAGACATGGGGTCAACTTCCACATGTACACAGATGACACCCAACTCTACCTCTCTACCTCCACCCTTGACTCCAGGACCACTGCTGTGCTGACAGAATGTCTGTCAAACATCAAGTCCTGAATGAGAGCTAACTTTCTTCAGTTGAACGTCAACAAGACCGAAGCTCTCCTGATTGGCTCCCGTCAGCGCCTCCTCACCCTAGGCGTTGACAACATCATCATCCATGGTTGCAGACTCCACCTTGCTAAGCCAGTCTGAAATCTTGGGGTCTTGTTTGACCCTCAACTATCCTTTCTACTTCACATCTGCGCCATAACCCACTCTGCCTTCCCCCACTTCCGCAACATCGCCCAGCTCCGACACTGTCTCCCACCGCAGACCTCCAAAAGCCTCATACACGCCTTCAGCCTCTCAGCCCCCAGGCTCTGGAACTCTATCCCCCAGTGCCTTCGCCTTGCTTCCTCCCTTTCCTCCTTCAAGGCCGGTCTCAAAACCTTTCTCTTTGACCGAGCCTTCAGCTCCCCTCTCGACTCTCTTCCCCCTCCTCGCTCCCTCCCTTCCCTCCCCTTACCCTGACCATTTCCCCCCTCCTCGCTCCCTCCCTTCCCTCACCCTGACCATTTCCCCCCTGCTCGGGTCATGACCCAACTGTGCAGCGCCTTGGGACGTCCTCCTGACGTGAAAGGCGCTTTATAAATGGAATCTTGTTGTTGTTGTTGTTCATTACATCGAGGCTCGACTATGCAAACTCATTGCTTGTCGGCCCCCCAACTCCTCCCTCCACAGACTGCAGATCATCCAGAACTCTGCAGCTCATGTCCTCTCCCGCACTAGGCTACGCGACCCTATCACCCCTATCCTTGCCCAACTCCACTGGCTTCCCATCACACAGAGGATACAGTTCAAAATCCTAGTCCTCACCTTCAAAGCCCTCCACAGTCTTGCTCCCCCCTACCTCTCCAACCCCCCCCTACCATCCTGTTCGCTCCCTCTGCTCAGTGGGCTCCAGCCCGCTTCACGCCCCTCGCCTTGCTCGCCCCACTATTGGCAGGCGAGCCTTCCGCCACTCTGCCTCCACCCTCTTGAACAGTCCCTCCGTCTTGCTCCCTCCCTTGCCACCTTCAAGACGCACCTCAAGATCCTCCTCTTCGACCGTGCTTTCGATTTGCCTGCTTTCCCCCTTGCCCTCTACCCTCCCTCACCCCGACCCCCAGCTCAGTTCCTTAACTCTCTGTCCAGCGCCTTGGGACATCCTCCCGACGTGAAAGGCGCTATACAAATGTAATTTTGTTGTTGTTGTGGTATAACGTGGTATAACTTTCAATGGATATAAAACAAAAGAATGAGTTTCAGGTGAACAATAAAGAGTTAAAGGAAAACTCTGTAAGGCCTTTACATTGGACTTTCCTACATATTTAAGCAAATTTCAAATTTCTGACAATGATGGATATTTTCTATTTTAAATATTTATCCAACTCTACTTTAAATGCACAAGGAAACTAGGACACACCTGATAGAAGAAGACATCCTTCCTGTCAGTACCCTCAGTCGCAAATTCTTCCACAATCCCTTCAGGGCTGATACCATGTTCAGCACAAAGCTGTTTCCAAAATTCAAAGCCAACTGTGAAGATAATATATCACGATCATAATAATAATCCTTGGATTTGATATAGTGCCTTATCACGTCTTCGAGGTATCTCAAAGCGCCTCACAGAATATATTGTATAGAGTGCATTTATAGAGTGCTCCTCACGTAGAGTAGTGTCCCAGAGCACTTGGATCAAGCAGTTAGATACATAAAAGAAAAGGGATGAATAACAACAAGCAATAATAACAACAATAATAAACTCTGCATTTGAAATAGCAGCTTATCATGTCACCCTGACATCTCAAAGCGCTGCAGAGGATACACTGTAAAGTGGTTTTATATACTGTATATATTGCAGGCGAAATGCATCAGCCAGTTACATAGAACAATCCCACAAATAGCCATGGAGTGAGTGGCCAATTTTATTTGGGGGATTGTTGGCTGGAAGACCAGGAGAAACTCCCACTGAAAGACATTGAAACGTCTCAAAGTTCTTCACAAGGTTTAATGTGAAGTGTATTGATGTATAGTTGTCGGTTACTGTGGCAACTAATTTGTTTACAGAGATGTCCCACAAGCAGATGGTAATTACATGTAAACAAAAACAACTGCAACTGGATTTAATGTCTCAACTTCAAATAATAAGCGCTCTGAGACGCTATCCTGCGCAGAGGGCGCTGTATAAGTGCAAGCTGTCGTTGTAATACTCTCACAGCTTTGCATTAATAATATTTCTTATATTTAATTGGGCACCTTTTCCATCAGGGACATCTCCACAACGACAAATGACATTTGTGTAGCGCCTTTCACGTCTGGAGGCCGTTCCAAGGCGCTGGACAATCAGGGATTTGGACCCGACCTGCGGGGTTGGGATCAGGAAGATTGGAGGGCAGGGAAGGGGTAGTGGTAGGAACATCTCAAGATTGCTTTTGCCGGACTTTACCGTAAAGGCAACTGACTTGTAGGCGTTTGTCGTATCTGGAGTCCTGTGGCTCGGCGGTTGGTGCACTCGAGGACTTTTGTTGATCGCTTGGCGGAGCGCTTAATAACCCCTTCCAGAAAGTAATGACAACAGCAGCGACAATTTGGTCACTCAAACCACGACCGTTTGCGCGCGCGGGCGCGTGCCTGTTCGCCGGCCGCCGCGCTTCGCCCACAGAATGCACGGGTCGGTCAGTCAGTCCGTCCACTGGACGGTGGGCCCCGCGAAGCACTTCGAGACGTCTCGACGACGTGATGAGGCGCCCCATCAAAATGCAAGTAATGTCGATACATCTACATCTATACACCTCTCTTTCTCTCTCTCTCTCTCTCTCTCTGTGTGTGTGGGTGTGTAATATATTTTTGGGGGCGCGTCCAAGTTGTCAGCGTCGGCCAAGAAGACTGTGAGCTGCAGCGTCCTGTCAGGGGAGGACTGCAAACCCCACCGCCTTCTGACTCCCAAGACCACAGTGTGGGCCCCGCGGCACTGCCCCATCATAATTCCTTTCCCAAACACCGCGTGTGTGTGTGTCCGTATATATAATATATATATACACACACACACACGTCACTCACTCTGATTGCCGCACTGGCCGAGCTGCAGCGTTATAATCTCCCGAGGCATCGCTCCCGCTGCGCCGCTCCTGCCGCCGCCGTTCAATCCCGCCAACCGTTAACGGTCGTCGACTCACCGAGCATGCGCAGAACCAAAGGCGCGCGCGCGGGCGGGCGGGTGGGCTCGCGCGCGCGCTCGCTCGCTCGCTCCCTCCCTCCCTCGAGCTCTCCGCGACTAGCGCAGGCGCACAGCTCACCCCCCCCTCCCCTCCCCGGCCATCGCTCAGCTCAGCCTCGGGACAGTAAACCTGTAGCCCAAAGTCACCCAAAAAGTAGCCCAATCGGATACGTCACCGGCAAGCAGCAGCAGGGTGGCCCCCAATTTAGCGGAGTAGTGCTGAATTTTTTGAAGACCGTGTAAGGAAAAAGGTCTTCAAAAGGGAGGGAGGGAGGGAGGCGGGAAAGTTCGGGCTGTTTTTTTTTAAAAAAAAAATGTATTTGAAAAAACAGCAGGTCGGGATTTTTGCACCAGGGCGGACCGAAACCCGCCCAATGGGGGCGTGAAACCCGCCCAATGAGGGCGTGAAACCCGCCCAGTGGGGCGGCGGGAGGGGCGTCGCGAAACCCCGCCCCCCCGATCGCTGACAAGCGCTCGCCCCCCCCGGCGGCGCGCAGGCGCATCTCTCAACCCACCGCCGCCAACCGGGGCGTGAGCGCGGCACCGAAGCCAAGGCGCGTGCGTCGCGTTTTATTTTTAATTTTATATATCTCATTTAAAAATAAAAGCCTCGGAAACCCCGGGGGCGTTTCTGTGTTTTTTTTAAAAAAAAATTTAAAAAAATAAAATCATTCGAGAAAATAATTATTTTCGGACGGAAGTGATTAAATCCCCATCGCGGCGCCGGCGCGCGGTGTTGTGTGTGTGTCTGTGGGGCGTCTGTCTGTCTGTGTGTCTGTGTGTCTGTGTGTGTGTGGAGCCGAGGCCGAGGCTGAGGAGATGAAGATGGCGGTGGGTAGTGAACCGCGTCGAGGCCTTGATCCCGACCACCAGCGGCGCGTGCAGGGCCGACAGCAGCAGCTGCTGCGCCTCCTCGGGCACCACGAGCGGCTGCTCACCTACTGCCAGAGCGTGTTGGTGTGGGACCGGCCATGGCACAGCCTCCTCTTCCACCTCAGCGTCAACGCAGGTTTCTGGTACGTCTTCACTGTGTGTTTGTGTGTGTACAGGTGACCTGTAAACCAAATCCGGAGAGATACACACACACACACACATATATATATATATAACAATAATCCTTACCACTTGATATACCTCCTTATAATAATAATAATCCTCGCATTTGATATAGCGCTTTTCACGTCGGGAGGACGTCCCAAAGCGCTTCACGGAACACACTAAAGTGAATGGACTGTATATATTTGTGGGCGAACGCGGCGGCCGATTGCGCACAGCAATGTCCCCACAAACAGTTGTGGATTGAAATTGACCAATTTATTATTGTTTTGGGTTTTGGAGGGATTATTATTAGGCTCTGTGTGGAGTAAGGAAACTTGCCCAAGGTTTCGCCCTCTGCCTGGAATTGAACTCAGGTCTCTCACTTGCAAAGCGAGTGCTCTAACCACTGAGCTACAGGACTCCACGGAGGGGGTGGGTGTGGGGTGGGGGGGAGGAGATGGGGCGATGTTGGTACAATTGAAATGAAGTGTGCAACCTGAAATGTCGACTTATCTTTCTTTCAGATCGATTTAACATTCTAGTCAGGTGACAGCTTGGCTCAGTTGGTAGTACTTGCTTCTGGGTTAGGGTCAGAAACAGGTGGGTCTGGGTTGAAATTTCCTGTGAGGGCTTAAGTTGATAGTTTCAGTGTTGCTGTTATTGCATTTGATATAGTGCCTTTCATGCTGGGAGGATGTCTGGAAGCTCAGGATGTTTTTATAGTCAGCTGGTTGGTTTGTCATCAGCAGTGCTCTGAAGGACTCTTGACCCGCACGGCTCAGAAACCACCAAGACTGCCACAGAGGATTGATGCAATTCTGACATTCTGTTGCTGAGCGACTCGCAATTGAAGTCTGTTCAGCTCCAGTTCTGCTGAGAAGGGGTGACGATCAGCTGGTCATTCTCATCTCTCTTCAAAGACAGCAGATAAATAGTGTGTCCAAACAGATCTCCTTCATGGTTCTGAGCTGCTTAGAATGAAGTGAGAGGCTTCCTCCAACCAACTTGTAAAGTCCAGAATCAAACAGTGAGGGGATGTGTGATAAAACAGGGGAAGAAACTGCAGGGATGGAAAGCTCTGACCTTTTGCTGAACACCTTTGAGATAGAGTTGGCTGCACAGGCAAACTTCTATATTTGCCAAAGCCCCTCACGTGAGGACCTGGATCAAGCAGCTGGTGCTGATATATGGCATTGAACTTGGACTTCCAGAACATCAGGTGGTGGCACGTCACAAGTCCTGGCACATCCTGTAAAGATCTTCCTACCAACGAAGGCCGTCAAATAGCTGATGAAATTCTGTAGCTTGGGACGACAGCTGCTGGAAGGCGTTACCTGGAGTTTGGGTTTGTGAACAAGTGTTCATATATCCAGGGTTTGGAATCCACTTTGATGAGCATGCAAAGTGATAAGAAGCGGCTGCTCGAACTCAGTACCTCCATCTGGTGGAACCATCACTCCTCAATCATTAGGGATGTGTGTCCAAGCTGTGGGCAGGAAGTTGGTGGCAATGCTCTTGCTCATTTCGTGCTGAGGGGTACTGCTCACCCAGCTTCCTGGTAACTGCCTTCCACTTAGTAAGGGCTCAAACCTGCAGGACAGAGTCCAGACAAAAGTTAGTGTTCCCTCGAACCTGCCAAACGATACCCTCAAGCTCCGCTCTTGGAACAGTGAAGGGTGATAATTCAACATTTTAAGGACACCCACCATCATGTTCCACCGTGTGGTCCACTATTCAAGATGGTGAGTGCATGGCACAAGATCTCCAGGTGGGTCTGCTAAGCAGCACAATATCGTTGCAAGCAGAAGGACAGCACCTCTGACAATGAATGCATAGACGATATGAGTTCCAAGTCCTGGCGTGATGCTTAAACCCACAAACCTGACTCAGAGATGAGAGTGCCCATCCAACTAAGCCAGGCTGACATGTGGAACTTTGTCTGGCTTGGAAAATCTTAGGCATAGGAATGGGTTTCCAGATGTGTCTGACCAAACAAAATAGGTTACTGGAAAGGTTGTTTGGTGGCTGAAAACACACTTTTTTAATAAAAAAAACGGCTTGATGCTGTGAAGGGAAAGTGGGGTATTCTGAAAAAATGAGAGCAAATAGGCTGAAAGGCCTTCTTTATCTGAACCAATCTTGTGAATCAAATAGATCTGGGACAAATTTATAAACAAAAGTGATGACTCTGCAAGATTCCAAGCTCTAAATCCGCTGCATATCCGTGTTGTGTGTGACAATCCTCCAGCGCTCGCGTGCAAATACAATGCAACACTTGGCAAAACACAGTCATTGATCCATCAGATTGTAGAATGAAGTTACTGGCCTGTTTTTTTAGTGACGAGTATTAATTTAAAATTTTGAGACTTTGAGCTTGCAGCTTTGCTCTTGCATTCTGTATAAATATCAACTCAAGTGGTGTCACGTGTTCACAGCTTCTCCTCAGTGTCGTCAGTTCTTGTTCTGAAAGGCTGAACAGTTTCTGAAGAAAAGCCAAATGCTCCCATTTGTGTTATTGTTGTCTCCGAAGCTAAAAATTTATCTTAGAATTTATGATTTTACTGTATGTTCACCTTTCTCCAAAGAATCTGCATTTATGTGAGTGGGTGAAATTAGTTATCCAATTCTTACATGGTTACTTTTAAGCAAGATCCTGTGGTGCATTTAGAAACCCGAATATCATGGAGTGGAAGGGAGGTGGTGGACATTAAAGATTTCATTCATTACGGAAGAAATGGACTCTTCCCAATGTCCACATCAACAACCGCCAGATAAATTGGTCATGGCTTTTTGTGGGACCTGCTTAGCGCAAATGTTCCAAAAACAAATACGCAATCATTACACTTAACAGTGATTTGCAGGAGTGAACACGGGGATACAGTGTGTGATGTCAATTGCAGTGCAATGAAGATTGAGAAGGTCTGGTCCTTGATCCACTATCCAAATCTGGGATAAATTGCACCTTAATAGGTGCACTGATGGTGCTGCTTCTGGGTGTAATGGTATTCATTTATCTCCCCAGGTTTCTGGCGTTGACCTCATTGAGGCTGCTCTTCCTCATTGCATTCAGTCTGATTGTCGTTGTCTGTGCTGACACCTGGAGGAACAAAATCTGGCCGGAAATCAAAGGTAAGAACAAGTCGCTTGGCTTTGTATTTATAATCCGTCTCAACACTTCTGGTAATGGTGACCACAGGCTGTCACAGTGGTGTGTGGTAGTGTTCAATTCAAGGACTCGCAATAGAATCCTGATTAACACCTCCTCTCGTCACATTTTTCCTGGATCAGAGGAAAGCCACAAGAGGACGCCATTCATTCGATCGTGCCTGTTCTATAAATTTGAGATCTTGTCAGATCTTTTTAATCCCTTTTAATCCTTTATCTTTTAAATCCATTCACCATGCTCCTTGAGGTGTGAGCAGATTAGAGGGTCGGGAGATGATAGAACATGTAGTGATTTGTAGGTGAGTGTGAGGATTTGGATTGATCCATTCTGCAACATGGAGCCTGGCAAGGACTAGGATGTTGGGGATACACAGGTCAGGATTTGAGCAGGAGTTCCGAATGAGTTGGACGTTGTTTGGAGTCGGGGAGATCAGGTAGTATTGCATAGAGAAGTTGAGGCGGAGATGACAAGAGCATGGATGAGGGTTTCAGCAGCGTTAAAACCCTAATACTCTGATACTTTGTAGGAGAATTCATGCTGTGCAATATTATGTTATTGTAACTGCTACAGTACAGCTACTCCCATTCAAAAAATTGTTCTTTAAGAGAATGCAAAATGCTCCAATTTGCATTACCTACATAACTAATCACCACACTCCAATGCAACTCGTGACGTGAAGTGCATATAAATGTTTTGACTGCTGCATTAATTTAGCTGTCGAGTCGCACTAATAATGTTTTCTCTTTTTAAAGAGGAACGTCTGGAAGACCAAGATGCTGAGAGGTATAAGAAAATGGCTTTATTATGTATTTTGGGGGGCAGCCAGGTTTCTTGACATATGCATGTTGTAGTTATAGAAGGGGTGGCAGCTTGGATGAATTGTTTAAAAAGCAGTTGTAAAACTTAGTTGCCTTCCACCTGCAGTTGACAGTAACATCACAGAAACCATGGCAGCACAGCCAGGCAAGCAGATGCTACAGTCTGTTTCATAGTGAGTCTGAAGAGGGAGATTGGCCTGAATTAAGGATTCTGCCATACTGGAGTTTGATGTTAACAGAGTGTTTTTTTTAAAGTTTATTTTTAGAAAAAGACCATTCCTAGAATTTATTCAATATTCGTGAGTTGGAATTTTTCCCCATTGGTTGTGAGGAGTTTGTAGTGCTGTCATCGTTACAAGGCTGACTCCAAGCTCGGGCCCATCCCCCACGAACTGGTTATGCCAATCCATCATCCACCACTGTTTGTGGAACAAAGCTGTGCGCAATTGGCTGCCGCATTTCGCCCACAAAATACAGTCAATTCACTTTACAGTATATCCTGTGAAGCGCTGTGAGGTGGCTTATAGATGTGATAAGGTGCTACATCAAATGCAAGGATTATTAGTGTTATTATTACCCATCCACTGGTCCCATTCACAGGCCCAGCTTTGTCACCACCCATTGATTCTGCCCCTATTACTTGTTACTTTTAGGTGAAGAAAGTGAATGTTCATAACATAACATGTAGGAGCAGGAGTAGGCCATTCGGCCCTTCGAGCCTGCCCTGCCATTCAATCATGGCTGATCTTCTAATCTAACTCCAACTAATAACCTAAACCTGCCTTCTCCCCATATCCCTTAATATCTTTTTCAATAAGAAATCTATCTATCTCAGTCTTGAATATGTTCAAGGACTGAGCGTCAACAGCCCTTTGGGGTAGTGAGTTCCATACATTCACCACCCTTTGAGTGAAGAAGTTCTTCCTCAACTCAATGCATTTGCTACTCATCAATATACTTCTGATCTTTCCTGTTCAGCTGGGGTCTGGTTCATCCAAAACTGCTCAGTGTTCCTGAGCTTTGTCAGCGAATAGCAGAGATCTGGGTAAATGGAGCTAGTTTCCTGGAAAATTTATACCACTTTAAGAAGCAAAATCCTGGTAAGGTAAGAAAAGCTTTATTAAAATGGCAGTTGTCTAACAAAGAATTTTCAAATGGGGAAAACTTGTATATTGTGCTACATCTGTAGATATCTTACTGCAAATCAGACTGATAAAAGCATCTTTTCCTCATTCTAAAAATGCTGTTAAATTGCATGACCTCAGCAGGCCTCTGTGTTTCTGCACCCACTGAAATTAATTAGGAATTGCATTGAGTTTCCAAGGCCATTTGAAAACTAAGGTTTTTTCTGATGCTTTACTTTTCAAACTGTTTCAAAGTGATTGATACAGATTTAGGTTTGAATATAAACTGGTTAGTGAGTTTGCTTTGACTGGAGCAAAGACAAAGCACTTCCCAAATGCAAGTTTGCTCCCCAACCCGGGTGACCGCTCAGAGTGACAGAGTGAGGGAATCCATTATGATAGATTGCTGGGACAGTTACCCCTGCCCTGCCAGAGATTCCGAGAGTATAGATTGCTTTTTCCTTCCCTGTAGCCAAGACATGGTTTGAGTATCTCTAAGAAGGAGAATTATGTTTTTTTGAAATGCAGTAAGGGGCAATTATTTCATTGGCAATAAAGTTAATATATTCAGAAAGCATTCATTTTTATATGGATGCTGTTGTTGATTTAGGGTTACCTTGCATCTGGTGTTGGAACAAAGTTGAAATTCCACTCTACGGTCACATGGCTTGATAGACTTTTAAGTGATGATCTGGAATTTCTGTTTCAGTTTTGTCTCTTAGTTTGTGGTGTTTTCACCTTCTTGGCTGTAATCGGACGCTACGTTCCTGGGGTCTTGCTGTCCTACATGAGCTGTAAGTAATGTGTTTATCCTTGGGATGTCCTCCTGATGTGAAAGGCGCTATTCAAATGTAATTTTGTTTTGTGTTATTCCCTTCTTGGAACAGTCACAACGTGCACCTTCCCAATCCCTTCTTCTCGCACACAGTCTCTCATACTCTCAGTAATTTTGTTCTGATTCCCCTGGGTTAATTAATAATTAACTTTTTTAAATTATATTTCAAGTAATTGATAAATGGGCAGTTGTTACTCATGGCTTGTGTGGTTCCTACCCATGGGGATTTTACTTTAATCATGAACTTACTGGTTTCCACAGTTCCACCATCCGCAAGTCCAGCTAATACAACTTACCTCTTTAACTACACCTTTGGTCGCTTCCCTATCTCCAGTACTCAGCATCCAAGCAGCTCAAGCACGTCAGGCGTGGAGGGCGCTATATATAAATCCAAGTTGTTGTTGTATCCAACTCTACTATTGTTCAGTGTTCCACACTGTTATACTATGCGAAGGGCCCTACATTGGCGGGTGGGCCTTCAGCCTCTTTGCCCCCAACCTCTGGAACTTCACCTTGCTCCCTCCCTCGCCTCCTTCAAGACCCGTCTCAAGACCCTCCTCTTCAACCATGCCTTCGGTCATCCTCCTACCCCAACCCTCCCCGCCCTCCACCCCTCCTGATCCCAACCACCAGCTCAGGTGCGGATCCCTGACTGTCCAGCGCCTTGGGATGTCCTCCTGACATGAAAGGCACTGTATAAATGTAAGTTGTTGTTGTTTATGGTGAGAAATGTTACATTGTGTTTCGCTTTTTCCCCTCCGCTGACAGTTGACAATCTGGAAACTTCCTTTTGTTTCTCTCCACTAATGAATGAATTGTCATTTTCCTTTCCTCAGTGATTGGGATGCTTCTGTGGCCGCTTGCTATCTATCACAGTGTGGGCCAGAAGGTTTACGCCAGGATTGAGCCCCTGCTTGAGCGACTGGATTTTAGTGTGAAAGGATACATGGCAACTAAACAGCGGGAGCGACAGTGTGAGTCATCTCAGTTGCTCTGTGAAAGTGATCGACTGCAACCTCCAGTCTTCACTGCTCTCCAGTCTCTGCTAATAGATTTAGAAAGTGAAGCGTAGAAAGACATGATGAATGCAAGGCTGAGGGTCTCTGTGGGCAGAGAGTAATGGCGAGGTGGGCAATACTGCAGAGGTGAGAAAGTTGAGCGGGTCAGGGTGTAGATGTGGGGCTTGAAAAATTGGGTGGGGGAGAAGGGAGGAATAGATGATGGCTAATGGTTCAAATGCATATCAGGTGGAAGCGTCAGCTGATTTGGTGAGAGAGCACCTTTATTTAATTAGCTCTTGTATCCCTTCTTTCTCTCCCGTCCCCCCTCCTGTTATGAATTTTAACCATCTAGTGTTGTTTCCAATAACTGTTTTTAATTAATTCATCCTTTACTGGCTGTATGCTGTGCAATTTGACCTTGTTGGGGAAGATGAAATGGATATGATGTGTTTGTTGCAGTGCGCTGCAGAGCAATGTATGCAGGAGCGACAGACGACGGGAGTGACAGTGAAGCTGAACTGGAAGCATTTTGCCCTCAGGTATGAACTATCTGTCTGGCTGTGCATAAGAACATAAGAAATGCTAGCCGAAAAAAGACCAAGGTCCACCTAGTTCGCCTTCCATCTTTCTGGCGGTTGCATGCAAATATGTCCCAAACTACCTATGTACTGTATCCCGTAATATGTACAAACTTGGTAATTTTCTGTAAACCTCATTGGCATTTTTGAACCATCTTAAATTGAAACTAGCTTTTAATTATTCAGAAAATATATCAACTGTATATCTTTCTCTCAGCTTTTCATAGAGTACATTTTTTTCAAAAATTCCTTGCTCTAACATCAACATTTATTTCTGACTGAAATGTGGCATTGATGTTCTATTCTAAAGTTTTTATTTATTTTTTTAATTCTTCATCAATTATAAAAGTTTACGAGCACTTAAAGTAGTAATGATCCAATAATCCTTGCATTTTATGGCACTTTATTGCATCGAATATTTCAAAACGCTTCACAGATAATTAAGTTTAGTATCTTGCAGGCAATCAAAGCAGTTATTTTGCGTTCAATAAGATCTTATACAGAGACATGATGTGCCCGATAATTAATTTAAAGGATTATTATCTGAGTTCATATGGAGAAACTGCCTTCTCCTTCTCCAATTATGGGATCTTTAAAGTCCTCCTGAATAGGCAGACACTGAGAGTGCAGACAGAGAACGCAATTTGTGATACTTATCATTTTGTCGCAGAAACACATCTGTTATCAATAGTCTGTTCGAAATACTTTTCTTTTGCAAAGTTTCACGCGAAATATTCTTCTGCAGTCAATCCTTCACTGTACATTCTCTCTCTCGCTCTCTCAATGTAAAGCTGGATGATTCCATAGTTGCCAAGGAATTGGAAATTTCAGACTCTGAGCATTCGGATGCAGAAGTGTCGTGTGCTGACAATGGAACGTTCAATTTATCCCGAGGACAAAGCCCAATCACGGATGGCTCTGAGGGTATGTTGATGAGCTTCACCACAACATTACAGTAATAATCTCTACATTTAATTTAAGACCCTCTTTGACCGCGCCTTCGGTCACCCTCCTATCCCTGCCTTCCACCCTTCCTGATCCCAACCCCTTGTTATCAACAAGATAATAATAATCCCTCCAAAAAAACCAAAAAACAATAATAAAAAAAAAAATTGGGTCATTTTCAATCTACGACTGTTTGTGGGACATTGCTGTGCGCAATTGGCTGCCGCGTTCGCCCACAAATATACAGTCAATTCACTTTACAGTGTGTTCTGTGAAGCGCTTTGGGACGTCCTCCCGACGTGAAAAGCGCTATATCAAATGCAAGGATTATTATTATTATTATTATTATTGCTGGGATCCAAATCCCTGACTGTCCAGCATTTGGGATGTGAAAGGCGCTATACAAATGTAATTTGCTGCTGTTGTTAATATAGCATCGAGAGGACATCTCAAAACGCTTCACTGGAGTTACTGTAAAATGTAGTGATTGTATCATGTAGGCAAACATCCCACGTTCCTTCTTCCATTTGTCAATTTTATTCTCTTTTGTGCCTGCTTGGGTATTGGCGTGCAGTACTAAGGGGATTGCATGCAGATTGATGTTTGAGGGGTAAATGTATGTTGCACCAATGATGAGAGTGCAGATTGAGGGACCTCTATATATGCTTCTTGGGAAAGGTTAGCAAGATTTCTTGAGTGCCACTAGATTAAGTAGTTTATGTGGAGAGAAAGACCAACATAAACGTGATAGGCCAAGTGCTCTGTATCTGCTGTAACATTCAAGGATTCTGTGTTTACCGACGTACGTACAGTAATTCTTGCATTGTCTCTCCTAGATCTCGACCGCCACAGCGATCCTGAAGAATCGTTTGCCAGAGATCTTCCAGAATTCCCATCCATTAATCCCGACGTCACTGGAGTCGACGACGATGATGATGCCAGCCTGGGAATCCCCGCGGGTCCCGATCACCTGGTAGTCCAGGAGGATGATGCGAGTACGTTTTCTGATCAGGAAGATATAGACGCCGATATTTCCCTCAGTGGGATGCCGTCACCCTTGAATTTTGTTGGTAGTCAAGGCTTTGGTCTGGCAAACATGCTGGCCCACCAAATGATGGCTGCCGCATTGTCCGGCGCAAGTCAGGAGACCCAATACGGGTGGAAGCAGAATCCTCAGAGGGCCGCTGCTCAGCCTCGGCACGAACACTCGAGTAGTGAGATGGACACTGACGCGGAAGCCGATGATTTTGAACTGTTAGACCAGTCGGAGCTGAGTCAGTGCGAGAGCACCAGCTCACAGGAGAGAGGAACGCACCAGCATCCAAACACCGCCTCCCCCGAAAACAGTAGTAGCTTTACGGAGCTGATATTCCGAGATCGCAAACCACTGTAGCCACTCACTGGAAGTCATAGAGTTACCGTAATACCATTGTGCCATATACCTGTGACACCCCACCCCAGGAACAGCCCTGATGCCATACATTGCGTGTGGCTGAACCTGTTGTGAACGCACTCAGCCAACGCTCACCATTACTTCCCATCAGATGGAAATAATCTCATTGTTCAGGAAGGTGAAGTGGTTGTGTTTATGCTCTGTTGTATATGTTCCTTTTCCTCAAAGCTGTTTCGGAAAGCTCTTGTATTCTCCAGCTCCTGACTCGGAATTTCTGTCAAATCAGCAAAATCTGGTCTGAGAATTGCATTGTTGATTTGAATGGTTTCCATTTTAAGAAAAGGTGAGGAGGCACTGCAGCAATAGGTTTCAATAACTAAACCTCGTTAGTAATTGTCTGACTTCACTTGGTTAGCTCAGCTCCTCATGTCTGTCAGTCTCCTATTTGTGCTGCAAAATGAGATTCTCATTTTCATCAAGCCTGGATGTAACTTCTGAGTACTTAAGATATCACACTTATTCTAACCTGCACAGTAGACTTAGTAGCACAGTAAACTGTTTATTCACCTCTTCTCAATAGGCTGAGAAAGCAGCATTTGCTGTTTTAATCAAAACAGGATGCTATTGTGCCATACCTTTTCTGGAAAGATCAGTGAAATTAGCTGATTGGATTCACACTTCAGCTTTTTCAAATGTACATCAGGGACTGAGTTTGTGAGTTTCACAGATCCATGTTTGCATCTTCCAGTCGAGTGGATTCAATACCTTTACTACCATAAGCATTTCATAATCATCCTCACAGTAATCTTTGCATTTGGTATAATGCCTTTCTTGTCAGGAGGGAATCCTAAAGCGCTCCATTTCCAGCACTAATGAAATATATTAATTCGAACACCAGCAAGGGACCAGGGGTATAATTTTGCAATAATATTTAAATTATACGTCCTGCAGTGGAAGGGTTTGAGTCCGAAATATTTTCTCTGAAGTCCAAGGAGGGAATTGCACGCAGAGGTGATCCAGCCTTGTGCGTTAACTCGTATACCATGATCAGTCTTAATTTTCCTTCATGCTCCAATGCACAAAATTACAGTGATATCTGATGGATGGTGTCAACACAACCCAGTGTTTCTGTGAACTGATAAAGCGACAGTCGTATAAAGCTAGTGCCAAATTGCTATGATCTTTACCAGCACTCACTAGGAATAAGATCCCAAACAAATTTCCATTTTGAAAAGGCTGGCTGAAGATTCCTCAGAATTAGTTTCAATTTTTTTTTCCTCTTCAGCCCTCTGAAAGTTGACCTCGAGCGGATTTATTCTGATAGTTTACAGTAAAAATTGCAAGCAATGACGCAGGAATGGAACTAAAAGATTCCAGAACTGATGGCACTTTCAACAGATTCTTTTAGGACTTTCCCAAGGGCTTGAGTATTAGAAATAGACAGCTGAACGAATCTGCCAATGAGTGGTGACTATTTCCTTGTCTGTTATCTGTCTTTATTTACATGGTATCAGATATATATATATATATATATACAAACACACACATATGTGTGTATGGGTGGGGGAGGGAACGTCCGAACACAGCCTGTTACTCGAGATTTAAGAGACACGTGATATGTTCATCTGAAACTTTGGATAAAGGCAATCTAATATTACTGGTGGCTCCAGGCGCTTTATCATTGCTTTGAATCATTGCGGCTGTACTTGAGCCACTTGCTCTTGTACTTATTCATATTGCATATATTTATAATATTTATATTGGTTTATTTAGAATAATACATTATTGCGGTCAAAGCTGTTTGGCTCTGACCTCTTTGCTTCATTGCACTTATTCCCTGCTCTGAGCACCAGTGAACTTTTGTTTGATTTCAAAAACCAGCAAAGGTCAGTTAAATGGCATAAAAACAGAAGTCGCTGGGAACACTCAGCAGGTCAGGCAGCTTCTATGGATAGAGGAAAGTGAGTTAAAGGTTCAGATCGATGACCGTGGCAGTTCTGACGAAAGATAATCGACTTGAAACGTTAACTCACATTCCTCTCTCCGTAGATGCTGCCTGAGCTGCTGAGTGTTTCCAATGACTTCTGTTTTTATTTCAGATTTCCAGCATCTGAAGTGCCGTGTTGACTTTTGTGTAATTAAATGTTATTTAGATTTGTAATAGATAGCAGTGGAGAGGAGCAGCAATGACCCAAGTTTGTCCTTGTGGAGGGGCTGTGTCTACAAAGTGTTCATTGTTGCTGCACAACCTTTAAAGAAAATTTTCTCAAACTTATTAAATCATCCTTTCATAAATGATGAAACCCATCTGTAAAGTTTGACAAAACTGAGTCATAGCAACTTCACTGTGACCTTCTGTTATCGTATTTTATTTACTGACAACAAAAAAANGTCATCACACAGCAATTACCCATGAAGCCCTCGGACATTTTGATGTGATGAGTGCTGTACAAATGGAAGCTATTTGTTGGTAGTTTTTAACTTTGTCTCATCCCAGCTGCAGAATTCATGTCAAAACTGTCCGCAGGGGGAAATATCAGAAAGCTTTGCCGTTTATTATAGGACTTAAATTTGACCTTCCCTTGTTTTACCAGTCTGGCAACTGAACATCTGAGAATTTTACAATACCACAGCCAGAAGCGCTTGATCTAGTTGAAGTCCAGATTGCTAAGAAAGTCTTTCTTCCTAAATTGTTTAATGTTAACCCTTGTAATGACAATTGATCCTCATTATCCTCTTATGCCTTAATGACTTTGTTCTGTGTGAAATAAATGTAAAATATCTTTAATGTTGGATTGGTAAAGACTTGGAAGATTGCAATTCCTGTCGGGTTTGAAGCTGTAATGCATGTTGCTGTTATTCTTTCATCTATTTATTTCATCGCAGGAAAGGGGGGGAGGGGGCTTTGATTTAAATGGCAGCCAGTTTAATCTACGTAGGTGCAGTGAAACACAATCCGTTTTAGACCAGATTTCAATCCACAATCACATCCTCTGGCAGCCTTTATTTATGGTGAATCTGGAAATATTTTAAATAGGTGGAGTTGACAGATTTGTTTATCAGACCTTTGGACTATTTTTTTAAGGACTGAATCTAACTGTTGCTCAAATAAGCAATGAGAATGCACAGCTGGTCAATAAGCATTTGGCATGATAATGATACATCAGCCTGGCTCAGTTTGTAACACACTCTGGAGGCAGGAAGTTCTGGGTTCAAGTTCACATCAGGACTTGAACAGTCCTAAGCTACTACTCCGAAGCAATACTGTGGTTCTGCTGCATTGTTGGAGGTGCCGTTCTTCGGATGAAACATTAAACTGGTGTCCCGTCTGCCTGTCCAGAAGGATGTTGAAGATCCCCTGAGTACGTGAAAAGAGAAAGAGTTTCTCCCAGTGTTCTTCCCACCAATCCCCCAAATAAAATTGGTCATTCACTTCATGGCTGTTGCACTTTCCTAGGAAGCGCTTTGGGATGTCCTGACGTGAAAGGTGCTGTGTCAAATGTAAGGACTATTATTATTTTTATGCACCTTCCTGATGTTGATCAACTTGCTCCAGATTTAGCAACTTTTGTGTTTTAGTGTAAATATTGCTCTTTGTTTTTAAATATTTTTAAGGTTGGGTGAGCTGCTTGTAAGGCAAGAGAATGCTTTAGTTTTACAGCAGACATCTGCTTCTCTTGCCTGAGACCATGAGGGCAATAAATCTTAACGCAGCATGAGTTGTGGAATATTAAAATCCCAGATACCGTATTGGAGTTGTGATAGTAGATGAGAAATAATATTGTAAAGTCTTGTGTAAAATGCGTAAGAATTGTGTGCAGTTTGATGTATTGCGAATCTTAACTAGCACTTTTTGTGTATTTAAAATACATTTCAAAACATTTTTCGTTTTCAGATGAGTGAAATGTTTATAATAACGGAGCTGACCTGATCCATGTGGATGTTTTTGTAGAAAACGGTCACCTTCTTTGTTTATTTTTGAACCGAACATTCATTAAACCGTTTTCTAAAAAGATGAATTGCACACTTTGTAACTTGCTGATTTTCAAATGACTGGTTACACAATCTATTTTAAGGATCGAGGTCTGACTGACAGCGTACGTGAGGGGGCCGGAGAAAGTCTGATCCCACAAAGGCGCCAGAGTCATAATAACTGAAACAATAGCCCTTTATTTTTCCAGTGGGTTTTTTTTTTGAGAAAATGACAGGTGACAACTATTTTAAAATCCTGTAAAGCTTTACAGTCAGTCCACTCCACACGTTGCAGTATACTCTGTGAAGCGCTTCGAGACGTCTCAATGACGCGATTAGGCGCCGTATCAAGTGCAAGGATTATTATTATTATTATTATTCGGAGCTGCACCTGAGCCACTCATCACAGCGCTCAGCGGCCGAGTCAAAACGCTCAAACTTTAGCACCGAATCATTAAAATATTTAAATTGCCATCAATAACATTTGCCAATAGCCTCTCCCACCCCCAGTGATCAGCTGCAAACCGACCCCAAGGCGTCAAAGGTTCCATTGCAGCGCATGCGCATTGCCGTACGGTACGCCCACCCCGCCCCCACCGTGCGCCACCATGTTGCTGTACGGAGGCCCTTCCTGCGCATGCGCGTTGCCGTACAGCACTGCTCCCCGAAGCGGCGGTTTGAAAAGAGTTCGTATCTCGCGCCTCCGAGATCGGTACCGAGTGACAGGACCGAGGGGGGGTCAGGCCCCGGGGGGGGGGTCAGGCCCCGGGGGGTCAGGCCCCGGGGGGGGGGGTCAGGCCCGGGGGGGGGTCAGGCCCGGGGGGTCAGGCCCCGGGGGGGGGGTCAGGCCCCGGGGGGGGGGGTCAGGCCCCGGGGGGGGTCAGGCCCGGGGGGGGGGGGGGGGGGGGGGTCAGGCCCCGGGGGGGGGGGTAGGCCCCGGGGGGGGGGTCAGGCCCGGGGGGGGGTCAGGCCCCGGGGGGTCAGGCCCGGGGGGGGGGTCAGGCCCCGGGGGGGGTGGGGGGGGGGGGGGGGTCAGGCCCGGGGGGGGGTGGCCCGGGGTGTGTGGGGGGTGTGGGGGTGTGTGGGGTGGGGGGGGGGGGTGTGTGGGGGGTGGGTGTGTGTGTGTGTGGGGGGTGGGTGTGTGGGGGTGGTGTGTGTGGGGGGGGTGTGTGTGTGGGGGGTGGTGTGTGTGTGTGGGGGTGTGTGTGTGTGTGGGGGTGGTGTGTGTGGGGTGGGGTGTGTGTGGGTGTGTGTGTGTGGGGGGGGTGGGGTGTGTGGGGGGGGTCAGGCCCGGGGGGGGGGTGTGTGTGGGTGTGTGTGTGTGGGGTGTGTGTGTGTGGGGGGGGGTGTGTGTGTGTGTGTGTGGGGGTGTGTGTGGGTGTGTGTGTGTGTGTGTGTGGGGGTGTGTGTGTGTGGGGGGTGGTGTGTGTGTGGGGGTGGTGTGTGTGTGTGGGGTGTGTGTGTGTGGGGTGTGTGTGTGGGGGGTGTGTGTGTGGGGGGTGTGGGGTGGAGTGTGGGGTGTGTGTGTGGGGGGGGTGTGTGTGTGTGGGGGGGTGTGTGTGTGGGGGGTGGGGGTGTGTGGGGGTGTGTGTGTGTGTGGGGGTGTGTGTGTGTGGGGTGTGTGTGTGTGGGGGGGTGTGTGTGGGGTGTGTGTGTGTGTGGGGGTGTGTGTGTTGGGGTGTGTGTGTGTGTGTGTGGTGGGGGGGGGGTGTGTGTGGGTGTGTGTGTGGGGGTGTGTGTGTGTGTGTGGGGGGGTGTGTGGGGGTGTGTGTGTGGGGGGGGTGTGTGGGGGTGGGGTGTGGGTGTGTGTGTGGGGGGGGTGTGGGTGTGTGTGGGGTTGGGGGGGTGTGTGTGTGTGTGTGGGGGGTGGGGTGTGTGTGGGGGGTGTGTGTGGTGTGTGTGGGGGGGTGTGTGTGTGTGTGTGGGGTTGGGGTGTGTGTGGGGGTGTGTGTGTGGGGGGTGGTGTGTGTGTGGGGGGGGGTGTGTGTGAGGGGGGTGTGTGTGTGTGTGGGGGTGTGTGTGTGTGTGGGGGGTGTGTGGGGGGTGTGTGTGTGTGTGTGGGGTGTGTGTGTGTGTGGGGGTGTGTGTGTGTGGGGTGTGTGTGTGTGTGTGTGGGGGGGGTCAGGTTATTATTATGCTGCTCTGTCTGTGCTGCTGATGCTTGTTGTTTTGGGGTTGATTTTCCCAGGATTTGCCACAGGCTCTGATCCCGTGGGGATTTGACAGGATTGTGCCGGGAATTTCGTTGTGGGGTCCAAACGAAGACCATGAGCAAATCTAAAGACGCCGGTGAGAATTCCAGCAACAAAATGTTGAAATGTTTCGTCAATGAATCGTAAAGGTTACCTGTGCCGCAGGTAAAGGAAAGGAAAGAGATCCTTCTTGGAAAAGAGAAGGGAATTCCTCCTGGGGTCCTGGCCAACAACCTCCCCCAAATAAAACTGCTTGCTCACTCCTGTGTTTGCCCACAAAATATATACCCAATTTTGCAGTGTATCCGTGGCTTTCTTGTTGGCTTTTGCTGTGTGCAAATTGGTGGCTGTGTTCGGCACAAATAACACAGTCACTTTACATTGCATTTTATAAGTCGCTTTGAGACCCTCTGGAACTCCATTCCCAGGTCCCTCGGACTTGCTCTCTCTCCCTCTGCCTCAAAACACTCTCTTTGACTGCGCTTTCAGTTATCTTTCCCCTCCGCACGCCCCTGAGCGCTGGTGCTCAGACAAAATTGTCCCTCTGACCTGACGGGCAGTATATAAGTATAAACTATACAGTGTTGTACAGATTACTATTATAAACGCGATGAGCATTGTTTCTGTTGTAAGAGTTTCATAAAAACGAAATGAATCTTGTGAATGTTTGCTTGATTTTGAACCTGGGTAAATGACTTCTGTAATAAATCTGTTGTGTGTTAACAGCTCCAACTCTCATTTTGAAGTATTTGAATGATCAGAACCGCCCGTATAGTGCACAGGATGTTTTTGGGAACCTCCAGCGGGAACACAACTTGGGGAAAACGGTAAGATTGATTTTTGTGCTGTTAACGTTAGATTGTGTAAATCTGCGTTGGATAAAATAAAGACTTACATGACATCTCAGACCTTCCTGAGTGAAGGATGGTTTAATTTCCCATCTTCCTCTGGGTAAGACCTTGAGACAAAAGTGTAGGGCATTTTGTACTGCACTGGCATCTTGGGATGTCCTCCTGATGTGAAAGGCGCTAAACAAATGTAATATTGTATTGTACTGAACTTACTCTGATATAATTGGCTCTTCCAATAAAATTCTAAATTAATAAAATAATTTCAACAACTACTTGAGCCCTTGGTGCAGAATAGCATGTCAGAGTGATGAAATTTAGTGTATTTAAAAGAAAACTAGTACTTGAATGAGTTAGGCATTGTTTTTTCACCTCAGAAATCTGGCTTTGAATCCAGCTGGAATAATGAAATGTATTGCATCCATATAGGGGGCGGATCAGCCTCAGTTCAAGTCTCAATGGGCACAACTGAGGGCGTCTTAGAAGGTGGGGGGGTTGGGGGAGGGGTAGGGGGGCAATAGATAAGAGTGTAAAGGGGAGATGGAAAGTTTTAAATGTAATCTGTTCATCCCCATGAAATAAAGTGACACATTTGTTCCAGGCTGTGGTGAAAGCACTAGAAAATCTTACTCAACAGAGAAAAATAAAGGAGAAGGTTTATGGAAAGCAGAAAATCTACTTTGCTGATCAAGTAAGCTCTTTAACTGTTTGTTGGGAGTGAGGACCTCTCTGGGAAACTCTCGTAAGAGTTGAATAACGACTGTCTCGGGTGGGGCGGTCACAATTCCCAGTACTTCGGCAGCTCAGTGACGAGAGGGAATCAGTTTAAAATTGTTAGCAAATGGGGAGATTAGAGAGAAAAAATTTCGGCCGCAGTTTGGTTGGGATGTGGAATGTCCTCCTGGGAGCGATGGTTGACTCTTAAATCCACATTAGCTTTCAAAGGGGAACAAGATGATAAGATTAATCCTCGCATTTGATGTAGCTACACAGATAAACTAAGGGGCGTGGGGAAAGGCAGGTACAAAAGACTGAAAGGATCGTTCTTTAAAATGGCTCTAGGGTTGAGTTGTTTTTTCTCGTGCTTAGGATCAGTTTCCTGCAGTCAGTGAAGTGGAGCTGAAGAGCTTGGATAGTGAAATCTCTGAGGTCAGCAAGAAGGTGGAGACCGCCCAACAGAACTCTCGGCAAATGGAAACAGGTTGGTGGGAACTGGGTCTCGGGTTCTGTGACTATTTTAATGATGTGTTTTATCATCTCATTTTCCTGAAGGCTGGGGATTAGAGAATGAAGTGATCGATCCAGCCCTCGCATTGCCTAAGTTGCTGTTTAAACGCATAACTTATAAATTCATGTTTCAAGTCTGTCTGCCGTTACATTAAAAATAGAAATATGTTTAAAAATCATCACAGAAGCAGGCCATTCAGCCCATCATCTCTGCACTACTGGTATCTTTGTTTTCACCTATTATACAGAAATAAGATCAAGGAGGAGTCCTTCACCTCGGCTGGTGCTAACTTCTCCACTGGAGCTAAGGACTCTAATACCAATTCCCTGTTCTTTCCCTCTATGCTTTCTCTGTATTTTCGTTTGTGGTAGAGCATTCAAATAAGCTTCTACATTAAAAAAATCATCTCACAGCCTTTTAACTCCTTAACGGTCACTCCAGAAGAAGAGCAAATTGACGCAAATGTAACAATAGTATTTCAGTTCAGTACTCTGCGCTTCAGATTTGTAAGGGACGACCAAGTCTGTTATTGATAGTCACTGACCCACTTTGTACCTTCATCAGAACTTAAAGAACTGAACAGTTCAATGACAACACAAGAGCTAACAGCAGAAATTAAAGCCTTAAATAAGGAGTGTGTGGTATACCAGGAGAGACTGAGGAAAATCCAGTCCTCATCTAGCCTTGTGACACCTGAAGAGAAAGAGAAGGTAAATCCGAAGTATAACAGTGTCTTGTGATTCTTTAGCAGTAAATCCATTAGTGAGAATAATTCCTTTGGTAAAGTAATTTGCAGCCACTGTTTCAATCGGAGAGCATATTGACTATCCAACACTTTTCACCTCTTTCCTCTTAGCAGTCTATTCTGCAGCTGTCTCCATCTGATGTTAATGGTTTGGCAGAGGGGGAAACAGGCTACAGAGCTGAAGTTAGAAGGCTAGATTCCATCAGTAAAGAATAGAAGAAGGAGGCCAGCTTGCTTCATGCCCCTGTCCCCTCTCCCCCGACAGGCAGGCTTTCGGCCTTCACTCTTCGGAACTCCATCCCTCTCCCTCCCTCCAGCTCCCTCCCTCATCAAGTTCAAGGTCCGTGATAATTCAGAAAAGTATATTCAACATTTCATTTTTTTGTTTCTTTTCCAATTAGGTATTTGATGAACGAAAGCAATATGTGAAAGAATGGCGGAAAAGAAAGAGGCTGGTGAGTCAGTCGGTTGGTACGGAGGATTTTGAAGTGAATGATATCTGACCTGAAGGAGCACAATTGAGTGCATTGAACCATAGAAATGTACAGCCTTGAAGAAAGCCTTTGTGCCTGGATTTGCTCTTTCAAAGAACAATCCATTCAGTCCCATTTACATTCTTTTTGCCGTAACATCCTGCCCCCATCTGATGTCCACTTACACATTGCAGCTACTGCTTAGCCATCAGGAGCTTGGGTTAATTGTTGTATCCTGCCCTTTCCTGTCTAGCCCAGGGATCTTAGAGGTCAATTTGTCCCTTTTCGGATGCGAAGATGTCAACATTTCTGATCCGATAACCCTAATGCATAATAATAATCCTTGCATTTGACATAGTGCTTTTATCACGTCTTCGAGGCGGCTCAAAGCTCTTCACAGAATATACCACTGTAAAGTGAATTGACTATATTTTGAAGGCGAAATCAGGGGGAAGCAAAGTAATTCTGTGCATGTGTATTTTTTTTTCAGGCCACAGATTTAATTGATGCAATTCTGGAAGGATATCCCAAGAGTAAGAAGCAATTCTTTGTAAGTGTAAAAATCCGTGGTCGCTTTCACTGTGAGGAAGCAGTGAAAATGTTATGGGTAGGTAACAAGTTTGAAGTTTCTATGCTGTGTGGACACAAGAGTCGCTCATTTTTCACATGGCCACAAGGTGTGATTTCCAGGCAATGAGACACTGCTGACAATGCCCTCCCAACCGCCTATTCCTCCGGCAGCCAAGCACCACTGCTGTTGCATGCTCCTCTCCATGCTGCCTGCCGCTCTCCTCTCCGCACACTACCCACCCACTGCCCCTTCCCCGGAAGCAAATTGAAGAGATTTTGTAAGTGAATTCCAGAGAGTAGAGGCTGAATCGTCACCCACTGATAGAGAATTGGATGCAGTTAAGAACCAGCAAAGTTTTATTGATAGAGCCTGGGCATTGCTGAAATATTGGACCACAATGTTCTGAGATGCCGGATGTTCAACTGTTGAGAAGTGTCACTAATTCTATTGCAGGAGGAGGTTGGCATAGAAACCGATGAAGATTCTAAAGTTACCGTTCCAGATGCGTGAAACCTGGAGGAAATGAGCCCGATTTTGCGGTAAGAATTTGAAGAGACCGAAAAGGTGGGATTTGAAGCAAAATATCAGTCTAACGATGCCTTCACATTTTCACTTCATCCTCACAAAGAACAGCCCATTTATAGATTGATTTATTTCACCAATTCCTACTGCAGTCCTGTAGCTCCACATTCTAGAAACACGTTTACATTATCAGTGATGCTTTTAAAAAAAAATCCAGTTGCATAGAAATATCTTGCTTTCATAACCTCCAAAAAAAATGTTAAAACAGGCAGAAGGGATATCAGTTTTAATGTCTCGAACAATGTAGTTCTGGCTCAGCATTGCATTGGCATGTCAGCCTATAAACTGAAATCCCAAACATTCGGAGTCAGTTGGCACCAACTGAGCCAGGCTGACACCTAACACTGTTTTCTTCCCGTTGTTCTATGTCAAATGTAAGGGTTATTACTGTGTGTCAGTGCAAATGAACTAAACGTGATGTTTGCGTTCAACATCAGAAAGGACTGAAAATAGCAATTCCTCTTTCCCCTCCGAACCCCACCTACTTCATTTCCCTCTTGAAGGAGTTTTGTTGCATATTCCGGCCTCAAAAGGAAATCCTGCGTTAAATGATTTTCAAAAATGCCAAATCACATTTGATGTTTTATTGTAATTACATCCAATACAAAAATAATTCTATATAACGAACAGCCTAACCAAAAACAAGCAGGAAATAGGTTTGTTTCAGTTGAAGATTACTTTCAAACAAAGTACTAAGTAAGCACCTGCAGACAAGCCACAATGCGGGCAGTTGCACAGAGTAAGACACTTATAGACTGCAACCAGTCAGCGTGTGGGAGGGGTCACAGACCCAGCTTCCTATCTGGGGATGGGAGTGAGGTTGGGTTTGATTCGAACATAGGGTTCCTTCTGGAGGGGGTGTCGGTGCAGGATTCAGTCTGCACAGGAGAACAAAGGTATTGATGTAGTTTTCAGTCTGCATGGGGCACAGATAGTGTCCACGGTATTGAAACACTACTGTTTGCATAGGAAGGGTACGTATTGACATGGGGCGGGTACAGAGTACAGTCGACATGGGGCGGGTACTGAGATACAGCTTCTAGTCTGTATGGGAAGGTTATTTTGATAGTGTTCAGTCTGCAGGAGTGGGCATTGATATAATGTTCAGTTTGAAAGGGACTGTTGCAGAATGTTAAGTCTGCCGGCGGTGGAGGGCAGCACAGTTTTCAATCCGTACACAAACAGCAGGCCTCTTACATCGCTTAAATGGTTGGTATTTGGTTTCCTAAATACACTGTCCTTAAAAAGTAAAACAATCTGCAGAATTGCTGCTTAGCACCACATCCAACACCTCAGACATAGTGCAAGATTGTAAGTAACAGCTTCACAGCCACTGAAAGCGTTACATAAAGAACTGATTTGAATGTCAATGCACAATTTTGTAAATTCAAAAAACACATAAAAATAGTCTAGACACAAAACAAGTGAAAGCAGGAATGACTAAAAATGAGTCACAGTCGTACGTTGATAATAAACCAGTGAGGTTTATAAGCTGAGAGGACCTGAAATTCATTTTGTTGTTCATTTAGTTTTGCAGCTATGTTAGCTTAATGCTGGGAGCTTAAATGAATCACAGTGGGAGCTAGGCTGGGTGAGTCACGTTATCACCAAACCTCCTAAAGGCTGGGTCAGACTTTGGACTTGCTGCTGATGGAGATCAGGGAAAAAAGAAAACATACAGGTAAATCTACTCTCAATGAACAAAAATTGACATGAGCAGCCATATATACAAGTGCTATTATTTCCATTAGATTACTGAGGTTACATCCGTTTCGCTGACAAACGAATGGGGTCGGAGCCAAATGCAACTTTCCTGTTATTGAACGGATCCATTAGTCAAGCTGAGGTTCACCAGCGAGTGTGGTGAAAATCTACAAACTTATTTTTCTTGAGTGGACGGGTCAGTGATCGATTACAATTCGAAAAAATCCCAAACGACAGGAGTTGTTTTTTTTTGCCCTGCGTTTGAAAGAAACTCATCTTAAAGCAAAAGGAATTCATTCCCCATAAATAAAAATCGAATATTTGAAAGTCAAAAAGTGATTTCTGTTCAGAGTACTCCCTCTAGTTATACATTCACATATTTTGTAGAAACTACTAATCTGTCCTGAAAGACACACAACTGGGCTTGTAAAATCCTGTGTAGGATTTGGTGATTCAGCCCAGCTGGATAGGGGCAAGATCTAGCATTTGTTATAATTTATACTTACAAAGATCGCACAATAAAATAATCCACATCTTCAATTACAATAATAAAACAAACCAATTTCTTCAAAACGAAACAATAACATATGGAGATGGAATATCGGGGACTGTAATATAAATCAGCTCCTCAGTACAGCTGGCTGTTTAACTGCCGAAGGACACCAATAACAATCTCTCGTAGAGTCTGAAATAACACAGGCAATCTGTTACTCTTCACAATCAAAAGCTTTAGATAGTTGTGTCAAATTATATCTAATCTCATGCAGCATTATTCAGTGTCAAAAGATGATTTCTGCCTCAAAACATCCCTCTGTGTCGCCCATCGTCCTGTGGGGTAATGTAGGTACACATTTGCTGATACAATATAAAATTACATTTGTAAAGCACCTTTCACTGCGGGAGGACGTCCCAAGGCAGGAAATAGACCTTTTGATCTGTTTTGTACTCCACACAAGCCCCTACACCTTCTATTCTACACTATTCCCTTCCTACGCCTCCCGTGTACCAGCTAACACCACAAGATTACATTCGTATAGCACCTTTCACGTCGGGAGGATGTCCCAAGGCGCTGGACAGAGTACAGCATTTCAGACCCGAGCTGGGGTCAGGGGGGTGGCCGATGCATGGTCAAAGAGGAGGGTCTTGAGGCGGGACTTGAAGGAGGGTAAGGAGGAGGCAAGGCGGGGTGACTGGGAGATGGAATTCCAGAGGTTAGGGGCAAAGTGGCTGAAAGCTCTCCCACCAATGCTGGGACAGGTGGGTTGGGTACGTGGAGCAGGCCAGAGCCGGCTGAGCGGAGGGAACAGGCGGGTTGGTAGGGGTTTAGGAGGTCGCAGAGGTAGGGAGGGCTTTGTATGTGAAGACCAGGATCTTGGATCCTCTGAAGGATAGGGAGCCAATGGTGTTGGGCGAGAGTGGGGGAGCTAACTCATGGCTCCCAAATTCCAACAGTATTTGAGAGTAACTACAGATACTATCTCTCTCTCAAGACCAATAATAATAATCCTTGCATTTGATATAGGGCCTTATCACGTCTTCGAGACATCTGAAAGCGCTTCATAGGATAGACTGTAAAGTGAAGTGACTGTGTATTTTGTGGGAGAAACGCAGCAGCCAATTGCCCACAGTAGTGTCCCACAAACAGTCGTGGATTGGGTGGCCAATTTATTTATTTATTGAAGGAATTATTACCCCTAGAATAACGATTCGCCAATCGACAACCAGATTCCTACTTTCTGGTAGGTAAACAGGCATGAGGAGTAAGGAAACTGGCCCAGCATTTCGCCCTGCCGGGAATTGAACTCCGGTCTCTCACTTGCGAGGCGAGTGCTCTCACACACTGAGCTGCAGGACTCCACTATCTGTACAGGACTGTTTTAGTCCAAGACTAATGGGGTTCCCTGGACATCCTTCCACTCCTCAGTTGAAGTAAGTTCTGAACTCGCCTGTGGTTTGCAGTGCTCTTCAATCCAGCTGAAGACACATGCGGAGAGCTCCTGGAAACTGGCCACAGAGATGGAGGCATTGAAGGACTGGAAAAGGGAATCCATTATGCCCTGAAATACGCTGAACTTGACTTGATCCGTCACCTGGTCCTTGCCTTGATGAGGGTTGTTTCGATGAGCTTTGACTATCTGTTCATAATTCCTGCAAACCAGAACAGCTTACATTTATACAGCCCAGCGCCCCTCACGCAGGGTAGCCGTCCCAGAGCTTTTCAGAAGAAGCACTTCACATTTTCCCGGCATTCCAGCTGGCACTCGACCACAGTACACAACAGCATACACGATGCTCCTGGTAATAATACTTGCATTTGATGCAGCGCCTTATCACATCTTCGAGATGTCTGAAGCGCTTCACAAGATACACTCTAAAGTGAATTGACTGTATTTTGTGGGCAAAACACATACATGCTGCCTCATGTCGATACGATTGCACACACTGCCCCACATGTACTCGGCAGCATATTCTGCCCCATAAACACAGTCACCAATACTCCAACATTATCGAGAAGTAGAAGATATAGAAACTTCAATCTTACCCCTTCATGATCTTCAGGGCCATGACATCTTTGCGGAGAGTGGACCGTTCCTCCTCCTGCTTCTTCTTCTCTTTGTGCAAGAACTGAATGTAATCAATTGCTGCAACAACAACAGCAGCATTCAACCCATCACTGATCAGTATAGATGAGAGATTTCCTCTTGTGACCTTATACAGAGACTGTGTGGAAGCCACACCTGCTAAACAGGCTGCACACAACTCTGCCTAACAATAATACACAAGTGCCATTGAGGCATTAGATGTCAGATACAAACTCTGAAGGAAAGACTACATTCCCAGCAATAATAAAAGGGATATGAAAATAATAAATAATCATCCTTGCATTTGATAAAGCACCTTATCACGTTATTGAAACACCTTCACAGGATATATTATAAAGTGGATTAACTATTTTGTGGGTGAAAAATACACTCACGATTTGTGTGATATATTTAGAAACTAAGAAACTTTGAAGATGATATTGAATCTCTGTGCTGGTGCTTTCCTTCACACGAGCCGCCTAGTCTAACCTACTCTCCTGGTCCTTACCCACATCCTTTGATACTCCTCATCCCTCGTAACGTCCCAGTGAATCTCTCGTATCTTTTTTTCTGTTTTATATATTTTAAAAATATATCCTTTCTATTATTAAGTGCCCAAATTTGTATATGATTTCTTTAAGGTCAGGATTGAAGATCCCAGTACAATAGACAGTTAGCGATTGATGTCGCACTTCAGATTGTGAATTGATTAAACACATGAAGCACACATACTTTTTTGAAGAACTGTGGCTTTGCTCAGCTTCTGGGACCCGATCGCGAAGTCTTGTTGTAGGCATGTGGGGACTATTGCCTGCAGGTCATCATATCCTTTCTGAGGACAAAGCAATTCAGAGTAATCTGGTTAACAAAATGCCTCTCTGGACACATTAGAATAATAATAATAATCCTGGCATTTGATATAGCGCCTTATCATGGCTGCTGACGTCTCAAAAGCTTCACAGAATATATTGTAAAGTGAATTGACTGTGTTTTCTGGGCGAATGCGGCAGCCAGTTGCCCATAGCAGCGTCCCACAAACAGTCGTGGATTGAATGACCCCAAAATTTATTTTTAGATGGATTATTACCCCCAGAAAGCGATCCGCCAACCGATTGACAACCGGATTCCTACTTACTGCTAGGTAAACAGAGGCGTTTAACATTGCTTTGATTAAAATTGTTGCGTGTGTGTGTGTAGTCTGCTTCTACCTTTATAGCATCACGTCGCTTTTGCTCAGCCTGAGTGTGTGCTTGTCTCCGTCGATCTTTGTAAGTCTCTTTGTAAGCAGGCTCTTGCCTGTAGTCACTGTCTTCATCATCTGCAGTTGGAGAACAATCATTGTCTGTCATGCAATCAGCTACAGAGAAAACAGAACGCATTGAATCACTTCATTTCCAAGAAAGAACAAGTGGCAAATTGTAAGTTATCTGAGCAGCGTCATGGAACAAACAGTACATTTCTTAAACGTTTTACTGAGTAGAAGCCTTTACTTGTTGCATTTAACTTCTTAGAAGCAGGTATTCTTTTTTAAGATGCAAAATACTTTCATCTGGCAACGAGTTTTAACAGATATCGGCCAGTCCCTCCTCTAGACATCAGTCAGTGATCTACACTATCTACAGAGCAGGAAGTTCCCGGGTTCAATCAGTGTACTGTTTTGAGTTAGCTGAGATGGCAGTGGGAGCATTACATTTAGCTTCAATGACCCTGAGCAAAGGAGGTGGACTGTCAAGACATATAGTTTTTCCCATCCAGAAAAGTGCCCAGATTCGCACAGTGAGCAATGCATTGAGTGAAGCACTTAATATCAGTTTGTGTAATGACAGGTGGGAGGGGAATCAAAGGTCAAGCATTGGCGTAGAGGCCAAGTGAGGGAACAGGCATCTACACAGGGTGAAGTGAATGCGGCCTGAGCTTAGGGATAGATGTCGGCAAAGGATTACTGGTGGACTTTGTGTGAACAGTGGGCAGGGAGGCCATGTATCAGGCTTAGCTCTTTACCTGTGTTGGGTACAGATGAGGCACTGGTGGAGCCCGTTGTGGATGTAATGCTGTTTGCTCGTGACCCTATGTTTCCCTTTCTCGGGCTATCTGTAAAGAAGGCTGAAAAAAAAAAGATGATTTTGCCCATTTATATCAGCACCTGACCAATAGGCATCATACAGTACACGATAAGAGTTCAAAACGGAATTAGATAAATATTAGGAGAAAAATACGAATGTATTAGAAGGAGGAAGACGATGACTGTTTGATCCAAAACATGTTGGATCAAACAGTCACCTTCTGTGCCGGAAAATTCTATGCTTCTCGGACTGACTGACCGACAGACATACCTCCTGAATTTAGATATTTCACAATTTTCTTTCCCCCCCCAGTAAGTACGTGCAAAGGCAGGAGTTTTGGAACTCCATTAAAGGAGGCAAAGCAAAGGCACTTTGTACTCACACGGATCGAATCCATTCTCGCTGTACGCGGAGTCGGGCTTCATTTTGACGTTGAAGGTTTCACGGGGAGGGAAGAGGGGGAGAACAGAATGGACTCATTACTTCCAAAAGGATTCCTCACGTTAGCGCCGACGTCAGCTTCAAAGGGAACTCGCGGATAGGAGCGAGAGGGAACAACAGGGACAGGAATCAGCAGCCGGGAGGGCGGCCTCTGGCCCACACCCACCCGAGCGGCAAAGCCCCTCACACTGCGGACCTGTAGCTGAGGAAACCCGGTAACAAACACTGTGTTTGTTAGCGCCTCGGGACGTCCTCCTGACGTGAAAGGCGCTTTATAAATGGAATCTTGTTGTTGTTGTTGTTGTGTTGGGTGGAGCTCCCGATACGGGGGCGACGGGGACGCGGCAGGTACCAAGGACCGAGTCCCCGGCTTTGGGAGCAGAGATGGTCTGACACCCGCCTGACCGACAGTGACAGGGCAATGTCTCGCTGCGGTCAGCAGCAGCAGCGGAGGGGGTGGGGTGGGGGGGGGGGGGCAGCGATGAAGAGGAAGGTCTTTGGGTGCGATCTGAAGAGGGGCGAAGAGAGGGATTGAGGCCGTGAAACCTCAGCGTCAGTCTGATCTGCGTACGTCGCCGGGCGCCGCGGGGTGGGGGGCTGCCGCGCTCCACCACCCCCCCCCACCCACCCCGCAAAATACACAGTCACTACGCTCCACGGCGCGATCCTGAGAAGCGCTCTTGAGACGCCCCGAAGACCCGATGCGGCGCATTGCGTCCACAACGTTAAGACATAAGTCGTAACGTCAATGATGATAAGTTCTAACAACATTAATAAAACCACATCACAATATAGGTCCCAGAATCGGGGGGAGAGGCCCCGGGAGAGGGGGGGGGAGGGGGAGAGGGGGGGTGGAGGGGAGTGAGAGGGGGGGTGAGGGGAGGGGGTGAGGGGAGGGGGGAGTGAGGGGAGGGGGAGTGAGGGGGGGGTGAGGGGTGTGAGGAGGGGTGTGAGGGGTGTGAGGGGAGGGTGAGGGGAGGGGGGGAGGGGAGGGGGTGAGGTCGGGGAGGGGTGGGGTGGCCCCGGGCCCCCGGGGGGGAGTTTCTGGGGCAGAGCCCGGGTGCGGCCTTGCGGAGCCCAGAGCCTCGGGCTTGAGTTCTGAGTAACTGTTACTGTCGGGACGGGTTCCCCCCCCCCCTCCCCCCTCCCCCCGACCCCGAGCCGCTGCCGCGTTTACAACAGTAAAACAGTAAAAGATATTGTTATTATTATTATTGATATCAAACGCACTGTCACCGCGTTCCGGGGATCGTCCGAAGAGGCGTTACAGTCGGTCATTGTCACCACAACAACTCACTCACTCACTCACTCACAGCGCCACCACCCGGTCACTCACTCACTCACTCACTCACACACACACACAGCGCCACCACACGGTCACTCACTCACACACTCACTCACAGCGCCACCACACGGTCACTCACTCACTCACTCACAGCGCCACCACACGGTCACTCACTCACACACTCACTCACAGCGCCACCACACGGTCACTCACTCACTCACTCACAGCGCCACCACACGGTCACTCACTCACACACTCACTCACAGCGCCACCACCCGGTCACTCACTCACTCACAGCGCCACCACCCGGTCACTCACTCACTCACAGCGCCACCACCCGGTCACTCACTCACTCACTCACTCACAGCGCCACCACCCGGTCACTCACTCACTCACTCACTCACAGCGCCACCACCCGGTCACTCACTCACACACAGCGCCACCACCCGGTCACTCACTCACTCACTCACTCACTCACACACAGCGCCACCACCCGGTCACTCACTCACTCACAGCGCCATCACCCGGTCACTCACTCACTCACTCACACACAGCGCCACCACCCGGTCACTCACTCACTCACAGCGCCACCACCCGGTCACTCACTCACACACAGCGCCACCACCCGGTCACTCACTCACTCACTCACACACACACAGCGCCGTCGGTCGGTCGGTCGGTCACTCACTCACTCACTCACTCACTCACACACCTGACCATCTCCCCGGCTCTCCCTGAGGTTGTCCCTCCGGCCTCCGCTCCGCTATCTCCAGGGCCACACTCAGCCACGTAAATATCAAGGGTATGAAAGGCACACGAGGACTTTTTAAAGGAAGGTTTAATTTGTATTGAAAACCACAAAATATCGTTCGCTTTTTTAAAAAAAATAAAAAAAAGAGCAAACGATGGATCCTCGGCGTTTGGACAACTGATCTTTCAGGACTTTTCAAATTTAAAATAGATGAATAAAATCCCAATCCAACATTGATCAGAGAGCACTTCAGCAAAAATCAACCAACCCAAATTTTAGCACAAGCGAGTTTTGACTATTGTACAATCCCAGTGAATGTCTTGATCCAACAGGAATTCGGAGACAGATTGATCTGGATCATAAAGTGCTTCGGATTCACGTGGAGGGTCGAACCACCTACAGTGTGCTATTGTTATCATCATCATCAGTCTGATCCTGACGTACACACGCAACAAGGAACCAAATGTTGCTGCATTCAGCTGCAACCATCAGCATTTTGTACGTGAGAAAAATCTAACACTTGTTCAACGAAGAGTTTATCGACAACGCGTCAAAAGGTTCTTCCCCGCGAGACGTCATGTAGGCCGACGCTTTGCGAGGAGTTGCCAAGCCTTCCGCACCTGAAACAAATTGCGAAGAATGAACTTTTAAGTTCCACCAACATCAAACGTCAAGACATTGTTTGAGGCGTGAAAGATCAAGGGATAAAAACTAAGTCGCTGCTGCAGAAAATAATTTCAAATGCCTTTGATATAGCACTGATAAGGTCGAGAACATCTTATTCAAAGCGCTTTACAAATTTCTCTCAGTGTCCTGGCCAACAATCCCCCAAATAAAATTGGTCATTTACTTCACGGCTTTTGTGGGACACTGCTGTGTGCAATTGGCTATTGCGTTCACCTACAAAACACAGTCACTTCACTTTGCAGTATAACCTGTGAAGTGCTTTGAGACGTCCTCCTGACATGAAAGATGCTATACCAAATGTAAGGATTACTACTTGAACATTGACTAAATTTGTCCATCCATTGTGTAGTGCCAGGGGCAGAACTCGCACCCTGAAGCGTTCAATCACTGGCTCCATAGTGCCTTACAAGATGCTTATTGCTGAAGCACATAAAATGAATTGATCCTGGACACCAACCTGTTTTTCAGTGACTTCAGGCTCCCACAGTGTGCAAAGCACTACATTGGCGTGATGGATCCGCTGAGTATTTGTCCACTGGCTTTCAAGTCGCTGCTTGGCATCTTCTTCACTCAAATTGTCTCTCCTCATGATTCTCTGCAATGCCTAGTGATTGGAAGGGAAGACTCGTAGCTTTTGGTTTATCCAAGCAAGGGAGCTTCAAACAATGAAGCACAAGTAAGTATGGACAAGTGCGTACACTCACACACCTTTGGAAAATGGTTTCTGAATTGGAGAAGAAGTTGTAATATCTCACATCTTTGAGACGTTTCAAAGCGTTTCACAGAATATACTGTGAAGTGAGTTGACTCTATATTTTGTGGGCGAAACGAAAAACTGGTGTTTGGAGGAAAAAAGAATCCACACACTAGAAATTACTAATAAACTCGGGCATTCGAAAGACCGGAAGTGGCAGATTTCCAGGAAAGAGAAGGTGTGGTATACAATTCCTACCTCTTCCTCTGGAACAAAGGTTACCCAGATTTCGTGAAACATATCTGCCCAGCCGGCTTCCATCAGAACTGCAGCGTCCACCACACACACAGTGGCTCCTTGGGAAAACAAATGGGTTTGATAAGTAACAACAGTTGCTACTGATGTGATGAATACATTCGTTGAAACGATTCAGCACAAGTGGTACCTGTGGCTTTTTTTTTTAAATCACACTTTACAGTTTTCTCCCTGCATTACTTGTCTTATTCCTCAGATGCTTATCCAGTTTCCTCTTCAATGTCAGACTCCTTACCCTCAGCAACAGCTTCTGCTATCTTCTGCTCCATAAGTTTGGCTATTTCTGGCCATACGATGGCTGATAGACGTTTGAGCTTCTCCTGAATAAAACAGAAGGCAAATACTGTCAACTGCACATCTCCCAGGGGACGAGGTATTCTCTGGTTTATATTAAATGAAATATAAAGGTTGGGTTGAATTTCAACTAAAGGTTGACAAGGGCAGCAACACACCTTCTGGGCACCAATGCACTGTTGTACACCCAAAGCAACAATACATCACTGGTAGATCGCTTTTCCGGGGATAATAATCCTTGATAATAATAATCCTTGCATTTGTTATAGTGCTTTTCACGTCTTCTAGACGTCTCAAAGCGCTTCACAGAATAGACTGTAAAGTGAAGTGACTGTATATTTGTGGGCGAACGCGGCAGCCAATTGTGCACAGCAGCGTGGATTGAAAATGACCAATTTATTATTGTTTTGTTTTGGAGGGATTATTATTAGGCTCTGTGTGGAGTAAGGAAACTTGCCCAAGGTTTCGCCCTCTGCTTGGAATTGAACCCAGGTCTCTTGCTTGCAAGGCGAGTGCTCTAACCACTGTGCTATAAGACTCCAAAAACAAAAACGATAATAATTTGGTCACTCAATCCACAACTCTTTGTGGGACACTTCTGTGTGCAATTGGCTGCTCCATTTCACCAACAAATATACAGTCAATTCACTTTACAGTATATATCTTTGAGACATATCGAAGATGTGAAAAGCTCTATATCAAAGGCAAGGATTATTCTGATTATTATTATATTATCATAAAACTCCCATTTGCATGCCAATGTTTTGATGTCTACTAAGGATGCAATGCTGAACACGGACACAAATGCTCCATAACATGGCGCAAGGAAGCAATACATAATAGCATTTCCTCTCTCGATTTTAAAATGTTTTATCAGAAAACACCTTCCTCCCTCCCACGTTCCTCTTACCCAGTTTGTGACACCTCCCGCCCCACCCTCCTTCTCTCAATGTACATTCTTTCGCACCATCATGAATAGAGAGACTATTTAATCTCATGAAATGTCATTGATTTCATTGCAAATGCAATTGGGACAGTTTTCTTGCATATATACATAAGGTGTACCATGGGAAAGGATGCAAAGAATGACAAAAAATGGGTTTAACTGGACTCTGGTGTGTAAACTGGTTTCAGCTATAATCCAAGCTAAATTTAGATTTGACGATCTGACCATTGTCAGTGTTTTTTTGTGGGAACCCCCAATGACAGTCTTTTATAAATTTTAAGAAATAGTACATTAGATTTCAAATGTTGACCTCATATCCACACTTGGAGCCAGTGCCATTTAGTTCAGACCTCAGCTTCTGTGGCTATCTCCTTTATTCCTGTATTTATAATAACATTGAGAACTCTGCAGAGAACCACTTACCTCATCTCTGAATACTTTCTTTCCCAAAACACTTCGGTTAATTGTGCCATCTGTCTGTACAATGTCTGCAAGCACAGGTGACAATTATGACTCACTCAAGACTTAAAATAATTTGGGTCAAAACAATACAGAGAGTGCAATATAAAATCAGCATTTGATTTTGCAACACATGTCTCTGATAAAAAAAATGAACATTTTGGATTTGTAACTTGTCTCAGAACCTAATTGAATTACCAAATATAGAGATCACTCACTCAGAATTCAATAAGGTTAATTAAGCATGATAATAATAATCCTTGTATTTGATACAGCGCCTTATCATGTCTTCGAAAATACTCTGTAAAGTGAATTGACTGTATATTTTATGGGCGAAATGTGGCAGCAATTGTGGGATCGTGTTTGTGTTTTGTGTCCCACAAACAGTCGTGCATAGAGTGACCAAATTATTATTATTTTTATTTTGCTTTCAAGAATCCTGCTATTAATTACTCCTCCAACTCAAGATGCTTGGGTATTGCATTTATTGTAGGCTCCAACACTGCAGCTTAAAATAACTGGCCTATAGTTTCCTCGATTAGCTCAATCTCCTTTTTGAAGAAATGGGTATTAAGTCGTTCAGAGAATGTACCTTGGCCAAACTCCTGAATGATCCTGTGGTAAGAAAGTGTGCCAGGCTGATAGGTCTCATGTCCCAGTTTATCAGCGTCAATACAGTGGGCTCCAAGTTTGTGTAGAATCTTTAAGACCGATGACTTTCCACTTCCTGTGCTTCCAGTCAGCCCAATCAAATATGGAGTCGATGCAATCCTGGGATTACTCTGAAACATACATGAAGATGTAAAAAAGTATTGTGCCTTTTTGTTTGTTCATCAGAGAAGGTATGTTAGTGGGGAACTACATAAAGAACATTGCTTTGGCGTCATGCATCAGCACCTGAAGCACAGCAACAATAAATTACATTTTTACAGCGCCTTTCACGTCAGGAGAACGTCTCAAGGCGCTGCACAGTCAGGGGTCTGCACCCGAGCTGGTGGTTGGGATCAGGAGGTGTAGAGGGAAGGGAGGGTAGGGGTAGGAGTGTGACCGAAAACGTGGTCGAAGAGAAGGGTCTCGAGACGAGACTAGTATTGACACAGCACAAGTTAGACAGAGAAGAATCCTCTTTACTTCGCCCCCAGGTACCAGTAGAATAATGGCTTGGAATAAAGGCACCAACCAACTTGGACGCCAATCTGTGTTCTGCATCCACATCCGCACAAAAATAGATAACTAAATTATAGCTATTGGAGAGCCATCAGAATTTTAGTTTTATCAAAGAATTCCAGATATCTATTCACAGTTGGCAAGACTATACCAAAGACAGAAGAACTCATGGTTGCTGGAATGACACCAGCAGAGGTAAGGTAGGCTGTGCCAAAGAGATAGCATCAACAACTTGCATTTATACAGTGCCCTTCATGCGGGGTAGCTCCCGGAGTGCTTCACAGTGGCAGAGTCTGAAACCGAGCCAAGGGGAGGTGGGGGGGGGGGGGGAGGAGGTAACCGTAAGCACGATCAAATAGGAAGGTCTTTAGGCAGGATTTGAAGGTGCGGAGAGGGCAAGGTGGAGGAATCGAGGGAGAGTTCCAGAGTTTTGGGGCGTAATGACTGAAGGGACTGCCACTAATGATGGAATGGAGGACGTGAGGGGCAATTAGGAGGCCAGAGCCAGCCGAACGGAGACAGTGGGTGGCAGGTAAGCAGATCGGATGGGGAGGGATGTGCGAAGGAATGAACTGATTTGAAAACGAGTGAGAGGATCTTGAAGCCGATCCATTCGGTCTTTGGGAGCCAGTGGAGCCTGGCTAGGACTGGTGCAATTGGGTACTTACTTTTGGTGGTACCAATAGGGATCCCAACAATCGCTTCCTTAGAGTGGATGAACTGATCTTTTCTTCTTCATTGACCGTGTGTTGAGTATCTTTAACTAAACGGATCTCATGTATTATTAGCTCCTGAAGGCCCTGCAGGTGCAATCATTTATTTAAACTTCAAACAAAGTTGCACATAACATGCAAAAAAACAAGTCTCAGCTTACTAAAGCAAACGTAAATTTTGATGCGAAAGCAAAATTGCAAACCGTGAGCAGAGACTAGAACACTCTTTCTCAAATGATTAACAGTAGTTTTTTTTTAAGTTAGGGCTTGAATGATAATGTCAGAATTGACAGTTTGCATGGCAATGGTTTGGGAATTATTATTGCACCTCAAGTTACCCATAAGCAGCAACTGATTCGGTGAAATTCTACTACTCTGATCCGGTGTTTACTTCATAGAAAAATAATTCAGAACATTCAAAGGTTTAGCTGAATGCAATCATGTACAGAGTCCAGATAAGTGCACGCACTGTGCTAGTTTAGTTTTGTTCTCATTCCCTCAACTGCGTCGTTCCCCCCCGCCCCCTCTCTCTCACACACACACACGCTCACAATTCATGTATTCCTCAGTCACACAAAACAAACTGAAAAGAATGCAAGACCCATCGTGGCCAGAAAAAAAATAATTTCACAACAAACACATGTGCATGGAAGGACACCAATTGCAAAGCTTGTTTGTTTTCTTCTAATTATAGCAAATTATGCAAACAATTATCCTATTCGTTTAGATACTGCAACATCAAGGATACTGAGATTTCTAGTTAAGCCGGAGCCTTTCAGCTACAGGCCTCCTTAGTAAGTGGTACTCAGCAGTCAGTGGGCATATAGCATCCAATATTTTGTCATCTTTCTCTGGAACGTTATTTTAAACTCTTGCATTTACATTGGATGTTGTTTTCTCTGCACATCCCCATACTGTCCCCTTAAATAAACAACGGTAACAACTTGCATTTACATAGCCACGCAGGGTAATGTCCCAGATAGCTTGAAAAACTTTCAGACATCTGTTCCACGGAAGGGAATAAGCGGCTCAATCTCACACTGGCACTTCCTGGTTTAGATACATTACATTTTCCAATCTTTTCCGGTTCACTGCCTCTCCACCGCTTCGAGTCTCCTCACTGACCACAATGCAGTCTAGCTTTGCATCATTAACTGATGGCCCGTACGGGTTTTCCAGAGACACAAGATCATACTGTAAGAGAGGCTTCACATCCAGCAGGAACTCTCTCAGCCTTTCTATACGCCATTGGTAAGGGTCAATCAACTCTTTCAGCACCTTATCTGCAGGAAAAACAGAAACCTCTTAACTCCTGAAAATATATCACCCACCACATATTCTTCACTCTCACAAACACCTCACAATTTGCCCAGGACATTAACAATGAACTAATCTCAGAGAAGTTGTTCTTTATGAATTGTTGGGGCATACTGTCAACTCACAACATCAGTTTGGATGAAAAATGCCTTTCTGCCCATTTGATCTCATGCCTCCAGAATACCCACCCTATCGCCCCCCCCATCATAGCATCAAGCTTTTTATCTGAGTACAGTCTGCCGAGAATCTGTACCTCCACACCCTCTCTTAACCCAGACTGCTGCTCACTCCCCATCTTGTGCCAACACTCATCTGACACAATAAGCAAGAGACGCAGCAGGTAGTGGAATAACACGTTTCTTCCATCATCCCTCAGCAGTGCGACTCAGGTTAGAATGGCAGAGACTTGCTTGTTGAACCTGCATCACTGCACAGATCACAGTAGCAGGTGCCAGTTAGGCCCAGTCCTGACTCCTGCACAGCTTTAGTACCATACTTTAAAAAACAGCACATCAACAGCAGCAGATACAGTAACGAGTTAGCCAATTATTTTAAAACTCATTCTTGGAACATGTGAGATGCTAGCAAGGACAGCATTTATTTCTTATTTCCAGCTGGTGGTGTTTGTCCTGTTTAAACCTCTTCAGTCTTTGTGGCAGGGGTGTTAGGTTCGCATGACTGCAGTCGTTCTATTTACAAAGAAGGCTGAAGAAGCGAAAAAAAATCAATGAATGTGGATATGGTTACCAGATAACTACAAAGCAATTAAGATTTAGGGATCCAAACAAAGTCAGTCATTTCTCTATGTGCTTGAGTAGAATGGAAGTTTTGTACTGACAGATACTCTTACTCACTATTCAGCAGTTCTCCATCTGCCACACCAATCAGCAACCGTTGCTCTGCCAGTAAACACGAGGCGCTGAGGAGAATTCTGTGGGCTGCATGAAGCTTGTCAAAGGTTCCACCCACCACTACATCACTGTAACCAGGCATTTGTTTGGATAAAATAGTGTCAGCAATCTCTTGTTTTCCTGTACAGTCTGCCTTAGGTGGCAAAAACATGGCCGTCAAATTTGGTCTACATGTAAAACAGCCACACGCATATTCTGCTAACCTCTTCTGTATTTGATGGGATTGGTTTATATCACTCATCTTGTAGTCCGTTAGCACTACTTCAGGGGGTTGAGACAAATTCTGCACTGAGGAAATCGACTGTTGAATTGAACTGCTGCTTTTAATATTGGACAAAAGTATTCTGATGTCCAGGTGATCCCACACATCAGAACCTATTGTGTAGAGGTTTGTTATCAGCTGCGATACCTCATAGCTTGCTGGGATATTTAGTGGTTTGGGTAGTGGGCAGCTATCACTAAGTCTCAATCCTGGATGGAAATGAACGTACAAAACCTCCTTTACGATTTGAGCTGCCGATGCCAACACTGGAGCCACGCGTAAGGCCACAAGTGGAAGTGGAGAGGTTAAAACAAGAATGCCTGTACGGAACACAGCCATCACTGCCCAGTCTCCTGAAAGGAAAAAGCAAAGCCACGATCAGTTGGTGTTATTGTGCACAATTGGCTGCTGCGTTTGGCCCACAGTCACCACACATTACAGTGTATCCCTACCATGAAAGGGCCTATATATAAATGTACATTTGAATTGTATTGCGAAGTGCTTTGAGACGGCTCAAAAACGTGAAAGGGCGCTATATAAAATGCAAGGATTATTATTATTATTATTATTATTATTGTCAGCTGATGGGATACTCCGATCTCTAGTATGACAGTGGGGTGATCGAAAGCGCGGTTCGAAGAGGAGGATTCTTGAGACGGGTTTTGAAGGGGGCGACAGGGGGGGGGGGGCGAGGGAAGGGGGCGAGGGGAGGGGGCGAAGGGGCGAGGGAAGGGGCGAGGGAGGGGCGAAGGGGCGAGGGAAGGGCCGGAGGGAGGGGCGAGGGGAGAGGGCGGGGAAGGGGCGAGGGAATGGGCCGAGGGAAGGGGGCGAGGAGGGGGGGCGAGGGGAGGGGCGAGGGAAGGGGGCGCAGGCCCGCTCGCCAATGGTAATAGATACCCTGTTGTGCATCAAGTTGACCTCTTAAAGGAGTCAGTGGCGCCACAGGACAGTCACAATAACAAAGACCCCCCTCGCGCCCCCTCACACACACACACACACACACGCGCGGTGCTGCTGTGCATCGACTTCCAATACCTTTGAGAGCCTCAGACGGTCCCGAATGAAGGAAATAATCAGAAATAAATTAATAATAATAATAATAATGATGATGACGATGACGAGCAGCCGTGAGCGGTGCTGTCGTGGCTGTGGGCGGCGGAGAGCGAACGGGGTCGGGCGGGAGGCCCCGCCGCTCTGGGGTCAACTCAGGCCGAGGCCGAGGCCGCGCAGGAGCGGAAGTCCAGACCCGGATGCGACCCCCCCACCAGCGGTGCTCTCTGATTGGTCGGGAGCCCCTCTCCTCCCCGCCCACCACCGCCCACCCAGCGACCCTTTCGCGGCGGTCCTGACGGCGGGCGGGTTGGGCGGGTTCCGCGCCTTTTCCGGGCTACTTTCACGCCCCCTCCTCCACCCGATCGGATTTATTTTTCTTAACGCCTTCACCGAGAGCCGTTTTCACGCCCAAAGCGCGGGCTGTTTCCACGTGGAAAACGGCCGGGGAGTGGATGGGGAGGGGGGGGGGTTAACGCCCGATTGGGCGGATTGGGCGCGCGGGGGGGGGGGGGCGTTGACCGCGCGCGGAGGAGGAGGAGGGAGAAAAAAAACGGCTTTGGGGGGCGGGGCGTTTTTTTTCAAACGTTTAAATTTAAACCGTCGTAACGTCCCTTTCTCTCCTGTGTCCCTTTGATGCCCCTTTGCCCCCCTCTCCCCCCCCCACACGCCCTCGACACGGTTCCTCCCCCTGAATCTCGCCGCCATTGCCATGAGGGGGCATCGCATTGGGGGCCCGACATCACCTTTATTTTTTTTTAAAAAAAAGAAAAGTGGAGAGTTTTGTTCGATTGGGGGCGGTTGGACTTTTGAACTGCAATTGATTTTTTTTTGAGGGGAAAAAAATACTCAATCTGCCTGAAAACTCCTTTTTTTTTGGAGGGGGGGAAGTTTTTTGGGGGGGCTCGAGTTTTAAGGGTTCACACACACACACACCCCTCGCCCCCCACACCCCCAGCCATGCCTGAGGTCGTCCTGTGGCGTCTCGGCCTAGTCCTGGCCTTAAGCCTCGGACTGGTAGTAGCGGCCGCCCGGGCTCAGGGACGCCTCCGCCCGCAGACTCTCGCTCACCTGCGACCGGCGGCGGACGACGCGGTTCAGACGCAGGCGGTGAGGGAGCTGCTGCTCAGGCTGCTCGGGGCCCGGGCCTCGGACTTTCTGGTGCTCGTCAACCGGTCTGTGGGTGGGCAGCGCGAGCGAGGAGGAGGAGGAGGAGGAGGCAGGACAGGTTCGAGCTGCGGTCCCTGAAGGACGGCCGTGTCTCCGTGGAGGCGAACACGGCCGTGGCCGCGGCCACAGGGCTGTACAAGTACCTGAGCGCCTTCTGCGGCTGCCACATCTCCTGGTCCGGGCGGCAGCTCTTCCTGCCACCAAAGCTGCCCTCAATCCCGACCCCTGTCACTGTTACAGCCCCACACAGGTGAGGCCAGACCGACCCCCCCCCGCCATCCCGACCGACCCCCCCCGCCACCCCGACCGACCCCCCCCCGCCACCCCGACCGACCCCCCCCCGCCATCCCGACCGACCCCCCCCGCCATCCCGACCGACCCCCCCCGCCATCCCGACCGACCCCCCCGCCATCCCGACCGACCCCCCCCTGCCATCCCGACCGACCCCCCCCCGCCATCCCGACCGACCCCCCCCCCCTGCCATCCCGACCGACCCCCCCCTGCCATCCCGACCGACCCCCCCCCTGCCATCCCGACCGACCCCCCCATTCCGACCGACCCCCCCCCCCCCCCCCCCACCCCCCCCCCGCCATCCCGACCCCCCCCCCCGCCATCCCGACCGACCCCCCCCCCGCCATCCCGACCGACCCCCCCCCGCCATCCCGACCGACCCCCCCCCCGCCATCCCGACCGACCCCCCCCCCTGCCATCCCGACCGACCCCCCTGCCATCCCGACCGACCCCCCCTGCCATCCCGACCGACCCCCCCCCCCCCTGCCATCCCGACCGACCCCCCCCTGCCATCCCGACCGACCCCCCCCCTGCCATCCCGACCGACCCCCCCCTGCCATCCCGACCGACCCCCCCCCGCCATCCCCGACCCCCCCCGCCATCCCCCCCCCCCCCGCCATCCCCCGCCATCCCCCGCCATCCCCCGGCATCCCCCGCCATCCCCCGGCATCCCCCGCCATCCCCCGCCATCCCCCGCCATCCCCCGCCATCCCCGCCATCCCCCGCCATCCCCGACCCCCCCCCCCGCCATCCCGACTGACCCTCCCTGCCATCCCGACCGGTCTCTCCCTTCTTTACTTGACTTACTTACCCCGCTCCGCGCTCACTGGCCTACCAGGGCGGTTTGCAGTTACATTTTGAGACGACTTGAAGACCTAATAAGGCGCCACATCAAATGCGAGGATTATGATTATCACCATTAATATACAGAGCCCTTCACGTGGGGCAGTGGTCTCAGAGCGCTTAACGGCAGCGGAACCTAACCCCGAGCCGGGGGGAGGGGGGGAAGTGACCGTAAACACAGTCCAAGCGGGAGGTCTTCAGGGGCCATCCGAAAATGGGGAAGGAGGCGGTTGGGGGTGCACAAGGCGGGAGGAATTGAGGGTGAGAGTTCCAAAGTTATGGGACGTCGCAGACGAAAGCACGACACCTGCTCAGCAGTCTGTGACTGGAAGGAGAGGGTAGTGTTCTGGAAGGGTGACATCAAACGAGGATCAAATAACAGTGTCGTCGAAGCACGTGCAATACAAATTTACATTTACAGAGTGCCTCTCAGGTCAGACGGATATCCTGAGAGCTTGAATTTTATAGTGAAATGCAGAGCCTATGTAGACAAAAGTGTAGCCAATTTTCTGCTCACACCAATAAAGCGAATAATCAATTTTATTGGTCTGGTGTTAGCCCCACAACTGGAGGAGGAGGAGAGCCCCACCTCCCAAGGCTCCCTTCCTCACACACTACCTCCCTTCACCATTCCTCCTGCACCTCACATTTTTTCATAGAATTTTTTTCATACATTCATAGAATATTACGGCACAGAAGGAGGCCATTCGGCCCATCGAGTCTGTGCCGGTTCTTTGACAGAGCAAGTCACTTTCACTAACCCCAATCACCAGCTTTCTCCCCATAACCCTGCAAATCTGTCTTCCCCAGATACCTATCCAGTTCTCTCTTAAATGCTGTTATCGAATCGGACTTCACTGCCCTTTCGGGCAGATCATTCCAAATTCGAACAACTCGCTGATTGAAAAATTTCTTCTAACCTCCCCTCTGCTTCTTTTGGTAGATATCTTAAGACTGTGTCCACGGGTCACAGACACACCTACCAGCGGAAACAGCTTTTCCCTATCTCGCCTGTCGAAACCTTTCATGATCTTGAAGACCACTTATCAGGTCCCCGCATAACCTTCTCTGCTCTATTGGGAAAAGTCCTAACTTCTCCAACCTGTCCTCATAGCTAAGGTTCCCCATTCCTGGTATCATTCTCGTGAATCTCCTCTGCACCCTTTCCAATGCCTTAATGTCCTTCCTAAGGTAAGGTGCCCAGAACTGGACGCAGTACCCCAGCTGAGGCCTAACCAGTGTTTTGTATAGATTAACCATAAACTCCCTACTCTTATACTCTATGCCCCTACTAATAAAGCTCAGTACACCAAATGCTTCATTAAACCTCATCTATCATTGTTCTAATCTCTTTTTAAGTCCTTGCGGTCTCTCGGTATCCTCACTATTCACTACAATCTCCCAGCACATCTTCAAATTTTGATACTGTACTCTATAAATCAATACACATATATCTAACTCACTGTATATATATATATACTTACTCCATTTACTGACCACTGATCATCAACATTTGATGCAGTTTATTGTGTGTGGTTGTTATATATATATAGATATCTAACTCTCCCCCTCATTCGTTCTTGTTGTTTCTTTTTGGGTTAGGTTTCGTTACTATCAGAATGTTTGTGCATCCAGCTATTCATTTGTCTGGTGGGATTGGAAGCGTTGGGAGAAGAGATTGACTGGATGGCACTTAGTGGCATTAATCTCCCACTAGCATTTACTGGTCAAGAAGCCATCTGGCAAAGGGTAAGGGTCTGATGTGCTACAAGCTTACACGTAGTTTGGCTTCAATCGTAAGCTTTAACCAGACAGCTTAACAGTTATGTCATGCAAAGAAAAAGCATTTTAATTTATCAAGATATTCTCCATTTACTTACCACTGATCATCAACATTTGATGCAGTTTATTGTGTGTGGTTGTTCAGTTGTCAACGTTTTCTAAAAGTCTGAACAGTCTTTTTGAGCTTGTCAGAAGTACTTTGGACTGGATTGTTGAAAGCAGTACTACCCTCAACCCTAACAGAAGACTGTTTGTCTTGCAGGTTGGTTCCATAGATCATATATAGGGCTGCACATTTGTCACAGTGAAAAAAAATGTCATGAATAACTTGACTTTTCCTTTTGTCTGTGACAATACCCTCTGTCCCAAACATTTCCTGCATTAACCTTGAGAGAGGCCAGCACATGAACCAGCCGCTCTCACAGTTAATGCGGGAAATTCAAATGGAGATATGAAGAGGTTTAGTAGAACTCCATACCTGTGATTTCCCCCAACAATTCCTGTAAACCCACAACATTTAATAAATTTACTCAGTGATTTTTGACACAGAATGGAGTGACAAATCAGCATACCTAATCATAGTTAATACAGCACGCCCCCAGCATTTGATTGGAGTGTCAGCAAAGACCATATAGGTTCCAGGTGCCTACATGGTTATTGAACCCACATGCCTACATGGTTATTTCAGAGGTGAAAGTGCTACCAACTGAGCCAGGCTGAGGCACAGATCTGTAAGAAATTCTCGTTTGTTCATGTGACTTCTATTCATTTGTTTGGTGGAACTGGAAGCGCTGGGAGAGAGAGAGATTGACTGGATGAATAATGTGACTTCTATTTCAGGTGTACCTTTCCCTTGGCCTCAATCAAACAGATGTTGAGAACTTCTTTGCAGGGCCCGCATTTCTTGCGTGGAGTCGCATGGGGAATATCCATAGCTGGGCAGGCCCTTTGCCCTCCTCCTGGTATGAAAAGCAGCTGAATCTGCAGGTAATGAGCAACTTTACCAAACCAACTGCTCTTTTCATCAGGCCTGTATCCTAGCCCTCCTGTTGCAGATCATTGCCCAAAACAATGGAAACAATATCAACTGTGCCTTATTATATGAACTCAAAACAAAGTCACTATCAGATTTTACAGGATTTGAGAGAAAATAAACTACTGTAATTCGATGGCACTATTAATTCTAAGATTCTTTCTGATTTTTGAGGTACTGTTTTTGTGTTGTGTAACTCTATGTAACAAAGCTGCAGCTAGTCAGACAATGTGCAATGTGCTCCTGAGTTATTTGTGCCACCCGCAGGATGCTTGTTGATAAACAGACGTGTATTTCTTGTTTGGTTGGTTATTAACAGATTCTTTGTTTTATTTTGACTCCCAAGCACCAGATTCTACAGCGGATGAGATCGTTGGGGATGTTGCCAGTGCTACCTGCCTTTGCTGGGAATGTGCCAGGTGCTGTCTCAAGGTAAAAACAGTCACAGGAGGTGGCGGGTGGTGGGGCGAGAGGTGGTGGGGCGAGAGGTGGTGGGGCGAGAGGTGGTGGGCGGCGGGGCTGTTGAGTTGGATCTTAAAGATCTCATGATACTACTTGAAAAGAGAAGGGAGTTCCTCTCTCCTGCTTTGATGCGTCTCAAACGATGTGATAAAGCGTTATATCAAATTAAAGGATTATTATCAAACACTTTATTGGACCAGCCAAAATTTGACTTTGTACGTGTGAATTTCTTTTACAGATTATTTCCTACAGCAAACATCTCCAGACTTGGAAGTTGGGGACATTTGAACTGTACTTACTCTTGCTCTTACCTGCTGGACCCTGAAGATGCTCTCTTCCAGCGGATAGGCCAGATGTTTTTGGCGGAGGTGATAAGAGAGTTTGGTTCTGACCACATTTACAATGCAGACACCTTCAATGAAATGGTGCCCGGCTCCTCAGATCCCAAATATTTATCCAGTGTCAGTAGTGCTGTCTTCAAGTCAATGACCCAAGGTAGACCTTTCCCAGAGTATATCTCGAAACTTCCCAGTACAAAATTAATATTTAATTCTTCTGAATTTTCCCTCCAGAACACAGTAGAATGGATTCCTCCTGGCAGCCTCAGAAAATCAGATGCAAGTGTCACCCCTTCCTGAACCCACGACTTTGCTCTTCCTACCTCTGTGACCTGCTAATACCACATCAACCTGTCCGCTTCCTCCGCTCAGCGGGCTCCACGTCCCCTGCCCGGCCCGCCTGCCCCACCATCAGCGGTCGGGCCTTCGGTCTCTCTGCCCTCTCCACCACAATCCCTTTGCTCTGCTCCCTCCCTTGCCTCCTTCAAGGAAGGATTCAAGACCCTCCTTTTCCACCATGCCTTCAGCCACCCTCCTGCCCATATTTTCCCTGCCCTCATTTTCCCTCCCTATTTCTCCCTGCCCTTCATCCTCCCTGCCCTCCACCTCTCCTGATCCCAACCCCCTGCTCTGGACCAAACTCCCAGACTGAACAGCGCCTTGAGACATCCTCCCAAAGTACAAGCCACCATACAAATGCAAATTGTTGTCATTGCAAGAGAATGAATCCTTCATTGACTGATCACTATTAACCAATTTTTCATTTGAATTTGTTAATTTCTCCACAGTTGATCCCAAGGCTATTTGGCTCATGCAGGGATGGCTATTTGTGAATCGACCTACATTTTGGCAACCAGACCAGATCAAAGCTTTGTTGCATGGGGTTCCACTGGGGAAGATGATTGTCCTGGACTTGTTTGCAGAGAGTCAACCAATGTATGCCAAAACACAATCTTTCTACGGGCAACCCTTTATATGGTGCATGCTGCACAATTTTGGGGGCAACTTAGGAATGTATGGGACCGTGGAAAGTATTAATAAAGGTCCTTTCGAAGCAATGAACTTTCCAAATTCCTCCATGGTCGGCACAGGACTGGCACCAGAAGGAATTGAGCAGAACGATGTTATATATGAACTAATGAATGAAATAGCATGGCACAAAGAATCTTTAAACCTCACAGATTGGTTTGCATTGTACCCTCAGAGGCGCTACGGAACGAAAAATCATCACGCGGTAGCAGCTTGGCAGCTGTTATTACGGAGTGTCTACAATTGTACTGTCTACATGAAAAATCACAACAGAAGCCCCTTAGTTCACAAACCTTCTCTGAGCCTGAATACCTCACTGTGGTACACTAAAACTGACGTTTATGAAGCTTGGAGCCAAATGCAGGCAGCTGCTTCTGATCTGTTAACTAGTGAGACCTTCAAGTATGACCTTATTGATGTGACGAGGCAGTCTGTTCAATTGTTAGTGTCCGACTTTTATGAAGACCTCAAAGTTGCATTCTTCAATAATTCATTGGAAGAATTGCTGACTACTGGAGGAGTCTTGGTTTCTGACCTCTTACCTGAGCTCGACAGTCTCTTGTCCAGTGATAGACATTTTATGTTGGGCCGTTGGCTGGAATCAGCGAGGTCCTTGGGCACAGGTGAAAAGGAAGCAGATCTGTATGAATTCAATGCCCGAAGTCAAGTCACTCTGTGGGGTCCAGAGGGGAATCTTCTGGACTATGCCAACAAGGAGTGGGGGGGTTTGGTAAATGATTATTATACAGTACGTTGGTACCTCTTTGTATCCACACTTGCTGAGTGTCTCAATAGCGGAATTCCTTTTCACCAACATCAATTCGACCAAATTGCCTTTCAAGCAGAGCAAGGCTTTATCTTGAACAAAAAAAAGTATCCCGATCAACCGACGGGGAACACCTTTGAGATAGCAAAGCGATTGTTTCGAAAGTACCATCCTCAAGTAATGAAAAGATTAAAACTGCAATCAGGGAGGCCACGCAGGTATAGTGGATAGAGCTGCAGCTCATCGACTGGGAGCTTGCTGTTTCAAATCCCTGTGCTCGGTTTGTTGGTCGCATTGCTATGGCTAACTTGGCCCTTGCCTTCTGGTTTAAGAAGGTTAAAATCTGCTGGGTTTCCTTCTCTCTCTTCAATACCTTCGATTAAGGGATGCTGGGTCAATTGGAATTTTAAAGTCTGATGTCGATAGATTTTTGTTAGGTGAGGGTATCAAGGGATACGGAGAAAAGGCGGGTAAATGGAGTTGAGGTGCAACATCAGCCATGATAATAATAATAATAATAATAATAATGATGATGATTTAATAGAATGCTGTGGAAAAGGCTCGAGGGGCTGTTCCAAGCGCATGTGTGTGTCAGCTGTGTAAGGCGTGCCGTGCCGTGCCGTGCCGTGCCGGTGAAGTGGCCGAGTGGCACTGTACATGAAATGTGAACAATGGCCACTTGGGACAGGTAGCAGAGAGCAACCACTTGACCTTAGAACTGCACCTCAACAAAAGGAGGCTGAGAAGCAAGAACATATGCCGGTGCGGAAGAAATTAGAAAAAAAATAATTCACTAGTAAAAAAAACTATATTCAATCCATCCTACCTCTTTGATTTGCTTTCTTTGCTTTTATTCTTGGTTGGGGGGGGGAAATGATGTTTTATATTTGTACTATTCTGTATGAAAATGTAATAAAATAAAAGCTAAATTTAAAGAAAACATTTGTATTGAGCAACTGCCTCCATGTAAGGCTTCACATTTACAACAACAACGAAATTACATTCACAGAGCGCCTTTACCAGCTCAAATGCGATTAACCTTGCATAACTTGCCTGCGGTTTTGCTTGCCCAGGAATCGAACCCAGGTCCTCTCGCTCGCTGTAACCAATATGCTACAGGATTCCACGACTTGTTATTTGACCCTCTAAATACTGCAATACCTCCAATGTATACCTCCTATTAAAATATCAACTAACTGCTAACATAAACACTACCACCAAAGCTACTATGTTATAATCCTGAATTGAAATTTAAAAAAATATTAACTATCAATATGCTATTCTATGCAAAACACAGATTACCTTTTTAGTTCTGTAGTAAACATCCAATTGCAGGAAGTGTAATTGCACTTCTGGATTGAGTCACCAATCCATCCTGAGATCTTGGGTGGAAGGGGGAAACAAGGCAGAGATTGCTCCATGGTTAGCTGAACTCTTGTTCAGCATCATATATGTTAGGAATAGAAAGAACTATTTCTAGTTTCATTGAAGGGAAGTGAGAATAGTTTAGACTCAACTACAGGAGTCCTGTATTCAGTGGTTAGAGCACGCGCCTCGCAAGTGAGAGACCTGGGTTCAATTCCTGCCAGGGTGAAACCTTGGGCAAGTTTTCTTACTCCACACGCCTGATAGTAATGCCTCAAGAAAAAAAATCATAAAATTGGTCACTTCAATCCATGACTGTTTGTGGGACAGTGCTTTGCGCAGTTAGTTGCCGCATTTCGCCCAAAATATATCGTCAATTTACTTTACCGTATATTCTGTGAGACGTCTAGAAGACATGAAAAGCGCTATATCAAATGTAAGGATGATGATGATCGCAAAATTGCTAGTACAAAAACAAATAACATCTTAATACTGCTATATCAACCAAAATGCTTCCAAAACACCTCTATCTAAAACACCAACAGCGCCACAAATGCCAAACTCCCAGTGTTTCAAACACAAAATACCAGGGAACGGCAGGGAGATGGGATACAGGAGGAGGAGAAGGAGGAGGAATGGGAGGGATGAGGGAGGGGAAAGAAGGAGCGAAAGAGGAGGATTTATATAGCGTCCTACACGTGGGGAAGCGTCTGGAAGTGCTGGCTGTAGGAGTATCTCCCACCGAGCAACGTGAGCTTCACTCAGCTGCACTGGCTTCCCTCCCCACTTCCCCCAAAACACCCCTCCCACCCCCGTTGTCAGGTGGGCTTTCAGCCATCCCGGAGTCCCTCTAACTTACTCCATCCATCTCTCCCCTTGTTCAAGGCCCATCTCTTTGAACACATTTTTGGTCATCTTTCTCCTCTCCACACCTTTCAGCTTCCATCCCTGTCTCGGGAGTGCAGCCAGCAGTGTCAAGCACTGAGAGACGTCCTCCTGATTAGGGTGCTCTGTAAGGTGCTCCGGGACGCTATCCTGCGTGAAGGGCACTATATAAATGTAAGTTGTTGTCGTAGTAAATGTGTGCCACATGCCCAACAATATCAGTCGTGATGCATGATATGGTAGAATTTTACGGACCCCAAATATAATGGGGCTACGCTGTTTAGCTCAAACCTTGGTTCCTTGGCAAGCCCACACTGAAAATGGGTTAGTTTACTGAGCTGTTAATGTTGATCTTTATGTGTTTCTTGATTTAATGACCCATCCTTTGGAACCAGGTGGATGTTAAAATATCTCGAGGCACTATTCGAGAAGAGAGTAGTTTCTATTAATGCCTTGGTCAAAAATCCCCTGAATAAAATTGGTCATTCACTTCATGGCAGTTTGTGGGCCTCTGGTGTGCAAAAATTGTCTGCCCACGTTCACCCACAAAACAGTCACTTCCATTTACATCCTGTGAAGCTCTTTGAGGCATCCTCCGGACACGAAAGGCACTATACCAAATACACAGATTATTATTTTATTACTGCATTACTTTCCATTTGTTGTTAGCTTTGTTTTTGGTGCTACCCTGGAAGGCTTATTCCTGTCTCCTATTGATTGTTTTATTTACATTTCTGGGAGATCCTGACATGCCAATTGATAAGTGTTTTTTCAAAGGGCCATTTTCAGTGTCTAAATATTTTTCTGCTTCCCAATATTCTTTCTCTAAAGTGTGCTCTTGTTTTTTTTACACACACACAATGCCTCAACTCAGACAGACAGACAGACACACACACACAGACAGACACACACACACACACACACTGTGGTGTCTTCCTGTTTCCCTTCCCCCACCCCCACAGTCAGCAGTCTTATTGATTCATGTAACCATTGCTGAAACTGCCTCCCTTACAAAACACTGTACACATTTCTCTCTGGCTCCCTCTCTCTGTCTGTCTGTCTGTGTGTTTGGCTCTGGATGTGTGATACACACTACCCTCTTTCTCTTTTTTTTGTGTGTGTGTGTGTGTGTGTGGGGGGGGGGGGTCTGAATGCATAGCACTGTTCACCCTTCCCCCCCACCCACCCCACACCCTCCCCCCTCTGCCTCCTCTCCTATCTTTCTATTTCTGCTTCTATGTGACTCAGACAGACTCTTTCTGTGGCTGATTGTCTCTCTGGGTCTCTGTGTCCCTCCTCCCCCCTCAGCCTGAGGGAAACACGTCACATTCTGTGTGAGTCTATGCAAAACCACTGAGGGGTGGGGAGAGAGGCTCTTAAGGAGGTCTGTGAAACTTGAGGCCATTGGATTCATCTCGATTTTGAAAACCTTTTCTTTTCTCAGCAAACTTTGCTTTCGTGCCCCCCCACCCCCCCCACCTTTTTTTTTCTCTCTCTCTCCACCTTCCTGGGAAACCCTTTCCCAACCATATTTTGTTATATTTCCACACACACAACACACACAAATTATTTTAACATTTTTTTTACTTTTAAAAGAAAGAACCTAAAACTGTGATTTTTTTCTATTTGCAAATAATCATCAGTTTGGAGGATTTTTTTAAAAAAAACACATTTTAGGATTCACTCCCAGGGAATTTCCCCCCCCCCCCCCTCTGTAAGCATTTTTTTTCAAACTGAAATCTTAACCCAGTGCTACTCAAAACAGTTAACCTTTTTATTTTAAACACGTAACTGGTTTGAGTTTAAGATGTTGGGTGGAAACTGTACACATTTGTTTGTCATCCCAGATACAATCAGCACTGAAGTGCTTATTGGGGCTGGGAATGCATTCACTCTTTGAGACACACACACACACACACACACGCAAATACGTCCTATCTTCAAACAAACTGGTCCACACACACAAAAAAAAATCTATCTCAAAGGCAAAATCCTATCTGCAGCCACAGTGGATGGCAGTATTTCTACCAATTCGATCCCCCCAACGGTTGGAGATTTTAAACAAAACATCTCTCTCCACAGTGTTTGGGGTTGGAGTTGGGGCCAAACCTCAAGGCCTCCAAACTTAGCTTTATGTAAATTTTTCAAAAGCAATATTTAAAAAATCCAGAGTGAGGGGAAGGGGTGGGTGAGGGGAAGACAGCAGACTGTGTAAACCCCAGACACAGTGAGTTGTAGACCCAAGTCTCCAGTTCCAAGTGGGATAAACTCGCCCTCAGCCTTACTATTGCACTTAACTTGTCTGCGATCAGTAGTCCAAACCAACACAACAACACACACACACATACACATAGGAATTTTTTTTTATTTCTCATGAGCAAAACCCACCCAGGAGAGGAGGAGGATATATTTTTCATATATATATATATTTAAAAAATTATATCGAAAACTACTATTTTCGTTAGTTTTTTTTGGGTGGTGGGGGGGAGTGATTGGGTGGGTCGTTTGGGGGGTGGGGGGGGAGTGAAAAAATTTCTGCCACATTTCATACCCCCCCACCCCTCTCCCTCCCCCCCCCCCACCACTATTTTTTTTCATTCATAACTCTCGCACGATGATGGTTAGTTACATTGTTTCCAAAGAGGACGCGCCAAATAGCGACATTGTATCGCTTCCCCTCTGTATCCCTTTGGAAAGGTGAATGGACATCATTTGTGTGTGTCTCTGTGTGTGTGTGTTTGTGTCTGTGTGTCTCTGTGTGTGTGTCTGTGTCTCTGTGTGTCTCTCTGTGTGTGTGTGTCTGTGTGTGTGTCTCTGTGTGTGTCTTTCTGTGTGTGTCTCTGTGTGTGTGTTTGTGTGTGTGTCTCTCTGTGTGTGTGTGTGTCTCTGTGTGTGTGTGTCTCTGTGTGTGTGTGTGTGTGTCTGAGGGGGGGGGGGTGTGGGTGGGTGTGTGGGTGAGGTTTAAACGTTGTTTGCACTAGAATTTCCCGGACCACCTTAAACCCCTGCAGTGACCCAGGTTTCCCCACCCTCACTGTGTCAGCACCAGGGTGGGGAGTGGAGTCGACTGCAGAAACAACTCGCTTTTTTTTTCCGCCGCTGCCAGTCGCCATTCCTCCAGCCTTTCAGACTATTTTTTTTCTTTAGCAAAACAGCCCCACCGAGGCTGCCTCACCACCTGCACAAGGTACAGGGCACAGAGGTAAGCGCCTCTCAACAGCTCCAAACCTCTCCTCTTTCCTCCTCTGCCACAGTATCCAACCCTCCTCTCTCTCTCTCTCTCTCTCCCTCTCTCTCTCTCTCTTTTTTTTTACTTCTGTTTTTTTTTGTGTGTTGCATTTTTTCCCCGCAGGGTGAGGATAGGAGTCAAACAGCTTCTCCCTCCTTCCTTCCTTCCCTCCCTCTCTCCCTCTCTCTCTCTATATATATCTATCTCCCCTCCCCCTGTTTGCGCAGATTCCGTTGCACCAAATGTTCCCTTTTTTTACACACATATATATCTAATGTATCCCAACCACCCCCTCTGTCTGTCTCTCTCTCTCTCCCTCCCTCCCTCTCTTTTCTTTCCCTCCTTTCTCTCTCTCTCTCTCTCCCCCCCCCCCTCTCCAGCACAAGCGTGCTCAAAATTTAAAGTAGTAATGTCTCTCCCACACAACCCCCCCCCACCCCCACCCCACCCCCATCACCCACCACCCCACACCACCTTTTTCTTTTCTTTTTGCAATCTTTCCCTCTTTGGTGTGAATTGGTGGACCCCACATAAAGCTGTACACACACACACACACTGAAAAAATATACATTCCCCCCCACACCCCCACCCCCCCCACCCCTCACTCCCTTGTCTTTCATTTCGAATTAGTTTGCATGGGAGTTAAATCCAGGCTTTGTTCTGGGCAAACATTTGGGTGAGAGTGAGGGTAAGAACCTTGTACTATGGTCTCCTAACCCTAATGGAGTAGAACAGTTATGTAGAGTGGGGGCATGTGCAGATTCATGGTGTGTGTGTGGGGGGGGGGGGGGGGAGAGGGCTATATAACGTGGCATGATAACAAGTACCAGTATGTGATATGGCTTTGTGAAATTAGTGTTTTATTTGCCTGGCCTTAATAGTAATAATAATAATATAATAATAATAATCCTCACATTTGATCTGGGGCCTTGTCACGTATGAATTTTGAGTGTACAATTTGTTGGGAGAGAATGTGGCAGCCAATTGTGCACAGTAGTGCCCCGCAAACGGTCGTGGATTGAGTGACCAAATTATTAGTTTTTTTTAAGGGATTGTTACACCCGGAAAAGCGCTCCACCAATCGAGTAACAACCGAGTTCCCACTTACTGCTCGGTAAGCCTAGGCGTATGGAGTAAGAAAACTTGTCTAACGTTTCACCCTGCCTGGGAATCGAGCTCAGGTCCTCTTGCTCGCGAGGCGAGCGCTCTGACAAATACTCTACAGAACTCCATGATCACAACTTTGCAATACAGGCAATGTTTGAAATCTGTTGTAATTGTTTCTGCAGTTACAATTTTTGAGGAAAACTAACTTTAATGCCAATTTTTTGGATGAACTGTGGGGATGTATTCGATGGGTGATGTGTTCCTGTGGATGGTAGCTTTGGCAATGTCTGTAGCGTTTTGACGCTTGAGCGATTGTGGGGATTTTTTTTCATTGGGAAAGAAATGGTGTCACAGCGATTTGGAGGCACAACAGTAATAATAATAATAATCCTTGCATTTGATATAGCGCTTTTCACGTCGGGAGGACGTCCCAAAGCGCTTCGTAGAACACACTGTAAAGTGAATTGACTGTATATTTGTGGGCGAACGCGGCGGCCAATTGCGCACAGCAATGTCGCACAAACAGTCGTTAGATTGAAAATGACCAATTTAATTATAGTTTTTGGTTTTGGAGGGATTATTATTAGGCTCTGTGTGGAGTAAGGAAACTTGCCCGAGGTTTCGCAGTGCTCTAATCACTGAGCTACAGGACTCCATTTGCATTAATCCTTGCATTTGATATAGCGCCTTATCACGTCTTCGAGACGTCTCAAAGCGCTTCACAGAATATACTGTAAAGATGGATTGACAGTGTTTTTGTGGGCGAAACAAGATAGCAAAGGGAACAGAACTCACACGGCACAAACGAGGAGAAATTTATACTAATTTATACTAGGTTACAGTTCATAAACAACAATTTGCATTTGGAGTGTTCACATGGGATAAGGTCTCGGAACACCTTTCACGTTATGAGGACATCTCAAAGTACTTCACAGGAGCTGCTGTAAAGCCTTGTGACTTCTGTATTTTTGCAGGCAAACGGGTCAGGCAGGTTGCAACCAGTGATGTCCTAGAAACAGCCGTGAAGTGAATGATTTTATTCAGGGCATTGTTTATTAGTCTGTTAACTGAACTGACTGGGATCATCTTAACACTGCCAGAGACAAAGATGTGTACCTGAAGTTTTGTAAGGCTTAGTGCTCCATTGGTCACTAAATCTTCCTTGTTACAAAGAGTTTTGAAGCGCGTAAACAGGCCCCTCGACCCGGCCCAACTGTTGCTTGCCTGTGTTTATACTCCACACGGTCTCCTTTCCTATACCTCTCTATTCCCTTCTCTCTCATGTACGCATCCAAGATTGTTTTAAATGCATTGATGCTTTTTGCTTCAACCACAGCTTCCAGCAGTTGAAGAAGTTTCTCCTAAACTCCCTATTGAATCTGCTGTTGGCTATCTTATATTTATTACGTCTTAGTTTTGGACTTACCAACAAGTGGGGGGGAAAAAAAACTACATCCAAATCTTTGCATGGAGTCCTTTCCTGTAGTTAGAGCACTCGCCTCGCAAGCGATTTGAAGGCATAGAATTTCTTCAAACCAAATATAATGATAATAAATTGGACACTCAATCCACAACTGTTTGTGGGACGCTGCTGTGCGCAATTGGCTGCCAGGTTTCACCTGCAAAATATACAGTCAATTCACTTTACAGTATGTTCTGTGAAGCGCTTTGAGACGTCTTGAAGACGTGATAAGGTGCTGTATCAAATGCAAGGATTATTATCATTACTGTAATCTTAACTACCTCCATCAGGTCCTCCCTCAATGGTCTCAAAATTCTAGACAGAGAGAAAAGCTCTAACCTGTCCCAATTTTTCTTGATGGCTGTATCCACTGCTGTCCACTCTTGAGAGTTCCTCTCCCACTGGAACATTCCATTCCAAACATGGGAATTTCTATGTGTAAGTGGAATGCACAGAACTCCTCCTGGTTGGGATACTCTTAAGCATGGTTATGGATCTCTGTATGTGTCAGACATCTGTCTGGCCAAGAAAACGTAGATGTACCTGGCGTGAAGCTGTCTCTACCTCTATGGTGCTTAGCGACAGGTCAGTGTAGGCTGGAGCCCTCCCTCCCTACAGCTTCTTAATAATAATAATAATCCTTGTACTTGGTATAGCACCTTATCAAGCCATTGAGACGTCTCAAAGCGCTTCACAGAATATACTGTAAAGTGTATCGACTGTGTTTTATGGGCGAAACGCGACAGCAAATATGCGCACAGAAGTGACCCACAAACAGTCCTGGATTGAGTGGCCCAATTATTAAATAATGAATAAATCGTCATTTTACTGTTTACCTCTTAGTTTTTAATCATCCCTGTTTACCACAAACTCACCGCACTGCTCGATCTTGGGTTTCACAAATGGTCTGGAGGAAACCCCTCCAGTGCATTCTCAGGAGTTAGAGCCACAAAGGAGACTGTTTGGCCATAGGCCTTATATGCCTCAAGCCTAACGAAACCTTGCTATCCTTGAAGAGAGCCACAGTACTATACTTGGAGACAATATTGGAGACCTGTAGCTCAGTGATTAGAGCGCTTGCCTCGCAAGCAAGAGACCTGGGTTCCATCCCCGGCAGAGTGAAACGCTGGGCAAGTTTCCTTGCTCCACATACCTCTGTTTGCTAACAGTAAGTAGGAATCCGGTTGTTAGTCGATTGGCGGATCGCTTTTCCAAGGGTAGTAATTCCTTCAAAAAAAATGTGATCACTCAATCCGCGACTATTTGTGGGACACTGCTGTACGCAATCGGCTGTCGCGTTTCGCCCACAAAATGTACTCAATTCACTTTACAGTATATTCTGTGAAGCGCTTTGAGACGTCTCGAAGACGTAATAAGTCACTATATCAAATGCAAGGATTATTATTATTGAGAACACGAGCACAGACTTCATGAGGAAAAAATGTTTGCATGTGAGGGAGGACACAGGAATAATAAGATGGCATAGTCGAAAAACATTTAATAATATATAGCACCTTATCACTTCATCAAGAACTTTCAAAGTGCTTCACAGGGTACACTGTAAAATTGGGTATATATTTTGTGGGCGAACACGTGGAGCGACTGACTTTAATTTTATTCGGGGAATTGTTGACCAGGACACAGGGAGAAAGATCCAGACATCTCATCTGAAAGAATGGCAACTCTGACATTGGGACGTCCTCCCCATGTGTAAGGCGCTACACAAATGTAACTTGTTGTTTTGCGTTCCCGTTTAAGGAACACAATTCGGTCTAATTCGGCCTAGTGGGTGCCGGGTGGGGCCTAACATTGCTCACCAAAATTAAATCTTTTGGTCTCTTTTAAGTACCCCATTTGAAAGTCAGGGTGTTATGTAGCCTGGGTGCAGTTCTTCACTTGCGAAAAGTGCCGATTCCGTCAGTTACACCTCTTGCAAACCTCCACAGCTAATCTTTTGAGGTCAGCATTTTTTTTTTTGCTTAATTTATGCATAACATGTTCAACTCCCCCTTCCCCCATCGTTTCTCACAACCCACCACAAACGACTTACAGCAGCAGAACTCATCTCCACCTTGCACCGCAGGAACTTTATTTGCAGTAGAGCGAGTTGCTTCAGAACTGAACCACGGTATTCCTGCGTATGGCTGTTCAGCTGTCAGAACAATTGGTGTGCAACGCAGTCACCTGTGCATCAAAAATCAATATTTACTGTGTTATCAGGCAACTCAGACGAATCTCATAGAGGTGTATACATTTTTTAAACAGGATCGAAAGAGTTAACACAGAACTATATTATAGGATGTACCAAAACAAGAGACGTAAGTTTAGAGCGGCAAAGGACAATTTCAGGACAGACACTAGGAAGTTTTTCTCTACTCAGAAGGTAAATATCAGGGCCTTGGGATGTCCTCCCGACGTGAAAGGTGCTATACAAATGTCATTTTGTTGTTGTTACAGACTGGAGTGGGTTGCCAGGAAGGGTGGGTTTGGGCCAGGATATTGGATTTATTTAACCTGGGAGGATGATAGGTTTGTGTTCTGCAGGGATGAGATCAGAAAAGGAAAAAGAAGTGCTTTTTTCATCCAAACCGATCTTGTGATCTTACGATTGTGACATGCTAAAAATTGGGCCTGGAGAAGTAGGAAATTGGCGTCTTCTAATACTTTTTTTGTATTAAACAGTTGTGTCCAGTTTCATTCACCTTCTTTTGAATCTTTCAAAATAGTTACCAGCGAATAGGTGTCTTGGGTCGTCCTCCTGATGTGAAACTTGTTGCTGATTTGTATTTGTAATCCAATTTATATATATATTTTTTAATTATTTCTTCTCTCTCCTGAAGGTCCAAATTGGTGCCAGGTCCCAGGCATTGCTAAAGATTTAATTCTTCTTCCCACTTTGTTTTTCCCACTCTGACCTCTCCGTCCAAGACCTCCTACGCTGGTCGAACGAAGCACAGTGCAAGCTTGAAGAACAGCCCTTCATCTACCTCCTAGGCACCTTACAGTCCTCTGGCCTCAACATTGATTTTAACCACTTGAAGCCTTAAAGAAAGCTTCCATCTTTTGTCAGCCTTGATTCCCTCCCCCACCCCCCTCTTCTATAATCATTCACACATTCTCTGGGTCTTAGACACATCTTTTCTTTTTAGAATCTCCCACTATTGCCTTCTTTAGTCTTGCACCATCAACACCTTTGATCTCGTCGTCATCTGTCCACCACCTAAACTTTTCCCTTGTCTTTCTTTCCCTGCCCCCTTCTCTGCTTGTACTTATAATCTCCTCCCTTCCAACATCCCCCAGTTCTGACGAAAGGTCATCAGCGTGACACGTTAACTCATTTTTCTCTCTCCATAGATGTTGTCTGACCTGCTGCATGTTCCTAGCGATTTCTGTTTTTATTTCAGGTTTCTAGCATTGCCTTTCACTAAAGGTTGTCTCCCTGGGTGGGAAGCGGAATAACTCATGTTTCCTATAACCTCTAATCAGATGGATTTCACCTGCAAAATATACAATCGATTTTACAATCTGTTCTGAGACATCTGCTTTGAGACGTCTCAACGACGTGATGATAACAATAATAATTATTACCGTGAGGCGCTTTGCGACGTCTCAAAGACATGATGAGGCGCTGCATCAAATGCGAGGATAATTATTAATCCGACGTTAAGATCTAAGAACTTTTCTGTGTGTTTTTTTCCCCCCAAAAAAAGGAATTGCTCAAGAGATAACAACAGCCGCTGAATACACAGAGGGGACATGACGACATCCCAGCCGTCTACCCTGGGGGAACTACAGCTGTACCGAGTGCTTCAGAGGGCGAATCTTCTCATTTATTACGATGCCTTCATCCAGCAGGGAGGGGATGATGTTCAGCAGCTCTGTGATGCTGCGGAGGAAGAGTTTCTGGAGATTATGGCCCTTGTGGGGATGTCCAGTAAACCACTGCATGTACGACGCCTTCAGAAAGCTTTGCAGGAATGGATCACCTCTCCGTCTGCCTTCAACCAGCCTCTCACCAAACTCCCGGCCAGCAGTATTCCCATCGCAAAAGTCTCCGAGGCGTCAGCGTCAGCCAGTCCCAGCTCCGCCCTGGAGCACCAGGGGAGCGTGTTGGAGCTCGCCAATAACAATCATTCCTTGCCCAAAATGACAGAGAACTCCTCGCAGACGGACCCGTTGGCGGGAACGCACCACCTGCCCAGCATATCAAACATCGTCACCCTGTCCAAGGAAGAGCCCCACTCCCCCCCCAAGGATGGACCCTCCTTGCCCCTGACTCAAGACGTCATCCAGATCATTACGAACTGTGCGGAACGCCTCATCCAAGCGGTGCCCAGAATGGACAGCAAGGAACTCGAGTGCGTTTTTATCAGCAACAAGAAACTGGCCAAAACGCTGGGCCACATCTTCGAGATGAGCGACCAGGAACCGCAGAAGGAAGAGGAGATCCGGAAGTACAGCGCCATCTACGGGAGGTTCGACTCGAAAAGGAAAGACGGGAAGAATCTTACGTTGCACGAGGTACGCTTTGACGGCGTTTCGGTCAATTGTTTGGTGTGAATTATACCGATGCCCAGCGATGCTCCGCCGTGAAGCCACCCCCACCCCCCCTCCACCGGAGTGACTGTTAGGCGACAGAATTGACCTTTGTAGCTTCGCTTCAGCCCCGTAATTAGAGATTGTTATCGCAGTCGTAACATGGTACAACACGATTTGCTCAAAAGAGTCAGCATTTTTTTTCCGTAAACCTGTAATTAGCAGAACCACATCTAGGTCCCTTTTCGTGTTGAATAACATCTCGAGAAGCACTTAACGAATACAGTAGAGGGCGAACGAGCAGGGAACTAAGATGTATCGGGGTCAGATGCAGCCACTGTCCAGCACTTCGGGACACTATCCCAAGTAAAGGGCGCTATATAAATGCAAGGTGTTTTGGGATATAAAGATGATGGCCAAAGGAATGGTTCAAGAGATAATAATACCATACATTTGTATAGCACGTTTACATAAGTTAACCATCGCTCAGGACTTTACAACATATAAATGATTAGAAGTAATAATAATTCTTCTATTTGATACAGCGCCTTTCACGTCTCAAAGCACTTTACAGGATACACTGCAAAGTTTACTGACTGTGTGTTTTGTAGGCAATTTCTTCATAGCAGTGTCACACAAATGGCCAATTTGGTGGAGTTGTTGGCCAGGACATTGGAAGAAATGCCTTTGACTTTTCAAATAGTGCCATGGGATCTTTTAATAACTACCTGAACCGGCAGTTTTGGCCTCGGTGTAATGTCTCATCCAAAAGACTGGACCTTGGTGATGAAACTCATCCCCAGCCCGACACTGGAATGTCAGCCTAGACTTTGAGGTCAAAGCCCCAGTGTGAGCTTTAAACAACAGTGAGATGATTCATTTAAATTGGGGATAAATTGGTGAAATTTGATTTTAGGAGGTTTTCAGTGCAAAGGGTGAGTGGCCTTGATTTTGGGTGATAAAGTAGTCTATGAGCTCTTCACATTTTAATACTAATAATCGTAATCCGTGCATTTGATACAGTTCCTTATCATGTCGTTGAGACGCCTCAAAGCGCTTCACAGAATATATTTAAAGTGGATTGATTGTGACTTTTGTGGTTGTGGTTGAAAATCAATTTAAAATTTAAAATGAAAACCTTTTGAATTGGAGTTTGAAGGAGACATTTGATGTTTGGGATTTTCCTTGTCCACGAGAATAATCGTGGAACAATAGGATTTGGTTGCACAGAGGTAGACACAAAATACTGCTTAATGTAAAGAAGAGCTGGTACTTTAGGTCTGCACATGTCTTCTCTTTCCCCTGCGCCTTGTTAGTTAGCCCTTCTCTCTCAGAACCTTCTCTCAATATGTTAGAGGAATAACTGGATTTAATGAAGACACGACTCTCTGTTCCTGTGCAGCACTTTTCTTGAGTGATATTCAATACCCCAATTTGCTTCCTGATATAATATAGTTCAATACAAGTATGCAGTACAGCATTTCTTCACGGATTTCTTAATTAAAGTTTGCACCCCTATGCACTTTATTGATAACATTATGCTGTATAACAGTACTGTATAAAGTTTTCAGTTTTCCGAGTAAGGTTGTGGAATTGCTATTTATTATTATTTTTATTACTTATTATTTCGCCCACAAAATACACAATCAATCCACTTTATGGTATATTCTGTGAAGAGCTGTGAGATGTCTCAACGATGTGATAAGACACTATATCATACACAAGGATTATTATTATTATTATTACTTTAGTGAGCGAGTAGTAAGTGTATGGAAGAGGCTCCCTCAGGAGACGGTGGAAGCAGAAAGTGTTGATTCTTTCAAGAACAAATTAGAAAGATTTCTGTTAGGAAATAATATCTCGGGATACTATTTTACCTGGCAGTAAGTAGGAACCCAGTTGTCAGGCGATTGTCAGATCACTTTTCCGGGGGTGTTAATCCTTTCGAAATAAAATAATAATAACTTGGTCACTCAACCCATGACTGTTTGTGGGACACTGCTGTGCGATAGCAGATTCTTATGGTCATTCTTTTTATTTCTCCGTTAGGTGATGGTAAACGAAGCAGCCACTCAACTCTGCATGATCGACAGCACTCTGCTAGCCAGGCGGGATGAGCTGTTCCCACTCGCTCGTCAAGTCGTCCGCGAATCTGGGTACAAGTATAGCCACAGGTATTCCAGGTAGGAGAGGTGGTTTAACCCTGTCTGGCCCAGACATAAACCACAGTGCCTGCTATAACCCGGGGCTAACTCACTGAATTGAGTTCCTGTCAGTCCAACCTGGAAACAGGCTTGGAGGTTCCAATTCTTTGAGTGGATGTAAATAAATGTTTGTAATGTCTCAACTGGATCATGCAATCAATTCAGGGAATTACTGAATCACAGCAAGGTCTTTTTTTTTGTTTATAGTAATTATATATATGTGTAACCAGAATGCAAGCCAAACCAGTAAGAGCGTATGAGAACTTATTCAACATTAACATTCCAAAAGTACGGTGCGGGTCTGAGCCATACAGAACACAAGGCGCCACGTTCCAACTCTTGATCTGTGCTGATTAAATTCCATCAGTGTGTTGTTGGGGCGAAGGGTGGGGGAACGCTGCAATTGGCTTCCTTGCCCCCTGGATTAGATGGCAGAAAGATCAGTCAGGAGCAAAGCCGGTCTGATAAAATATTCTTAGACCCACATTCTCCTCGTACATCCTAACCGCGCTGAGCTTTACTGAAAGCGAATGTGTGTCTCTGGATCCAACTCCCACTCACCCAACACATTGATTGCTTCACTTCCTTCACTTCGCGTCCTGTTACAGACACAGCAGAGAGCAGCGCCCCTCACTGGCCATTACATCCCATTAGACCAAACTGGAGAGACGTTGGTGAGATTTAGCCGGCTGATCAGAAGACCTACGTTTGGAGGAGATTGTGTGGGTGGTTCTTAGGTTAAACTATAGCTAACATAAGGCTGACTTGGCCAATCTTCAGAAAATTCCATTCAATCTGTCAGACAATGGCCTTAAGGCACAGAATATGAGCCTAGGATTGGACTTGAACACTTTGCTTCCATCGCGATTGACTAGCTGCCCAATAATAACCTTCCCGGTTCACTTGGGGGCGGGGGTTGAATGGACATTTTGCCACTGATTATATATCGAACAGCAGCTTGAGTTAGAGGATTAGAGTAGAGTTGAAGCAGAACTAAAGAGTGCTCGAGTAGGAGTAGTAGTAAAGTGGAGTTGATTTGAATTTGTAATTATTTCTCCACAAATTTCAGGAATGTGCTTATAAAGCTGTTTTACAAGGAACAACTGGTTGACAAAGGCCGCTCAGCACCATACACAGGTTGGCATTGCTCAGCCACGGCCTGAGTCCCGTCATCACAAGGTTTGGCAAAACAACAAACTTTAGTTCGCTCTAATCAATAAGAAGGAATGAGTGTCTCTCGGGAATAAGTTTTAAACTTGGCGGTTTCAGTACGGCATCGTGACCCGGTGTTTCTCCCTACTTTTTTTTTAGATCCAAATTTGTAGAGATACCAACACCCAAGAGGGCAAGACTAGACACCAATGGGCAATATCTACGCGACGAGGTTCACACTCGAACTGTGCAAGCGGAATTGATGAAACTAAAGAGACAGGTGAGATATTCATTAATTAATGGCAATTGCTACCCAAGTTTGCTCACACCTCCCCTTACCTCTCCATCTTCCACCCTTCCCTTCACTCCTGTCTCGTCACAGAGGAGGTGAAAATCAACCAGGGTTGTTACTCCTAAATCTCTGGGTGTGTTCCTGTATATTTCTTGTTGATTTCTCCTTCCCAAGTCTTACGATACTTCACCAACTCCCCGGCTCAGAAATCTGCTGGTATTGGTAAGAGTGTGACAATAATACATTGGTCACTCAATCCAGGGCTGTTTGTGGGACACTGCTGTGTGCAACTGTGAGACGTCTCAAAGCGCTTCACAGAATATACCATAAAGTGAATTGACTGTATTTTGTGGGCGAAATGCACACAGCAGCCAATTGCTCACAGCAGTGTCCCACAAACAGTGGTGGATTGAAGTGACCAATTCGTTATTATTTTTTTTTGAAGGAATTATTACCTCCGGAAAAGCGATCTGCCAATCGACTAACAACCGGATTCCTGCTTACTGCTGGGTAAACAGAGGCGCGTGGGGAGTAAGGAAACTTGCCTAATGTTTCGCCCTGCCGTAAATTGAACCCAGGTCCTCTCAGTTGTGAGGCGAGTGCTCTAACCACTCAGCTACAAGATTCCACGTTAAAAGTATGGCCCCAACTGATGTGACTTATGCGAGGTTTACTCTACTGGGTTTATTATCAGCAGTGTCTTGCCTCACCTACACAATCTCCTATTGCACATTTGCTCGTGTTGTACCCATGAACAATGGGACTAAACCTCAGGATGTCTGTGTTTTGTGTCGTACAGGAGCGACTGCTGGAGATTCAGGCCATACTCTCTGGGATTTACCAGAAACAGGAGATGCTCAAAACAAGGATCGGACACGAGGAGCTTAACCACAATGTGGCTGAGGTTCATGAACTTCAGGTCAGGTTCTGCCCCAGTCTGTGGCTTCCAATGTTTTCTCACATGCCATCGTGGGGTCAGCAGCTAACAGGTCTGATGTTACTTGCCTTCTGTATCTTCTGACAGTTGGTAAAAGATGTTGGTAAAAAGAGGCAATGGCTTTTATCTTTCTATGTTTTAAATGACGTCTCGCAATGTGTCGGAAAGAATAAATCGATTGGATAGAGGAGGAGAGAATGAAGGAGCCTTATTTTGGCGGCTTGTCCTCAGATCTGGAACAGCGACTTCACGACCGCTTTGGGGCTCCATCGCTGAGAATTCCAACAACACAGGAACAGGAGGAGGTCCTTCAGCCCATCACAGCTGTTCTGCCATTTTATCAGATCACTCCAGAACTATCTCCCTTTTAAGACATCCCAATCCACTCAGCAACTGTGGCCATTTGGAGTAGCGAGCGGTTCCCTTCTAACGACCACACCGTAATTAAAGGAGAGAGGGCATTTGTAGAATTTTTGAAAGTTAAACTGCACAAAGTGTAGCAATGCAATGTGACTCCTAAAGATTTAAAATATGCGTCTATGTGTGTGCGCGTCTATATGTGTGTGCGCACGCCTGTGTTTGTGCGCGCCTGTGTGTGTGTGTGTGCGCCTGTGTGTGCGTGCGCCTGTGTGTGTTTGCGTCTGTGCGTGTATGCGTGTGCGCGGGTGGAAGAGTGTGTGTGGGTGGGTGTGCATAGTCAGAGGCCGTGCATTTGCTGTTTGTAGCCAGAAGACATGCACAAAGGCAGTGAAGGCATCTGCTTGACCTTGTGAATTAGCCTCGTTGTCTTATCTGGATCGTCCATTCCAGTTAATGTTTCACTCTTTCTCTTTCTCGCTCTCTCTCTCTCGCCTATTTCATTGTGCCTTTCAGCTGGAATTGGAGAAGGTCACCACGGAGCAGCTAACCCTCCTCCAGGAGCAGAACGACCTTATCAAGAAGCAGAAACGTTCCGATAAGTATTTCTCAGCGAAGGCTCGGAGCCTGTCTCTGCTAGGGATGCACCACATGGAGGAGGAAGACGGTGGCATGTCAGAAGGAAGCGGCGACGGTAACTTAAACACAATTTACTAGCAGCGGCAACGAGGCAATTGGCCTCCTAGTCTGTTGTTCCTTCTCCCTGCTCGTCCCTTGCCCCCTCCGCTCTACTCACTTTTTACTTGTTGCTTCAGTGGTTAGAGCGCTCACCTCGCAAGTGAGAGACCTGGGTTTGATTCCCGGGCGGGTCAGGCAAGTTTTCTTACTCCACACACACGCCTTTTGTTTACTTAGCAGTAAGTAGGAGCTCGGTTGTTGGTCGATTGGCGGATCACTTTTCTGGGAGTAATAATTCCTTCAATTTTTTTTTAAAGATTGGTCACTTCAATCCACGGCTGTTTGTGGGACACTGCTGTGCGCAATTGGCTGCCGCGTTTCGCCCACAAAATACGCAGTCAATTCAATTTACAGTCTATTCTGTGAAGCGCTTTGAGACGTCTCGAAGACGTGATGAGGCGATGTATCAAATGCAAGGATTATTATTATCATCATCGGTAGCCGTGCATTCAGCCTCCAACCCCCGACCCCACTCCCATCCCCGAGACTCGAACTCTCCTCCTCAACATTATGAAACGCTATAAAACTAGAAGTTTCTTTCTGAACCAGGAGCAGCCCATTTCTTTAGCTTAAACCAGGACCTTACCTTGGGGAAGTTATTTATTAATAAGTGATTAATGGAAGTGGGAAAATTTAAGTCAACAATTATTGATTTAGCTGGATCCAGCCATGGTCAGCAGTTGGTCGATGGCCTGAAGATGTATATATTATTATATATATATGATGAAGTTTGGGTTTTAATTCTGATTTTAATTTTATTTGAGTTTTATTTTTCTTAGGTTTGGGTTTTTATTGGAATTAAAAAAATATATTTCGCCCATAGTATATCTGGTCAATTCACTTTACAGTATATTCTGTGAGGCGCTTTGAGACATCTCAAAGGTGTGATAAGGCGCCGTATCAAATGTGAGGATTATTATTATATTATAGTTTCTAAAGTTGTCCCTTATTTTTAATACAGATGTGTCTGAGGACATGACTTCGAACTCCAGTCTGGCACCATCTCCATGTCCATCAGACATTCCCGGCACATTTAGGCCCAGCCAGACCAAGACAAAGCAGATGATTCAACTCGCCCTGATTGACGAGGGCTTGCGGGTGGCTCAACAACACGCCTCCCCTAGTACTGAGGAAGGCGATCGAATTAGCCCGAGAATCAAACAGGAAACCTTCTCTGGTAAATGGTCTTTTATACATTAAATCTGTGCTGTTTCTTTGCTGTGATGCTTTGGAATATGATCCTAATTTGTCTTCGAGAATATAAACAACCCCTTCCGTCTCACACCCTTTCTCTTGCCTCCTTCAAGTTCTGTCTAAAGACCTTCCTCTTCGACAGTGCCTTTGGCCACCCTCTCACCACCACCCACCCTCTGCCCTCCATCCCTCCTGACCCCAACTCGGGTCCAAAACTCCTGATTGTCCAGTGCCCTGGGAAAGCTTTCCGAGGTGAAAAGCGCTTTACAAATGTAATTTTGCTGTTTGTTGTTGTTCAAGGGCCCTATACAAGTATAATTTGCTGTTATTGTTATGATGGTGAAGCCCTTTGAGACGTCTCAATGACTTGTTAAGGCGCTGTATCGAATGCAAGAATTATTATGATCAGTATTTACTCTGTTAACCTGGAGAGAAAGGAAGGATTTGAACACGGATCCAATATTGTTCTGCTTAATAGTCCACTGCTTCTATAGACTGAATGGTCTCTCTTCTCCTGTCCTGACTATGATCCTCTGAACTGTTTGTCCTAAGTCAACAGTCCTCCAGATTAATAGGTCATTTACCTCACTGAGGTCTACAAAAACATATTGAGAATTGCTTCAACGTGGTCAAGTGTTTAGTTACTCTGATTTCTCCCCAGCTTTACTCTTTAGCACAGTGTACTTTACAGAGTAATTATACACGTTTACATTCAATCTGGTTCAGTCAATGACTCAATATCCAGGTCAAAGGTTGTGGGTTGAAGCCCACATTCAAACCTTGAGGTCAGTGTGTGCTTGTGGCCTTGGCTGAGCAATGACAACAACTTGTGTTTATTTAGGGCACCTCCCGCAGGATAGAGTCTCAGTGCAGTTCTGCAGGAAGCACTGCAATGTAATAATAATAATAAATTGGTCACTTCAATCCACGACTGTCTATGGGACGCCGCTGTGCGCAACTGGCTGCTGCGATTCACCCACAAAAATACCCAATCAATTCACTTCAATTCTCGAGGCTGTGAAGCGCTTCGAGACGTCTCGAAGACGTGATAAGGCGCTGTATCAAATGCAAGGATTATTATTATATTATTATCATTTACATGAGACTTCAAACCAATCTTCTTCAGGTAGATGTTAAAAGATCCCATTTATACCACTGGAAAAAGAACAAAGAATTTCTCCTGGTGCCCTGACCAACAATCCTCTTAAATTTAATCGGGTACTCACCTCATGGCTGTGGGACCGTGCTGTGTGTAAAACAAGACTGATATATTGTACGAGTCTCACAAACTGTCAACGGGATTGATAATGCGCTGTAGAATGGGAAGTTCTGTGTTACATTCAGTAATTTTGTTTTTCCCTTCTTATTCCAGAAGACGAAGAGTGTTACAAAGACGAAGCCGACATTACATCAATCCGCAATTCATGAATGTAGTAGACGTAGCGACTGGACATTTTTTTTTAAAAAAATGTAATGAATTAGATTTTTTTTAATTTGGTAAGGTACAAAGTATTTATTCTTTTTTCTACTAAAGAAATCCTTTTTTTTTAACTTGTCCGTGTAACTTTGAAGAATTTTTTCGAGCATCTGGAAGTCATTTCTGTATATACTGACGACAACAACTTGCATTTGTATAGCGCCTCTCGTTTGAGGTAGTGTCCCACTGCAATTCTGCAGGGAACACTGCATTGTCAAAGGCCATTTATATATACTGACATTTGCTAAACGAGCAGTTGAGCAGATACTGTAGGTTTTTTTTACAGTTTTGAGAATCCTAAAAAGCTTTTTGTTTTGCCATCTTGTTTTCAATTCCTCTCACTGTTAAGTGTAAGTCTTATTATGATTGAACTGTTTCAGAGAGCAATAATCATAATAAATATTTCTGCTTAGATCTTCATCATTTAAAAGAGTGTTTTGTAATTTAATTGTACTTCAGGTGAGAAAGTTAAGCCAAGGTCCTGGCTGCTTATTCAAGTTAACATTAAAAATTTTGATTTAAAAAGACGAGGGAAACTTTCTCAGTGTTGTGGTCAATACATTGATCATTCACTTCATAGTTGTTTAAGGGACCTTGGTATTTTTTTTTGCTCAGCCAGGTGTCTCCGAAGCAGACAGAGTTCCACATATGAATGCCACCGACACATGGGAAATTTAATGATAATAAAAATCCTTGCATTTGATACAGCGCCTTATCACGTCTTCGAGACATCTCAAAGCTCTTCACAGAATATACGGTGAAGCGAATTTACTGTATGTTTTGTGGGGGAAAATAAAACAAGCGGGAATACCAGAGACCCATTGGAAAATGGAGATGTTTGTTTTAATCCATGTCACGTGCTTCAACATGCTTTGACTTTCTTTAAGTTTGTGAATTTCTGCGCATCTGGAATGAGACTCACAAAACTTTGCAAGACAAGCTTCGTGAAACGTGTGGGCTATATGTGTGGCAATTCTTTGGCCAGCTGGCCGGGAGTCTGATATATGGAGAGACCCTTCTCCATGTCTAAGAGTATCCAAACCAAGCACAGTAGTACATATGAATGCCACTTAAGCATGAAAATTTCCCTGGATATGGAATGCGCACTCTCTTCCTGACGGGACTCATTCTGATTACCTAATGCCGATGAGTAATAGACGCAGGTTGGTAAGTCAAGCAAGGTGGATTTGTGGTCATTTCCCAGGAGTACGCCTTGGGGATACTACTGTAGTTTAACTTAACTCCACCCTCCATAAGCTCCAACTCATCCAAAACTCCGTCGCCTCTATCTTCAAGCTAATCTTCATCTCCCCAAGCCCTATCCACCCCACCGTTGACAGGCAGGCTCTCGGCCTTTCTCGCCACCTTCGCTGAAGCTCCATCCCCAGAGTTCCTCCAACTCACTTAATTTTGGACCCGAGGAGAGGTTGGGCTGGGCAGGGGAAGTTTGGCGAAGGAGTGGGGTAGTGGTGGAGAAGAGGAGCCTGGAATTGTCCTTAAACTGCAGAATTATATTGGAATAGGATGATTTGGCTGTGTCAAGGACGGAGAGGTAGATCTTATGGTAGTCCCCACTAGATCTAGCTACTGCGGTGGACAAGTAGGCTGTGTTTAAGGCATATGCCTTTGGCAGCACCTCTCTGGGAGATTTTAGGGTATTGTACCAGCGGGACATGCAGTGGGGAGGAGGCAGTGTGGGATGTGATGAGGGTGTTTAGAATATTGGTTGGGAGGTTTGGAAGATGGTGACAGGAGGTAAGGTCAAGGCCTGTGTGTGTGCGGCAAAGGGCGTGGGTTCAGAGGACTCGGGGGAGGTAGAGAGGGAATGGGCATTAATTTTCTTCCAAGAGCAGGAGATAATAATATTCCTTTCATTTGATACAGCGCCTTATCAAGTCTTTGAGACGTCTCAAAGCGCTTCACAGAATATACCGCAAAGTGAATTTCTGTATATTTTTGTGGGTGAAACGTGGCAGCAAATTGTGCACAGCAGCGTCCCACAAACAGTCGTGGATTGAAGTGACCAATTTATTATTTTTTTCTAAAAGAATTATTACCCCCGGAAAACCCATCCATCCGCAAATCGGAGTGTGTTGGTGTGTGCCTCTCTCTCTTCTCCAGCCCCCAATCTCAACCCAACCAACAAGCTCCTTCCCTTCTGCAGTCCTGTAGCGTTAGAGCGCTCGCTTTGCAAGTGAGAGACCTGAGTTCAGTTCCAGGCAGAGGGCGAAACCTCGGGCAAGTTTCCTTACTCCACACAGAGCCTAATAATAATCCCTCCAAAACCAAAAACAATAATAAATTGGTCATTTTCAATCTATGACTGTTTGTGGGACATTGCTGTGCGCAATTGGCTGCCGCGTTCGCCCACAAATATACAGTCAATTCACTTTACAGTGTGTTCTGTGAAGCGCTTTGAGACGTCGAGAAGACGTGAAAAGTGCTATATCAAATGCAAGGATTATTATTAGTATTCTACACTGCGCACAAAAGGGAGTAAAACAAAACTGAAAGCAACACAGAGGCTGCACAAATGCATGTGGTGTGCAGGTCTCCTACAAGCATCAGTGAGATTGCCAGGAAGCTAAGTAAAGGAAGGGATTGGGGGGGTGGGGTGGGGTGAAGAGAAAAAANCAAAACCCCTGGTGTTTCTGGTCCACAACAAATGTGCAAGGCACCAAGCAATTTTTTGTAGGCAGAACCAGGACCGACCTCAACCGGGTTCCCACTTACTGCTGCGTAAACAGGGGCGTGTGCGTGCAGTAAGGAAACTTGCCCAACATTTCTCCCTGCCCGGGAATCGAACCCAGGTCCTCTCGCTTGAGAGGCGAGCGAGCGTTCTAACCACTGAAGCAACAGGACTCCACATGGCAGGAGAAGTTTAGGGAGACGAGCGAGTGAAATGCAGTGCACCCCAACACGCGCCACCGGTGTGTCAGACAAGATCGTGATTAACACTCGAGAGACGAGGAGAGAACTAGACTTAAAGGGTCCTGGAGTGGGATTTGACCCTACAACCTTCTGACCAGGGAAAGTCAGAGAGGGGACTAGCAATGAGTCAGACTGACACATGGGACATATTACAATGAATAGGTTTGTTTGTACTCGACTTTGCTGCTTAATCCTCCACCTCTAGGGGTACTGAGCAAGGATCAGGTCAGTCCAGGTTCTGTGGGTTTGTTTTTTTCCCCCTTTACCCCACCAAACCCCTCCAACCCCAATCCCTTCCTTGACTCAGCTTCCTGGCAATCTCACTGATGCTTGGAAGAGACCTGCACATCACATGCATTTGTACAGCCTCTGTGTTGGTTTCACTTTCTTTTTACTCCCTTTTTGTGCGCAGTGTGGAAGGGAAAGGGGTGGGTTGGGTTGGGGTTGGGGTTGGGTTGAGATTGGGGGCTGGAGAACAGAGAGAGAGAGAGAGACACACACACACACACCAACACACAGATTGTCCACTAGAGTCGATGCTGCTGCGTTCAGCATTAAAACTGGTGAGTTTCTTGGGCTGAGAAGCAGAGAAAATGAGAAACATATGGGACAGGGAGTGGAATAGAACCATTTTGGACAAGGGCAGACGTGTGGGGAGCTATTGCATTAGCTCTGCGCGAATTGCCACAGCCCTGTGAGGCTGATCCTAAAGCATTTTCGTTTGCATTTTTAGTTAAACCCTTTTTTATGTGTGTGTTTTTCTTGCATTTGTGAGTTTGCAATAACGTGGGGTCGCCCTGTGCTCAATTCCCACCCCTGTGTGTTTTTCACAGCTGCTTTTTTTTAAATGTAAATATATATATATGTGTGTGTGTGTGTGGTGTATATATATTGCTTTCTTACCAGCAACACTTATTTTTTCAACTGACTTTTTTTCTGGTCATAATATGGTGCTTTTTTTCCTTGTCTTTCTCTCTCTCTCTCTCTCTCCCTCCCCCCATCCCCATCCCCTTCCCCGCCTCCCCGGACGAAGTCTTCAAGGATTTTGTGTTAGGTTTAGAGGTTCATTTTAATGTAAAAGAAATACTGTAACGGCAACAGCAACATTTATTTCGCGCATTTATTTCGCGCCCCTCCTGGCGCAGGGTCGAGCGCTTGCCGGTGGCGGAGCACGGCATCGAGTTGGAGTAGGGGGAGGTGACCGTAGAAGGCATGGTCGAAGAGAAAGATCTTCAGGCGCGACTTGAAGACGGGGAAGGAAGGGGCAAGGCGGAGAGATAGAGGAAGAGTGTTTCAGAGTTTCTGGGCGTAGTATCAAATGCAAGGATTCTTATAATTATTATTATTATTACTATGCTTAATTTGTGGGCAGGGAGGGAAACTGTGCCGTGATGTGCAATCACTGGCGGTACAGTAATTAAAACAGGTAGGAATTGGTGTTATAATTCATCATTCTATCTCAGAATTTTCACCCCCGTCAATTCTATTCGCCCCATCCCTTGCCTCCTTCAGGACCCGTCTCAAGACCCTTCTCTTCGACCGTACTTTCGGTCACCCTCCCACCCCTACCCTCCCACCCCTCCTGATCGCAACCATCAGCTCAGTTGCGGTTCCCTGAGTGTTCAGCGCCCAGGGACGTCGCCCCCTGACGTGAAAGGCGCTGTACAAATGTAATTGGTTGTTGTTGTTATTGTTTCGCGTTTGATTCCTTTAATTCTCTTTGTCTTCCACCCGTCGTCAGCAACACTGGGCAAAAGAGGCTGTGCCAACATTACTCAGTGACCCGACAGCTGGTTTACAAAGTTCTGATTTGCTTGTGATCCTGCCACAGCCACAATGTCACTCTCCCCCACAACCCCCTCCTCCGTCAATCCTCCCCCCCTCTCTCCACCATCCCCCTCTCTCCCCCACCGCCCCCCACCACTCATTGTTCCCTCTGCTCGTTGTTTTTTTCCCCTTACGCTCCACCACGCTCCTCCTCCCCACTCCCCCCCCCCCACATTTCGCCCACACACACGCGCTTTTTATAACACAATTTCACTTCCTTTTATTCGGTTGGTAAATGTTTTCCGCCAGCATAATGCTTTGAGGGCAGGTGTGCAGACTGTCTGTGAGGCCAGAAAGTTTAAAAAAAAAAGCTATTTTCTTTTGTTAATTATTTCCATCTGCCAAAAAAATAACCTGCAGCCATAAGATGTTTGTGAAGCCCGACAATTCACTTGTACTGATCCACCACTAACTGCAGCTTCAAAAGAATTCCTTGAGTAGAGCTTAAAGCGATTAGGCTGTACAGTTTAATCCAGGGAGAAAAATATCAGATCAGATCCCAAATTTTTGTCTTCCGTTCCGACGTGGTCAAATTTCATCGCACAATTGTAAATGTGTTAATTATTGTTGACCTTCAGTAACTCTTCTCCCATGCAATTCACTTCCGGAGGGAAGAAAGAGGGAGGGAGGAACACTGAAAGAGAGAGCGAGAGAGAGAGGGGGGGAGGGGAGGGTGAGAGAGAGAGGGGGCGATAGAGAGAGAGAACGAAAAAGAGGAGGGAGAGACTATGTGAGAGAAGTAGAAAAAAGAGGGAGAGAGAGGGTAAGTGTGGGGGTGGGGGGAGGGAGAGAGAGAAAGAAAGAAGACTGTGTTTCAATGCTTCGGGATGTCCTCCTGACATGAAAGGCGCTATACAAATGTAATTGTTGTTGTTGAGAGAGAGAGCGAGAGAGGGGAGGAGGCACTGTGTGAGAGAGGGGGAAGGATGGAGCTGGATCAAATGAGGGTGTGAGGAATATGGAGATTGAGGGAGGGTGGGAGAGAGAGAGAGAGAAAGAGAAAATGAGGTCGATAGAAGGAGGGATATTTTACATAGACAGACGCACTGCCAACGTTGTCCTAAAAGGAATATGATACTCAAATCAATGTTGAGTGAGAGTATTGATGACTTTTCTTTTTAACAAAACAATTTCTTTTAGACAAAAAATCTATCCTGGATGATGGGTGCGAGTAAATCGAAACCCAAGTTGTCTTACCCGTTCCTGGAAGATGTTGCCACCATCAGCGCAGTCAAAGATTCCAAAGTCCTCTTCATCCTGCGAGGCCTGCCAGGCAGTGACAAATCCACCATCGCCAATAACATTTTGAAAAAGTATGAATCGCTATCCGTTGTCCTTTCCGCCGAATCGCACCAGATCTCACCCTTCGAGAGCTCCACTGAGGGAAGCGACGAGCGGTACGCGAAACTGGATGAGGAGATTCAACGTGAGCTCAAAGCTGAGAAGGGTGTCGTGGTGGTTGACGACACCCATCACACGAGGAAACGCTTGAATTATCTCTTTGATTCCGCCAAAGAGTTCTGCTATACTGTGGTCATCGTCCAGGCTAACAATGAATGTGGCAATCAATGCTCTGCTCTCGCCAGTAAGAACCACCCAAAGGCATCCAAGGATCAGCTGGAGGCCATGAAGGACCACCTGGAGCTGCCTCTGATACCCTATTACTTTGGCTGGTTCTTGACGAGGGTATCAGCGAAGCAGCTGGACCAGACCGGCGAGCATTTTCTGGAACAACTCGCTGAGCGACGAGAATTTTTAGAAGAATTTGTGAAATGTAGGCTTTTGTGATTGGGTTGTGAGGGCAGTTAAGATCTTAAGATGATGGAATGGCTCTGTTTTGGGTTTATCTGAGCTCCAGGTATGGCTCATTTTCTGTGTCCAATGTTCAGCAGTTATGGCCACATAGACCCGGAAAGAACCAGGTTTGAATCTCTTGAGAGAAAAACACCAGCACAGATTTAATAATAATCCTTGCATTTCAATACCGTGATAAGGCGCTATATCAAATGCAAAGATTTATTATATTTATTGCTTTGTTTCGCTGTCAAAAACCCTCAGGAAGTGCTTCACAGGATTTTACTGTAAAGCGTAGTAACCAACAATTTTCCCATTGCCATTGTTCAATGATTCATTTACCTCAGTTGATGGGTTGAATGATCTGTTTCTGTGGTGTAATATCTGGTCATATTAATAATAATCCTTGCATTTGATACGGCATGTTATCATGTCGTTGAGACGTTCATTGAAGTCTCAAATCACTTCACCCTGCTGGCTGGGCACTGGAGCTGGGGGTTTGGTAGCCAAAGAGAATGTGGTTGGTGGGGGGAAAGGTGACCTCTTAGAGATAGAGGCACTGTATTCAAATTCTGGGAGGGAAGGAGTGAGTTGGAGAGATATCGGGATAGAGTTCCAGAGGGTGGGGACAGACTGATTGAAAGTTCGCCCGTCGATATTGGGATGGATAGGACAGGTGGTGCATGAAGGTGGACATTGTTCACTGAGTGAAGGGAGAGGGTGGGTGGGTAGAATTGTAGGAGGTCGCAAAGGTAACGATAAGTAATCCTATACAGTGCCTTATCGCTTCTTCGAGACGTCTCAAAGTGCTAAACAGAGTATACTGTAAAGTGAATTGACTGCATATTTTGTGGGCGAAACGCGGCAGCCAATTGCGCACAGCAGTGTTCCACAAACAGTCGTGGAAGGGTAGTTGAAGGTGAGTTGAGGGTGTGGAGGGATTTAAAGCTGAGAACGAAGATGTTGAATTTGACCTGCGGAGGCGTGGAGCAGAACTATGAGGGGGAGTGTGGCGTTGGAGAGGTGTGTTGTGTGAATGGTGAGTGTAAGGAAAGGCGAACTCCTAACACTGTGGAAGAAGAGAAGAGAGAAAAAAAGAAACACTTTGAAAGTAAATATGTGTGGTTTTTTTNCCGAACAGATATCGACTCAGATGCCAAAGAAAACTTTAATTTGCAAGATTATTTCCAGAAGAAGCCAAGTATATTGCACTGCACCACAAAATTCTGTAATTTTGGACAAGAACCAAACTGCGAAACGTACATCAAAACAAAGGTTGGTAAATAGAAAAGCCTTCTCACCCACCATCACAATGATTCGAAGGGAACAGTGATGACGACAAGTTATACTTACATAGCGTCCCTTCACACGGGGTAGCGTCCCTGAGCACTTGACAGTGGCGGAGTCTGACCCCGAACCAGTGCGAGAGGGAGTGTGGATGTGGCCGTAAGCACGATCAAAAAGGGAGGTCTTGAATTATCTTGGGTTCATTTTTTCCCTTCCTGTCCTGAAAACTTTCCGTTGACCTTCCTCTTTGACCGTTACGATTACTCCCTCCCTGGTGTCAGACTCCGGCCACTGTTAAGCACTCCAAGATACTTCCTCGCGTGGAGAACGCTAGATAAATACAAGTTGTTGTTTTGGTAGTCATTGCTGCTCAGCAAGAGATTCCCTTCTCGCAGGGAGGGCAAAGAGAGTAAGTTTGGGCAAAATAGAGCGTTCGTGAAATACAGAGTGTTTGCCGACCTGCATTGAAAAATAACTGTTTTCCACGCCCTCTTCCCTTTCTTGTTTTAGGGCATTGAAGAACAGTTGTCCAAGGCTTTTCATTTGAAAATCACAGACCTGTTCATCACACCTCGAACAGTCGGGGCACGTGTAGTACTGACAGAAAAACAGCTTTGCTTGTGGCCAACGGACGAAAATGAGTCCAATGACAAAGAGGGAATGAAACTACCCCTTGGCTCAAGATCCCATATCACTTTGGCATGCGCTCCTCACATAAAGGCAGTACAGACAGGACGAGATTTGCTTGAGTTTTTACAGTTGGAAGCGTGCAAAGCTCAGCCCAGTTTTCATACCCCTGTGGAGGGAGGGGAGCTTTTGTGCTATGATGAGGGCAGATGGATACTCCATCTCTCTAAACACATTGAGGTGAAGAGCATATTCTCTGGGTCTTATCATAATAAAACTGCCAACTGAACTCAGTGAGGTTTAGATGGAAAGAGAAGGACATATTCTTGTGAGAAGACCTACTGGTTGGCTCACAGTTTTATAGCCATTCTGTAGCTATCAAACCGACAGGCAAAATTAAGACAACCAATTGAGGAAGGATTTGGAAAGCTATTTGACAAAGAAATCAATGTGAGAGATAAGTCTCTTAGGATTTTAGTTTTGCCTTAGGACTTGCGGATGGGTCTGTTATGTACCTTTGTAACTCGCTTGAAAATGAATTAATTGTTCTAATGAAAGTAGATCCACTTCCTCCAGTCTGCTTATAGTATAAGTTAAATCTGTAGTTTGCTTTAAGTATGTGATTTAATAAAGGGACACTGACCTTCGAAGTAAACAGCATTTTACAATTCGACTTAAATGATGTGATTTAAAAGCAAAGTAAAAAGAAAATCAGTTTAGTGTTACAATTCTAGATTTGCAGAGTTTAGTTTCTTTAGTTAGATTGTAAGTATTTCAGGTTCTTGCTGTAAAAGACTTCAGCTTCTGAACTATATAAAGCAGCTAAACATCAGACAAATGAGCAGTTGCAGCCAGAAGATGATGCTAAGCGGTTTCATTTACTTCTGCTTTTTCGCTGTGCTTGCATTTAAAAACCACCTGTATTTAAATCTCTTGATTTCTCCATCTACTTCTGAGTGTAACACAAAATGTAACATAGAAAATTTTCTCTTGTTTTGTTGTGATTATTAGCTGTTTTTCACTGTATACCAGGCCCCGATTATGGTCTGGTGAAAAGTTTGCTCAGATTCAATTGTAAACATTTATTATATTAGAATAGTACGCTTTCAGTAAATATGAAGCTTTGTATTCTGTTACTTGATAGGATCCATTGGCTAATAATAACATGGGTGAATACCACTTAAGAGCTTATGTGTGTGCATTTGAAAGATAACACATTAAATTTGCTCAATTGTATGTTTGGGCTATTTTTTTCTTTACATCCTGATAAAGGTCGACCTTGGTTTCTGTACTACTTTACTCTTTATGTAGTTAAAAAAATCCACCAATAAAATAGTTGAAACTAATGTTTTTAAGGTCAGAATCGTTCTCTCAGCAATAACAACAAAATTACATTTGTATAGTGCCATGTCCTTTCACGTCGGGAGGACATCCCCAGTTGCTGGACCCTCTCCGATGGCATTAACACAGCATTCAGAGGGACACAAAGTGGATCAACTCATGTCAGGACTTGAACTCGCATGGTATAAGTTAACGCTCCAGTGGAGTGCTGGGGGGTTTCCTAACTAGAACATATTCCCAACTACTGTTCTTCGATCCAACGTGTACTACTTTCTATCTTGCAATGTTAAATTCCATCTTCCGTAATTCGTATGGATCGTCTTCTCTCCCTCTCCAAACTGATATTGAGTTCTATCATATTAATTTGGGACGTCCTCCCGACGTGAAAAGCGCTATATCAAATGCAAGGATTATTATTATTATTATAATGGTCGCTATTCCCAAAATACTCCCATTATCACTAATAATAATATTAATAATCTGGGCATTTATACACCAATATTCTGGAGACAGTTGATAATCCATATTTAAAAAATATGTAAAAATGACGAGTTCAATTAGAAGGCAAACAATGTTTTCTTTCCGAAACATTTTAATAAGCTTTTGTATTAACAACTTTAGGAACAAGCAGAAAAAGATTGCACTGAATTTTGACTGTGTGTGTACTTTTTTTCTTCCAAAAGATCGGAGTAAAACTAGATACCGAGCATACACACACACACGCGCATGTCTGTTTAAGACCACCTTGCAAAAATGTTGTCAGTAGTCAAAAACAAAGACATTGAGTCACGACGACATTAATAATCAATCAGTTTAAATAGAAACCACACAGAATGTCCAGCCAAAGAAACAGTCTAGGTTTTTTCACATTCATCCTACCTCAGTTGTGTTAGCAGCTGAAGCTCAATGAAACATCTCCAAAGACAGATGAACTGATTGATGGCACAAGAGAAACGCCTACCGATTTTTTAAAAAAAAGTAACAAATCCACAATTACGATACCATTAACCTTTAAAGTAGTTCCAAAGTTACAGAGTTTAATATGTGTACTAACAAAAAAAAGAATTGATGCTTTAAATCAACAGGATCTTAGAACAGTGGATTGATTCCTTTGTTACTATACAAAATCCTACTTGAGTTAGGAAAACAGGAAGATAGTTCTTGGTAATTAATTACAAGGTGAAAACGTTCAATAAATCCAGTGACCTATACTGTATTTTCAGCGGCAATACTGTACTAAGTTTGCTGATGTTACCAATGAATCAATTCTCGGTGTGTTTTCTTTATGGCTTATGGAAAATACTAGTTTTAAAGGAAAAATGTAAGGTAATGTATTCCTTCATTACAAACAGTGCAGGTAATGTTAAACTCCCATTATTTTTCTCCCCCTCGCAATGGATTCGATTGTAATACAAAGAGGCAGTGACAAAAACACTTAAGTCAGGTGTAGTGAATGAAGAACATACTGAGACCTAGAATGAACTTCAACTGAAGTTTGCTGGCACTTACCTCAAGGTCACTGGGGGTTGCTGGGCTTGGCTCGCTAGATAGACCATTAAATTGGCAGCTATTTGATTTGATTTATTGTTAATTTGTCTCCCATTCCCTTCCTCTCGTCAAAGCACGACTCAAAAAATCTCTTTGACCGCGCTTTTGGTCACCCCCCACCTTCCATCCCCCCACCTGGTTCCCACCCCCAGCTCAGGTGCCCACCTCCCAGAACTGTTAGTACTCTGTGGGACGTCCTCCCAACGTGAGAAGTGCTGTATAAATGTAAATTGTATTGTGAGAACTACTTCACATTGTGGGGATGGGTGGAAGAGAGGGTAAATTAGTGACTTGATCTCAATTTAATGCAATGCAAGATTGAAGCAGAGCGTGTTGGTGATTAACCTAATGCACTCTTGCGCAGTTTCATTTCTGGTCAACGTAGGTTATATTCTTATCACTGAGCTGTCATCAATATGTGCAGAAAAGTTCCAGTTTGAATTCGACAAGAACCAGTTAATGAGCTTAATCTAACCAAATTACAGTACAATCCATTCAGTCAGTTTGATATTGCTGTCCGGCAAGCTTTCCCGCTGCTTATCCAGCTAGGACCATCCTACCCGTTAGGGCTCTGGCTTACAGGGTTAACAGGAGCTGAGTGGGATGACTCCCTGTCCTGAATGACTGGTCTACCCTTTCAGTTCCAACCGATGAGCCAGGCTGGGCTGTGCCGTCTCATCAGCAGTGCCCTGGAATATTGCGGACCCACCTGGCTCAGGAACCGAACCACCGAGACACCACCCCAGAGGGCTAGCTCGATTCTGACCTTCCATTGCCAAGCATGTCAAATTGGAGCCAGTTCAGCTCCAAGGAGATCCTGCTTAGCTTCCCCCCTAAAAGGGGGATAGTCAATCAGCAACATGTTAAAAGGCAGCAATTATCAGCTTGGAGCTAACTGCGTGTGCTCTCCCATTCATAAAAATCTCATAAGAAATGTATACTTTGAGGGGGGGAAAAAAAATTTTTTTTCCAATAAATTCACCAACTGTTTCAGTAATCAGGTCAGTCCGTTGCCAAAACTGTATCCGAATTTAACTTTAAAGCTAGCCGGCTCCTAAGGGGTTAATTCTAAGTCAGATTTCACTGAATTCTTAACCAGAATCTTTTCCTTTTGAAGTTTGTATTTTTTCTTATATATCATCATGAAACCAGTGAAGAATGGAATTTATCTACATTTTGTACACACAGGATATGTATTCCTGTTGCTATTCTGTAATATATTCTACGTACTCAGTTGAGATGATTTTTAATATAATATACAAAACATATCGCTTTAGGAGGTTTTTCACAAGAAGTGGTAGAAAGTACATCAGGAATGAGCTAAGTCATTCTCTATGATAATAGTCGTAATAATAATAATCCTTGCGTTTGATATAGCGCCTTATCACGTCCTTGAGACGTCTGAAAGCGCTTTCACAGAATATACTGTCAAGTGAATCAACTGCATGTTTTGCGGGTGAAACGCGGCAACCAATTGCGCACAGCGGTGTCTCACAAGCATTCAGACCTGTCTGGCTCAGGAACCGGTCTACCGAGACCGCCACAGAGGGCTTAGCTCGATTCAGACATTCCATTGCCTGATCGATAGAACAAATCATTTATTTACTTATTTATTTATTTATTTTGAAGGGATTATTACCCCCGGAAAAGCGATCCACCCATTGACTACTAACCGGGTTCCTACTTACTGCTGGTAAACAGAGGCGTGTGGAGTAAGGAAACTTGCCCAACATTTCGCCCTGGCCGAGAATTGAACCCAGGTTTCTCGCTTGCGAGGCGAGTGCTCGACCCAATACGCTACAAGACTCCACGATATTGCTAAGTACAGACAATCTGATCCTAGCGAGATCTTCATTTGCTTAAGGTATGTGTGTGCGTCATTAAGTTTGCAGCCTCACTGTTTAGCAGCCCAACCTTCCTAGGGCTGATAAGATTATCCTTTCGTTTTTTTTTTGGACACACAATTCTGTTTTGCACCTCCACCATATTCAATAGGTGCATGATGTCAGCTGACAAAAAGTGAATGATTCATCTATAATTTAATTGACTTTTGATAAGTCATACCAAAAGTTCAGAAAGACTTGTTTTCTCAGTAGTGTAGAAAAGTCACTATGGCGCGAAATGCTCTGTGAAAGTGAATGTTACAGTTATGAAGTGGGTTGGAAAAAGAATGTCATCCAACTTGTGACTTGTGCGACTGAAAGGATTGCTTCTTTAAGAGAATCAACACAGACACTGGCTGAATGGCCTTCTTCTGTGCTGTAAATGTCTATCGTTCTATGAGACGTCTCCACCTCGTTATTTGTACTGAGCCAAGAGGGAATGAGTAATGGATTCAGATGAAAACAGTCTGAACAGATCATATTATCTCAGGAAGGACGAAACCCGGTTTCTTCAGCAAGAAGGAGAGAAGACTCAGAAGCGAGACGTCTCAGAAAACAGCTCACTGCAACTGTCTCGGAAACACAAAATGTAAGATGGCTAACTCGGGGGAGAAGTTTGTCAGCGAGAGTTGGTAAAAACGCCTTCGATAAACTGGATACCATTTTCAGAAACATTAAAACTGATCCTCGTAACGGTAACGGATTCTGCAGTCGTGACACAACTTAACTTAGTTTGGAATTAAATTGTCCCCACGATTGTTATTCTACGAAGCAAGCCGGGGGTTGAATGTAATTTCGCAAAATTTCACAGTGGTAAATAGCTATTGTGCTGTATAATTTTTTTGCTGTTGCTGCACTTTGTTGGAGGTTTATGCTTACAAAATACAGGGCCACTCCATTTTAAGCGCCTGGGTCGAATACCTTTGTAGTTACACTACGAAGCTCAAATATAGGACCACGTCTGGGGTTATCACATCACTGCAGCTTGTGTAAGTTTTGTTAAAGATGCACATCGCTTTCCTTGTGAACCAGGATACAATGATGCTTCACTGAATGAAGTCAGCGACCTCCTGATGAACTGGGATTACGGTTTATTTTGGTGCAGGAAGCCGGATGACAACTGGCAACTCAAAATGAACTTGGGCTCTTAACAGCATCTCCCTATATGTAGCTTGGCATCTTGACTTTCTCATCTTAGGCTCCTCCTGGGACTACACTGTGCTTTGACTTCAGTACATTGCGTTACGTTCCTCCTTTTGCACGATTTAAGACATAAAGAAGGCACTTGAAGGGTTACAGGTCCAGATCTACATGGGTCTGCTACTGGTTGAAGGGTGACTGACGGTAACTGTGCACCAAACTACCTCCCAAAAAGTTCCCATTGAAGAAAGTCGAAGAACATGTGAAATCACTGATTCACAAGCCAGAAAATGCTTTGTTTTGATAAAATGGCCCCGATTACAGTTTGATTGCCGATCCCATACGGCAACAAACACAGCAATGAGTTCTATTAACTGCCCCTCGCTATTGGCATTGTGGTTGTGTCGTGTTGCCCCCACTTCACACATTTTGTTGGGTCAATCTCTCAGTTCACGGTTTGCCCAATTGAGGTGGCTGTTTGCACCATCGCATATTGCTTCGCTGTTTCCAGAATTCAAGCTCTTCCCCCCCCCACCGCCACCCACCCTCAACCCCCCCCCCAACCCCACTACCCTCCCACCCCTCGTCTGTCCGTCCATTTGTGCTCAAGGTTTTTGTTTGGCCTCTGACTCATTTCCTAACGGTGATTATTTTATTCCAGATCCTGAAACGGAAAATCGGGGGTCGCGCCGTTCATCACTTCAGGTTAAAGACCATCAGAGGCCTCTCCTCACGTTTCTGCCAGGGGCTCTTTTTGTTTTCACCTTGATCGTCTCCTTCACACTGATCTTGCATCTCTTCCTCGGGACTGGTGGCGGAATCTCTTTGGATCTCACTGGTGCTGCTCCTCATGCTGTTCCCCCTGCTGTGTCCCTGCCTCTGCAAGGTGCCCCTGTGCTCCGAAGTCTCTTCCAGCAAAGGTGTGAGCGAGTTGTCCTCGGGGGAGCACACTGCCGTTCTGCTTTCACTGCTGCTCTGCTCCGTGTCGTCCACGTAGATCAGCTTACTGTAGGCCAGGTTGCCAGGAACATGGCGATCGCGTTCTTCCTTCGCTTTTTTGGCCGGCTTGGCCTCGTTTACGTCGACACCGGAGTCTAAGCTGGCATCGGTGCTTCCGATTCTTTCGCCCGTCTGCAGGTCGATGTAGGAGTGGCGGACGTGGGCGTTCGAACGACCGTCTAAAGAGACAAACCAAGCCCTGGGGTGTTGGGGCTTGACACCCAGTTCCAAAAGCTTTTTCTCCGTCAGCGCCTGCAGTTCTCCGTTCATCTGAGCCATCGCCGATTCATTCAACAACACTGCCATCGGCCCGCTCATTGAAGACGAGTGGGGGCTCCAGCCTTTGTTGTCGGGGTCGTCCGAGAGTGGGGTCTGCTGTTGCCCTGGTTGATGGGGATACTGCTGAGATTCACGTTGATGGCCCATCGGCATTCGTATCTGGGTCCCCTTCATCTCCAGCTGCTGCTCTGTCGGCATCCCAGTCGACGGGTCCGTGCAAGGGTAATCGCCCGAAGTTAATCCCATGTAATGGGCGGGTATGACCAGGGTTGGCATGACGTTCCTGTACATGCTGTCCTTCATGTGATCAATAGAGCCACAGAAGATCAACTGACCCGGTTGGGCCAAGTTTGTTGGTCTGGCCAGGTGGTCGACGGACTGGGACATGGTGTAATCCGAGGCCTTATTGTCCATTTTGTGACCGATGAGAGATTCGAAAGGCGGGGGCAGAGGCGGAGGCGAGGGCGGGTCGTTCATACAAAGTTTGCTCTCGGCCAAGACGCGTCTCCCGTGAACATCTCGGCCTTTCTCGTCCACTCCGTGGTGCGAGATCATCGAGTTGTAACTCCTCCTGTAGTCGTCCATCATGGGCGGCCCAAGGTCTCCCGATGCGTCCACCGACCTGGCCATCTTCAACGGCAGGCTCTCCACCGTCCGGCGATAATCCTCTTTGGAATTTCCTCGGTGTGTCAAGGTGTCGGTGGAGGCCTTGCTGATGTGTCTCATTTTGTGATCCGAGTCCCGGTACGGGAGCTGCTTGAAAAACTCTTCTCGCGAGTGCTCGAATTCTCGAGATGTACTGAACCCGGATTTCAGGATAGGGGTGTGGATGTCAGTGTCCCCATTAGAGGACACCGATTCCATGTGGCTGGTGCTGATCAAGTTGATGTGAGACATAGATGTGGCCTGGTCCTTTTTCGAATGATCTAAATTCGAGATCTGTAACTTTCGATGCTGCTGCCGTGGTTTCAGACATCGCCTCCTATTGAACAAAAAGCATCAAATAATTAAACTTATATTTACTCGTAAGCTTATCAAGCTCCGTTTACCTAGCAGTAAGTAGGAACCTGGTTGCTAGTCGATTGGCGGATCGCTTTTCCATGGATAATAATCCCTTCATTTTAAAAAAAAAAATAAAAATTTTGCCTTTTCAATCCACGACTGGGTGTGGGACGCTGCTGTGCGCAATTGGCCGCCGTGTTTCGCCCACAAAACATATCGTCAATTCATTTTACAGTGTATTCTGTGAAGCGCTTTAAGGCGCCTTGAAGAACTGATGAGGCGCTACATCAAATGCAAGGATTATTATTATTGTGTGCAAATGATTCTGCTAATTACACACAGAAATGACCCACAAACAGCCAGGAATCAGCAATCTTTGGCCGGTCCAAACCGACTGGAGAGTATTACAGGTATAAACACAGAAGTCGCTGGCAACACGGTTCATAGAACTGAAACGTTGTGAACTCATTTTGACTCATCCTCTGGGTCAGAAGGTCTGAGCGTCACGTTCGGGGGTGAATGTGCTCAAAGAGATGTTTACAGTAAATCCTTTGAATTGCCTTGAGACGTCTCCCTGAAAGGCCCGAGATCAAATATAATTATTATTTCATTCGAATGACGGCGTTAATTTGTTCTGTGTGTCTTCCTGTTGTTCAGTCCCCCGACCTTCACCGAGGGCCAACTACCAGCAGGCGGAGCCGTGCAGTCGGGAACAGCGACACACTCGCTGCCTCTTTGTCAATCCTCACTTGTCTTCTCGCAACGCTCAGTGTTCTCCATTCTGAATTACCACTGCACACCACACCCTGCGATTCACACACACACACACACGCACCACTTGAGACACACACATGCACAGAGGCCACGACACACAACCCGAGACCACACACACACACACAACCCGAGACCGCGCGCGCACACACACACACACACACACACACACAGCCCGAGAGGACACAAACACACACAACCCGAGACCACACACACACACACACACACAACCCGAGACCACACACACACACACAACCCGAGACTACACACACACACAACCCGAGACCACACACACGACCGGAGACCACACTCGCACAACCCAAGACACCCACACGCATACAACCCAAAACACACACACGCACACAACCCAAGACACACACAGGCACACATCCCAAGACACACACACACAACCCAAGACACAAACGCAGGCACACAACCCAAGACACACACACGCACACACAACCCAAGACACGCACACGCACACATCCCAAGACACACACACGCACACATCCCAAGACACACACACACAACCCAAGACACAAACGCAGGCACACAACCCAAGACACACACACGCACACACAACCCAAGACACGCACACGCACACAACCCAAGACACACACACACGCACACAACCCAAGACACACACACACGTACACAGCCCAAGATACACACACACACACAACCCAAGACACACACGCAGGCACACAACCCAAGACACGCTCACAAGCACCAAGACACACACACACAACCCAAGACACACATACACAACCCAAGACACACACAACCACAACCCAAGACACACACACGCACACAACCCAAGACACACAGGCAACCCAAAACACACACACAGGCGCGCACCCAAGACACACAAACATGCATGCACACAAGAAACACACGCATGCACATAACCCAAGACACAGATGCACGCACACACCCGAAGAGACACACACACGCACACAACCCAAGACACACACACACAACCCAAGACACAAACACAAACCAAGACACACACACACAACCCAACAAACACACACACAACCCAAGACACACATACGTGCGCACACAAGACACACACACGCACACAACCCAAGACACACACTCACACGCACATCCCAAGACACACGCACATCCCAAGACACACACACATGCCAAGCCACACACACAACAACAACAACAACAAGATTCCATTTATAAAGCGCCTTTCACGTCAGGAGGACGTCCCAAGGCGCTGCACAGTTGGGTCATGACCCGAGCAGGGGGGAAATGGTCAGGGTGAGGGGAGGGAAGGGAGGGAGCGAGGAGGGGGAAATGGTCAGGGTGAGGGGAGGGAAGGGAGGGAGCGAGGAGGGGGAAGAGAGTCGAGAGGGGAGCTGAAGGCTCGATCAAAGAGAAAGGTTTTGAGACCGGCCTTGAAGGAGGAAAGGGAGGAGGCGGCGAAGGCACTGGGGGATGGAGTTCCAGAGCCTCGGGGCTGAGAGGCTGAAGGCCCGACCACCGATGGTAGGGCGGTTGGGGCGGGGGACGTGGAGCAGACCGGAGCCAGACCGGGTGGGAGTGATGTGGTCCCGAAGCCTGGTGCGGGACAGTACACGAGCTGCAGAGTTCTGAATGACCTGCAGCTTGTGGAGGGAGGTGGTGGGAAGGCCGGCGAGGAGAGAGTTCCCATAGTCCAGCCTTGAGGTGACAAAGGCGTGAACCAGGGTTTCAGCAGCGTGAGGGGTGAGGTAATGCCGTAGTCTGGCGATGTTCCGGAGGTGATGGAAGGAGGTGCCAGTTGTGGTGCGGATGTGAGGGAGAAAGGACAGCTCAGGGTTGAACAGAACCCCGAGGTTCCTGACCGGCATTGAGAGGTGGAGAGTGCAGCCTTGGATGCTGATGGTGTCGGTGCCTGAGGTGCGGAGGCGCTGACGTGAGCCAATCAGGAGGGCCTCGGTTTTTCGCACGTTGAGCTGAAGAAAGTTGTCTCTCGTCCAGGACTCGATGTCGGACAGGCAGCTGTCAGGACATCGGTGGTCGTGGAGTTGAGAGTAGAGGAGGAAAGGTAGAGTTGGGTGTCATCCGCATACATGTGGAAGTTAACTCCATGTCTGCGGATGATGTCACCACAGGGGGAGCATATAGAGGGTGAAGAGGAGGGGACCAAGGACAGAGCCCTGAGGGACACCACATGAGACAGTGCGGGGGGTGGAGGAGAAGCCATTCGTCGAGACAAAGTGAAGACGGTGAGAAAGGTACGACCTAAACCATTCAAGGACAGTGCCTTGAAGGTTGAGGTGGGAGGACAAGCGGTGGAGGAGGATAGCGTGGTCGACCGTATCGAATGCTGCCGATAGGTCGAGGAGGACGAGGAGACAGAGGGAGCCCTGGTCACAGATGGTCAGGATATCATTGGTGACCTTGACCAGGGCAGTTTCTGTGCTATGGGCAGCACGGAAACCTGACTGAAGGGGTTCGAAAAGAGAATGGGTGGAAAGGAAAGAGCGCAGTTGGGAGGCGACAACTCTTTCCAAGACCTTGGAGAGAAAGGGGAGGTTGGAGATGGGCCAGTAGCTTGATAGCTGCGACGCATCAAGACACACACACAACCCAAGACACACACGCAGGCACACAACCCAAGACACGCTCACAAGCACATAAGACACACACATGCACACATCCCAAGACACACACACGCACACAACCCAAGACACACACGTGCGCACAATCCAAGACACACACACGCGCGCACACAACCCAAGACACACATACGCACACAACCTAAGACACAAACACTCGCACACAACCCAAACACACACTCACCCAACCCAAGACACACACACGCACCCAACCCAAGACACACACACGCACACATCCCAAGACACACACGCACGCACACAACCCAAGACACACACACAACCCAAGACATACGCACACAACCCAAAATACACACTCACACAACCCAAGACACACACACATGCACAGAACCCAAGACATACAACCCAAGACATGCCCACCCCCTAAGATGTGCACACCCTCACCCTAAGTTGCGGCCCGCCCGTGCAGCCCCGCCCAAGACAACACGCACACACAACCCAAGACAACACTCTCACACAACCCAAGACAACACGCGCACATCCCTAGACAACACGCACACACAACCCAAGACAACACGAGCACACAACCCAAGACAACACGCGCACACAACCCAAGACAACACATGCACACGACCCAAGACACAAAGACTTGTAAGAAAGATAGAAGCCCATGGTATAAAAGGGACAGTGGCAGCGGATCCAGAACTGGATGGGAGACAGAAAGCAGAGAGTTGTGGTGAACGGCTGCTTTTCTGACTGGAGGGAAGTGTACAGTGGTGTCCCCCAGGGATCGGTATTAGGACCACTGCTCTTCTTAATATACATAAATGATCTGGACTTGGGTATAGTAAGTACCATTTCCAAGTTTGCGGATGATACAAAGTTAGGGAGGGGGTAAACAGTGAGAAGGATAGGAGCCAACTGCAGGAAGACATAGATAGAATGGTAAAATGGGCGACACACGGCAGATGAGTTTCAATGTGGAGAAATGCGAAGTAATGCATTTTTGTAGAAAGATTGAGGGGAGGCAGTATAGGCGGTAATACAATCTTAAGGGGGGGGTAAAAGAACTGAGAGACCTGGGGTGCAGGTAAATGAATCCTTGAAGGTGGCAGGACAGGGAGATAAGGCTGTAAAAAGGGCATATGGGATATTAGGCTTTATAAATAGGGGCATAGAGTACAAGAGTCAGGAGGTTATGATTAACCCATATAAAACATTGGTTAGGCCTTAGTTAGAATACTGTGCCCAGTTCTGGATGTTAAGGCATTGGAAAGGGTGCAGAGGAGATTTACGAGGATGGTACCAGGAATGAGGGACCGTGATTATGAGGAAAGGCTAGAGAGGCCGGGATTATTCTCATTGGAGCAGAGAAGGTTACGAAGAGACCTAATAGAGGTCTTCAAAATCATGAGGGGATTTGATAGGTTAGAAAGGGAAAAACTGTTTCCACTGGTGGGTGTGTTGGTGACTCGAGGTCACAGATTTAAAATAGTATCTAAAAGAAGTCGAGGGGAGGTGAGAAGAAATGTTTTCACACGGCGAGTTGTTCGAATCTGGAAGGCATTGCCTGAAAGGGCGGTCGAGGCCGATTCGATAACTACTTTTAAAAACACGGTGGACAGGTACTTGAGGAGGACGGGTTTGCAGGTTATGGGGAAAGGGCCGGGGAGTGGGATTGACATTAATTGCTCTATTCAAAGAGACGGCACAGACTCGATGGGCCGAATGGCCTCTTTTTGTGCTGCACGATTCTATGATTCTATGACACACACACACAACCCAAGACACACACACACACCACCCAAGACACACACACACACAACCCAAGACACACACACACACAACCCAAGACACACACATCCTGACACACACACACACGATCAGATGAATGGCCAGAGTTGATTGATACTGAACACCATTTAACAGTCTCGTTGTATTGTGTACCTGTCCAAAGATGTGCTTTCCAGCAGTTCAAAGGGACTTTACCTTCTGCCAGAAAGCCAGATGGAACATCTAATCACTGTAATAACACATCACAGAGTGGGTTCCTCATCACTGCACTATAAAATTACACGGTTACAACAGGAGCAGCTAAACATTTGGTGCAGAATCCAGGTCCTGTTTGTTCGTTCCCATGCTAACAGCTCAGTCAATGGCTATTCAAAGCAGAAGCGGATTTTTTTTGTTTCGCATGATATAAAACAGTCGTATAACTAAAATTATACAACTTTAGTCGGATCCCCTTTCTCTCCAGACAAGGCATAAAAACCGAGCGGACATCTGTTGTGGAAAATGGGCTGCAAATGCTCACACCTAAAATTTCGCCCACAGAAACACACAGTCGATTCACTTTACAGTATAGTCTGTGAAGCGCTTTGAGATATGTTGAAGATGTGATAAGGCGGTATACCAAATGCAAGGATTATTATTATTACTACTACTGCTACAAGTGCCCCTAGTTTTCAACATTTGCAACTGAGCAGCTCCCTCACAATGCTTGTGTTTAGCTCCATTACAATCCCTGCTTCAAAGAATCAGTTAATTTCTCTACAAAATTTGGGTTTTCGCCCGCAAAATATCCAGGCAATTTTCACTTTACAGTGTATTCTGTGAAGCGCTTTGAGAAGCCCCTCTCTCAAAGACGTGATAAGGCGCTATATTGAATGCAAGGATTATTATTCTAATGCCAGAACCGGGATCCGTGAATCCTACCCAGCAGTGCAACTGATCGTCCTTCAGTGTTTCCTGAAGTCTCCGACCAGTTTCCTATGCTGAAAGATGGCCGATTTCTAGATCATCGGATCGTGGAAACAAACGATTATAATAATAATAATCCTTGTATTATAATCCTTGTGTGGAGCAAGGAAACGTGCCCAAATTTCGCCCGGCCGGGAATCAAACCCAGGTCTCTCACTTGCAAGGCAAGTGCTCTAACCACTGATCTACAGGACTCCATAATGGGACTTGGTTGCATTTGACCTGGATGTTCCATGTTGATGATGGACGGGGTGGGGGGGCACAGGTGAAGGGATTGGAGAAAGAATACAAAACGCCAAGGGGGGGGGGGTGGGGTCAGGAACAAGACATTTACCTGCAGTAATAGAGAAGCAAACACAGCAGCACTAGAACCAGAAGGGCCATGGCTCCAAGAATGGTTAGCAGAAATATTGTGTGGTACATTGTGATGTCCCCAAATCTGGATGGGATGACGGCAGCTGCAAACAAACAAAACAGTGAAGAGTCATAGATACTTGATTCACGAGGTGCTCCAAACCAACCTTTGCCAACAACAGGGGCATTGGATTTTGGCTGATGTTTCCCCCCCCTCTCTCTAGCCCAGGGATATTAAGGCCCGTCGACCAGTTTCCCGGAACCCACTTCAGCGTCATACTCTGAGCGTGAAGAAATGCTCCTAAACTTTCCCTTAGCAAACCTAAACCTGCGTCTTGGCGTACCTGAGATTATTGCTGTGCGTGTTACTTTCTGTGTTATCCCATCACGCACACATTATATACATCTATAAATATCTTTTTCCAACGCTGAAGTATTCCATTTTATCTGGTGGTTCCTCATAGTTCATCTCTCTGTCACTAGGGCTCAACCTTGTTCCTCTTCTTGGGAGACCTGACCCCATGTTAGGAGCACTATATAAATGCAAGTTGTTGTCGTTTTGTACAGATTAACATTACTTTCTTGGGTTTGGATTCGATATTCCTATTCAGAAAACCTAAAATTCCATTTGCTTTTTGTTTTGATCTTCTTGTCTTCTCATTATTAAACACCCGCTTATTCTGCAATCCTTTGTCTATACTTTTCTATTTCACCAAGAAGGTTACTAGTTAGGGTGTAATTTACCAGCCGGTCAACGTTCAGCTTACCTTGGTTTATTGGAAACATGGCCGCTACCCAGTAGCCCAATTGTGGAGCAATGTACGACCAGGTTAGTTGGTTCCCGTCTTTCTTAATCACTCCAGTTCCACTTCTGACCCAGGCGCCTGCAAAGTAAGCCATTGAGAAACAGTTACTTTACTTCTTTGATTTAGCTGACTCCCATTTCTCAACCTCCCCTGCAACTCTCTCAAATCTACCAAACTTCATTTTGCAACTTTAATGTTTGGTGCGATCCTCAGCTGTCATTCCTATCCCACATTCAGTCCCCAAATCCTTGACTGTCCAGTACCTTGGGATGTCCACCTGACGTGAAAGGTTCCGTACAAATGTAATTTTTTGTTGTTGCCCATGACAGCCCCTATCTCACACCAAATGCCACTGTTCGATGGTATAATAAATTCTTAACACAGTAATACCTTCCCTTTGTTTTTCTCATCTCTATCCAGACAGCTGAAGTCTTTTCACCCCACCTTTCCATCATCCTTGTATTCAAGCTTTGCAGTAGAATCCTTGATGAGTGATTAGATGGACTGCCACCCACTCCCTTGTTTTCTGGTCTGTGTATTCTACGATCCTCAAGGTGCTGTGCGTCATCTATCTCCTATTTCCTGAAACTCCCTGTGCAGGACCTGAAACCTACTCTTTTCTACGACATACATTTACTCTCTACCCTGAAAAGGCTGTGGATTACGGCTGGATTCATTCACATTTTCAAGACGGAAGTAGATGGATATTTGTTAGGTATGTGTATCAAGGGATTTGCTGGAAAGGAGGATAATTGGGCTTGAGGTACAGATAGATCAGCCATGAATAGAACGGCCATTATAGAACTGCGGAAGACGCTAAGGGGCCAAATAGCCTATTCCTGTTTCTATGTTATGCAAAACATACATGAGTAGTAGCATGCAAACACAGAAGTATCTTGCCTTACCTAAGGCAATCCACCCTTACGAGTAAGGTTTTCTCCGAAGGGGGCAATGAAGTAGAATGCCTGTTCGAGCAGCACGTACTCACCAGTCTTCCCTTCAAACTTCCACACTGGGATGCCCCTCGCCTCCGTCGCGAGTCTGTCCATGGGGAGAGGGACGGACAACTGGATCGGACCTGACACCTGAACGTCAGAGCCATTGCTGGTAAAGAGATGGACACTGACTGCTGCCACAGGGGTCAGCTCAAGCCTGGAACGGTCAACTGGTGTTTAAAATGAAAACCGAGTGAGTGTCAGGCACATACAGCAAACCAGGAGCAATCACAGAGTCTTACAGCACAGAGGTTTTGAAATGAATACGCTTGAATTCAACAACAACAACTTGCACTTATATAGCGCCCTGCACGCAGAGCGCTTAACAGTGGCGGAGGCCCATCTCTGAGCCGGGTGGGGGTGGGGGGAGAGGGGGAGATGGCCGTAAGCAGACAAATACTTGCCTGATCTGTTGCTGTCGTAGCCCAGGAGATAGGGGAATCCTTCCACGTCCATTTCACTGTTGACCATGGTCAGGAAGGCAGAGAGATCGCTGTAGGTTGTGTTTTCTGGGAGCCCAACATTCTTTCGCTGGAACTGAACCCACGGCTGATTCTTGGCACCTGAATGTAAAGAGAGTCACCTGAAACAAAATCTCATCGTCTCATAGAGATAAGGACTCACCCACAAAATATACAGTCGAGTCACTTTACAGTATATCTGTGAAGTGCTTTGAGATGTGTCGAAGATGTGATAAGGCAAAGAAATTTATTTATTTATTATTATTATACAAGAATATTGATACACATGCAAATTTTGAATTTTGGGGGGGAAAGTATTTGTCGGGTCAGGATCAACAATGTGTTAAGCATATCTGTGTACTAACGAAACGTCTCATAATAATCCTTTTGATATAGCACCTTATCGCGCATTTGATATAGCACCTTATCACGTCTTTGAGACATCTCAAACGTCTTCACAGAATATACCGTAAATTGTCTTATAAAGGGGTTCTATTGCACGATCCCCTGCTGACGCTGTGTTAACACGACAGTATTTGTTAGTCACTGAGAACTTTAACGTGTGAGAAAGGGAGAGGAGAAAAGGAGATTTCTTACCAGGTGAGCCCAAGAGAATCTGGACTACATCATCGTACAGCATCAGGGTGGCTGGGCGCTCTGGTAGCAGGTAAAGACTCACTGATGTAAACACTACAACCAGGGAAACAGAAACAAATTGCAGATTAGATTTAGACTCGGCAAGACATTTTTATAGTCGATCTGATTTTTCATTAAAATAAATCGGACACAGTTCCTACCTGTAGCTATAACTAGATGTTTATTTGTCCTGCAGCAAAGGATATTATATATATTTAATAAATATATATTATGTAGATATACACAGACACACATTACTTCACTACAAAAACATTTGCTGAAGTTGTTCGTGATACGTTGTTGTGTTGATGTTACTCGCCAAAGCCACTCTACGCAACTGAGGTAAGCACTCCAAGACTCTACCCCGCGTGAAGAGCGCTATATAAATGCAAGTTGTTGTTGTAATTATGTCATTGAATGCCTCTCGGAGACCAGGGCCTGCAGTGCAGGGGAAGCCAGGTACAGCCCAGGTGATACTGTTATGATTGAGCAAAATCTGAAGGTCGGTGGGTAAAGGGGGGGGGAAGGAAAGAGGTTTACATTGCTGCAAATTTCCACCTGTTGAGGTGGACTACAAAGATAATAATAATAATAATCCTTGCATTTGATATAGCGCCTTAGCACGTCTTCGAGATGTCTCAGAGCGCTTCACAGAATATACAGTAAAGTGAATTGACTGTTTATTTTGTGGGCGAAACACAGCCAATTGTGCACAGCAGCGTCCCACAAACAGTCGTGGATTAAGTGATCAAATTATTTTTTTTTTTTAAAAAGGAATTATTATCCCCGGAAAAGCGCTAGAAAAACAGACGCTTGTGTGTGGAGTAAGGAAACTTGCCCGAAGTTTTGCCTTGTCCGGGAATCGAACCCGGGTCCTCCTGCTTACCAGGCGAGTGCTCTAACGCTGAGCTACAGAACTGCAGTGTGCGAAGCTCTTTGCACTTACGTGGTGATCTGTTCGCCCGCCAGGGAGCCGAGTTTGTCACAAAGCCATATTTGGCCGCGCTGACCACCAGCCACGTCCCCAGCCGGTACCGCAAAGTGATTTGCGCCACTCCATCCCTCCCCGTGTTTCCCGAGGCCAGCCACGTCTGGTTGGTGTAGATTTCTACCAGAGCATCCGTCAAGGGTGAAAGGTCGCCGTTATCAAAGACTTGCACTTTTATAGACACCTCTGAAACCAAAAAGAAAGGAAGAAAAAAATATATCGTTTGTTAAAACAAAGCTGGCGATAACAGAACCACAGCTGTTCCCATTACCCTCGGATTAGGAATGAGGGGTAGAGAGAAGGGGAAGGAGAAATATATATTGATAATTTGTATAGATTTCTCACCTATCTCATGTCCAGTGCTGTGATAATAACAACAATAATCCTTGCATTTGATATAACGCCTTATCACGTATTCGAGACATCTCAAAGCGCTTCACAGAATATACCGTGAAGTATATATATGGCTGTATATTTTGTGGGCGATATCCACATGCTGCAGGTTATGATGTGGGATCTAACATGCGGCATTTCTAACGGGTTCCTTAATAAGGAATTTGAGTTGCGAAATAACCAGCGGTACTCTACGCAGTTAACTCCCCTCGTTGCTTTCCAGGGTAGTGTTCCCTTAGGTTTGTAGGAATTCTAATGGATTCAAATGAATTCTAACGGGATAAGGAATCTCATGAGCAATAACGCATTTTCGACCCCATGACGGGCTGCAAGGGTAAATGTTCCCAGTTGTGAAACAGACTTTTCAGAAAATGGCCCCAAATCTATTCCAATATACCCTTGATGTTGGCACAGAGACATTTGGCTGCCTTCTTCTGTGCCGTAACTATCTATGGTTCTTTAAAGCCCTTTCAAAATCTGTCAACTGCACAGGTTTAATGGATCTACGGTTACATTCAAAGATGGTTCCTTTAGACTGTAGCCTTGACTGTTAAAGCCTATTTTTTAACACCGGGAGATGAACATTCTTCAGGCTCAAATTCTGCTTTATGACACACATACACCCGCACTGACTCTGGATGGACAAGTGTTGAGCAGATGGTGTTTGCACAGCTGTAGAAGAGCATAACTTGTGTCCAGAACACGTTTGCCGTATTCCATGGAGAGAGAGTGACAACTATCCCTGATTCACTGCAAGGAAGACTGGAGGAGAATACATTATACATAAATTTCCAAGCCCCAAAGCTGCTTTGGATCACGTCCACTCCCAGATGAACCTCCAAGCTTAGATTACTTCCATAACAAACGCCAAAGGTGTAGATTGTTCAGACACTCAGAAGTTTCTAATTTTTGTTTTTTTTTGCCAGAAATTCTATCTAGATTTTCCATTGGTGTCAGAGGTGGGGGGGGGGTGTGGGGGAGGGGGGAGAGGGCGGGGGAGAGCGCTGGGGGGGAGGGTAGGCTGTACATAATTGTTACCAGAATTATCATCAGAAGACAAAAGAGGGAGGTTTGAGAGGACTTTTCTACTGTGAAGGGTAATTAGAATTCTTTTGCTCGGAATGTTTTGGATATTGGTGGATATGGATATTGATGCTGAGACCATTTTGAAGTGTTCCATTTGAAAGAGAATCGGATGAACACTTGTGAGGAAGGAAACAAACAGGAATGATGGCAGGCCGAGAGGGCTGAACAGGCTACGCTGTAACCTCTTTGATTCTAGAAATAGCACAGTACAGAACAGTGGCAGCAGCTATATTGAGATTCCCCACCCTGTGACAAAACTGCACAAGTGGCCTGAGATTCCTGACAAATATTTCCAGCCTAAGACAGCCCTTGCCCTTAACAAAGAATGTGGAATCCTGTAGCTCAGTGGTTAGGGCGCTCGCCTTGCAAGCGAGAGACCTGGGTTCGATTCCCGGCAGAGGGAAATGTTGGGCAAGTTTCCCTATTCCACACGCCTCCATTTACTTAGCAGTAAGTAGGAACCCGGTTGTTAGTCGATTGGTGGATCGCTTTTCCGGGAGCAAGAATTCCTTAAAAAAATAATAAATTGGTCACTTTAATTCACGACTGTTTGTGGGACATTGCTGTGGGCAATTGGCTGCCGCGTTCGCCCACAAATATACAGTCAATTCACTTTACAGTGTGTTCTGTGAAACGCTTTGGGACGTCCTCCCGACGTGAAAAGCACTATATCAAATGCAAGGATTACTATTTATTATTATTTTACAGTAAATTCTGTGAAGCGCTTTGAGACATCTCGAAGATGTGATAAGGCGCCATATCAAATGGAAGTATTATTAATATGCTGCAGGAAGAATGATCTGCAGGGAGGTCTTCTGAGACTATCAGCGAGTGCAATGATTATCACTTGGTGGGGAATCTCAATATAGTTGCTGCCAAGACTTCAGCAACAGTTTGCACCCAGCTATTAACCTCACCAGAAAATATGGATGAACTTTTTCTACCATTGGCCTCTGTGGTTTCATTGCAACTAGTTACTTTTGTGTTGTTTGCACCAAATCTTTGGAAAGTTGCCCATCCCTCTGAATCAAGGACCCAGTCATAGCAAGTTTCAATCTTTTTAAAGACTGGAAAGGAATGGCATGTTCCCCGTTTGCTTTCAATCAAATTAAAAGAAACATTTATCGTAAGGACATGACTAAAAATACAACCGAATTTCCAATTGATATGAATGCCAATATAAATATTGTAAAGGGTTGTGAGATAACGGTTAACAATAAAAGCTGCCTATTGTCTAATGAAACGCAAAAAGTTGGTAACTTGCAATCTGGGACTACAGATCAGAAAATGCCCTGAGATATCTGCAAGACTTCAACAACAGTTTGTAACCAACGAGTCCTCTCGCCAAAAACAACTTGCATTCATACAGTGCCCTTCACAGCACTTAACGGTGGCGGAACCTGACGCTGAGCCGGGGAGAGATGACCGTAAGCACGGTCAAAGAGGAAGGACTTCAGGCGTGATCTGATAATGGGTAAGGAAGGTTCAAGGCTGAGGTATTGAGAGAGATAGTTCCAAAGTTTCAGGGCCATATCGGACTGTGTTCTAAAGAGCAATGCCTTATTAACAACCCTATCAAATCCCTTTCTCATTTTAAACACCTCAACCAGATCAGCGCTCGATCTTCTAAACACAAGAGAGCTTATTTCAAGCTTTTGGCTGCTTTTTGATAGATTCACAGATAAGAAACTAGGCACATCCTGTTGTTGACTGGGCTTGACAAACAGAACAATAGCCCAACAGGAAACTGCTCAATCACTCATCCAGTCAGTGCAAGGAGAAGTCTTGGAGCTGAATTATTCTCACAGCAGAGTTAATTCTCCGTGTCTTCCTGTAAGACACACAATGGAACTCATGATATCCACTCACACCCCCGCTCTCAATCCCAAGGCTTCTTCTCCCCCTCTCTCCGCAAGTGTGGTGGGGGGGGGGGGGGAATTGAAGGATGTTAGCCTGTCTCTTTGATAGTCATGTGTAATCCCTCCAAAAAAACAAAAACAATAATAAATGGGTCATTTTCAATCCATGACTGCTTGTGGGACATTGCTGTGCGCAATTGGCTGCCGCGTTCGCCCACAAAAATATACAGTCAATTTACTTTACAGTGTATTCTGTGAAGCGCTTTGGGACGTCTTCCCGATGTGAAAAGCGCTATATCAAATGCAAGGATTATTATTATTATTATTATTAAAAGGGTTGTGAAACTAATGAAGAGATGAGAGTAAAGGATTTGAGGAGATAATTCTAGAGGGTGGAACAAGAGTGAATGAGAAATAAGCAGTGCAATACTAGTTACATTTATCAGCGATCTTCACACAGGGAAGCATCTGTATAGTTGGTTGCCGAGGGAAAAGGGGAAGCGGGAGGTGACGTTCAAAGAAGGAGGTAAGCACTCCCGGACGCTACCCAGCGTGAGGGCGCTACATAAATACAAGTTGCTGTTGTTTTCAGCTGTGAGTTAAAGAGATAAAGAGGGGCGAGACGAAGGGTTGAATTAGGTCAGAGGTAGAGTGGCGCGAGACGTGAAGAGATTTGAAGGCGAGAAGGAGGATCTTGATTTCGATCCGATGGAGACGATCAAGGATTTTACTGTAAAGTGTGGTGACTGTGCAACGGCGGCAGCCAATTTTGCGCACAAAGTCCCACAAAGCAGCCATGAAATGAGCGACCAATTTTTATCTGGGGGATTGTTGGCCAAGAGAGAAAAACTCCCTTCTCTTTTTGAGTAGTGCCACGGTATCTTTAACCTGAACAGGCAGACGGGGCCTCGGTTTAACGTCTCATCCGAAATTTAGTGCACGGAAGGAGGCCATTCGGCCTATCAAGTCTGCACTGGCTCTCTAAGCAAGGTGTCCCTTGAGTTCTACTGTCTTGCCTTATCCCCATACAGCTTCAAGCTTCTATCTTTCATTATAGTGCCCAGGGTTTACTCTCTAGTCTCGAACAGTTTTTCTGACAATAGGATATCAATTTAACATTTCAAATCTAGATGCAAAATTTCGCCTGGGATAGAAGAGGCAAAGAGAGCTTCAGTTGGCTGAATTCTGTGCAAGCAAATTGCTGCCATCAATCTGTTTCCCCCGGCAGTTTTGTCCGAGAAGAAATATGTATTCCATCTGTGTTTTTTATCCCCACATCAATACGAGTCATCATTAACGCAGAGTGCGTTCATCGGGGAGATCTGGCATCTGAAAACAATTCCTGGATTGACGAAGCCAGAAATACAACTGCAACAGTAACCAAACAAAGCCCAACACTCTACAGAGATAGCAAAGCAGTCAGGCCCTGCACTGAACATGTCTGCGCATCTCTGGATCTGAGCGTCACTGATATCAGTCAAAGGGACTTACAAAGAAATAAAAAAAATTGTTGCAATTGCTCAAAGCTAATCGTGCTGCCTGCAAATGCTAAAAAAAAACAACAGCAGCAGCCTTGGACTACTCTACATTTTACTGCAGATTTAACTGAAAGACTTGTAACAGTGAGCGCACCCTTCGCAAGGTCTATCAGACACAATAATATATGAAACGTCGCAGACTTGTTTCGAATACTGAAGATTTCGGTCTGCATGCTTCACTCCAATTTAGTTTTGCCCCTTGTTAAATCTGTCATCTTATTATTCTAACATTCATGCGACATTTGCCTTGCAGTGTTTGTTCAGCAGGAATCACTGCAGAGGTGACTGGATAGTGCTGCTGCCTCTGGAG